ACTGAGTTGAAAATATAGCCAAAATGTACTACAATATAAACTGTATCCAAATCCACATCTGTTTACACACATTCTAACATCCTCTCTCGACACTGGTTTGGAAAAAGCATTTTTGTAGATAGGTTTGGGGCCGAGCTCTCCCGTCCAACTCAGTGGCTCATCTCTAGAATTGGAACACATCTGCAACTTCTCTCCTTGTTATCATTATCCAAATTATAGTGATTTAGTTGTTCACATGGTACTAATTGTCTTGAGACTCTTCTGCAAGTTTTCAGAAGATTTGACACAACACGTAATATGTTCTCACCTTGTTTTCACACCAAAGCCTTGTGGGCTGCTGCCATGGCATTGGAAATCCATGGGTGCATAAATGGGTTTGGAGAGGTCCTGAGAAGGTTTTCAGAGTGGGCATGGAGGTGTTTTCTCCTCTCCACAGACATGAAGCCTTGGCTGGATTTCATCTAAATTTACTAACCCAGACAAATGGTTGTCCTATCTCTTCTTAAAAACCTCCAGTGATGGAGCACCTACAACTTCTGGAGGTAAGTCATCCCACTGATTGTTCTCACTGACAGGAAATTTCTCCTTAATTCTACATTGGATCTTCCATCTGTCACTTCTTATTCTGCCCTCAGGTACTTTGAAGAATTGGTTGGGGCCCTTCCTTTCTGTGGAAGCCCCTGAAATATTGGAAGACTTGCATCTAGTTACCCTAGTCTTTCCCTTCATTAGATTAGACATACCCAAATTATCATACGTTTTAGTTTCCAATTGTTCAAGTCTGTCAAGATCTTTCTGGATCTTGAGCCTATATTCTAAAGTGTTGGCTTGATACACGCACTCTATATCTTAGAAGATATAATGGTCTGTGGGAAAAACCTTGGGAGATAGGTGAAGAAATGCTATTGGGGAACAGTCAGATACAAGGCAGCATGCCCGCAGCTGTAGAGTGGGCAGAGCAAGAGATTCAGAAGGGACCCTCCCTATGTTCTCAGGCTATTATGGTGACTAAATAATTGTACTTTCAGAGTTGCTAAAGTAGCTTTACACAGTGGTGGGATTCAAATACCTGAACATCCGGTTCTCTTCGTGGATGCAGGCCTGGGCCTCCCAGGCCTAGAATGGACTTCTGGAAGTGACATCAATGCACTTCCGGCAGGCCATTCTAGGCCTGAGAGGCCTCCACTAGGCCTAGCACAGACTTTCGGAAGTGACATCCACGCACTTTCGGTGGGCCATTCTAAGCCAGAGAGACCTCCTCCAGGCCTCCGAGGCCTAGAACGGACTATCAGAAGCAGCATGGGTTCAGCCGGTTCTCCTAACTCAACAAAATTTAGCTACCAGTTCTACCGAACCAGTGCAAACCGGCTGAATCCCACCACTGGATTTACAATAAAGTAGAAATAGTTTATCAGGTCGTGTTTCCTATCTGGTCTAAATGGTAAGAATGACTGTTGGACCTGCCAAAACCTAAACCCTTAAATAGAAATGATCCTTGGTTCCATTTGTTGAGAAAGGTATACAGTAGTTTCTTAAAGGTCAAGTATATTGCAGTATTGCCAAGCCAGAACTGAGAATCATGTGCCAAAATTCCTAAGTTCTACTTTCCCTCCTTAACTATCTCTCATTGCCCACCCCAGTGTAACCAATTAGGTTCAGGCAAGATGTTTTCATAACAGTCAGTTCAAGTGTGGTTTGGTATGTGGCTCCCTCCTTCTTCCAGCTGAGAGGCCTTGAGGCAGCCTCTCAAGGTGATACAGCACTTACTTTCATTTTCCCGAGCAATCCCCCCTTCATTTCCTCTCCCCGCTGTTCATGGCAGTCTATCACCACATAGCAGCAAAGCACAAGCAAGCATAAAGTGGCAGCTGACAGACAGGAGCAGAATGGCTACTTTCCACCCAGAATTGGTTATGAGATGGGTGGTTAATAAATTCAATAAATAAATAATGCTTTCCTATTTAGATATTAAATACTTGCTATATGGTTTAACTGTTCACAAAGAACAGTAGTTTTCTCTAACAAAGAACAATAGTTTTTAATGGGAATTAAATGTCAAACCTAAAACCCAGATCTTGATTAATATAATGAATACAAAAATCCTCAGGATATGTTCTGTGATTTGATAAGGTATAAGAAACAAGACCTCAATGAAGAGAAGCGCCTTTTCTGGTTCTCATATTGAGCTACATTGGAAAAAGGAGCAACTCCTTGGCTATGAAAAAAAAATAAAGCTAAAATCCAACACAAATCAAGACCAACCAAATCCATCTTTATTTGTGACTGCTGACACCACACATGCTGAAAGTCTGCATCAATTGCGGATTTTTTTTAAAAAAAAAATGGTTTCCAAGAACTTTGGAGGCCAATTGATTCGTTTTCAAATTTTGAAGTTCATCTGCAACTTTTTTCTTTGGGTATCAAATTCACCTGGCTTACTGCAAACTACCAGCATTTTAAGGGTTAAATTTGGAGCCAGAAGGAGTAGGGGTAACGGTAGCACAAGGAGTATCTGGGTTCTACTCTCCCATCAGCTGCAGAAGTGAGGTCCTTTCAGCTCAAGAACCAGGGTGCTCTAGGAGTGAAAATGCTTCATTAGAACCTGCCCCCCCATCCCCATTTAGCCATGGAAATCTATGGAGAGTCTCAGTCATCCAGGTCATAGTGGTCCCAAAGATGCTTTTCATGAAGCAACTGGACTCTTTTGTTTTTCTTTGAAGACATTTCGCTTCTCATCCAAGAAGCTTCTTCCGCTCTGATTGGATGGTGGGGAATGGAAAGATTTATATTCCTTGCAAACAGCTGGTCATTTGCATTCTGTTAGAGAGTCGTTGAGGCCACTTGGAGGTTTGTCTGTGTCCTCCAAGTCACCTGAGTGTGCAAATAGGTTGAGGACACAGATAAACCTCTCAGTGGTCTCAACAACTCTCTAACAGAATGCAAATGACCGGCTGTCTGCAAGGACTATAAATCCTTCCATTCCCCACTATCTGGTCAGAGCTGAAGAAGCTTCTTGGATGAGAAGCAAAACGTCTTCAAAGTTGCCTCATGAAAAAACAATACCTTTGGGCTTACACATGGAAGTTCCTTGGGTGAGGGATGCCGGATCGGTTTCCCCTTCTCAGCCCCAGAGAAAAGGTAAGGTACTGGGGAAGGAGTTGGATTAGGACAGTGCTGGCGAACCTTTTAGAGACCGAGTGCCCAAACTGCAACCCAAAACCCACTTATGCATCGTCAGGTGCCGAGTGGGTGTGGCCATTGGGTGGGCGTGGCCCATTGGGTGGGTGGGCGTTGCTGCAGTGGTAACAGCAGACTAGGTGGGACTAAAAAGTTCAATCAATTAATTCCAACTTTGCAAGATCTTTTTTTTCCCCACGAGAAGTTGAAATTGACTGATTGATTGAACTTTTTGGGGGGGGGGCACATAGCGGCGGAGGCCTAAAGCAAAAAGGTTTTATAAAACCCAGTGAAGGCCTAGGACTGGGGTGACGGCGCACATGGTCACAGAGAGGGGTTCCATGATCAAGGACGAGGGGGGACAGGATAGCTGTGTTCCAATATCTCAGGGGCTGCCACAAAAAAGAGGGAATCAAGCTATTTTCCAAAGCGCCTGAAGGCAGGACAAGAAGCAACAGATGGAAACTAATCAAGGAGAGAAGCAACATTAGAACTAAGGAGAAACTTCCTGACAGTTAGAACAATTAACCAGTGGAACAACCTGCCTCCAGAAGCGGTGAATGCTCCAACACTGCAAGTTTTTAAGAAGAGACAGGACAACCATTTGTCTGAAATGGTGTAGGGTTTCCTGCCTGAGCAAGAGGTTGGACTAGAAGACCTCCAAGGTCCCTTCCAACTCTATATTATTATTAATAATAATCATCATCATCATCATCATCGCACAGTCAGCCAGATGTTCAGACTGGATTTGGGATTTTTGTCTACCTATCGAGTCCTTCCCAAAAACATGGGATAGGCAAATGTGGATGTTTGATGGTATTACAGATATCGTCGCAGGATGGAACCAGTTCCTAGTAAGGCCACCTTTTGCAATTGATTAATGGCAAATTTGTCAATGCCAATTGTGTTCAGGTGGTGCTCCAGTTATTTTGAGATTGCAGCCAAGGGGCCTAATTACTATTGGTACTACCCTTGCTTGCTTTTGCCACAGTCTTTCTATTTCTATTTGTAGGTCTTTGTATTTTGTTATCTTCTCCAGTTCTTTCTCGTCTATTCTGCTGTCTCCAGGCACTGCCATGTCCACTATCCAGACTTTTTTGTCTTTGTTATCGACAATTGTTAAGTATGGGGTGTTATGTTGCAGGTGCTTGTCTTTTTGAATTCTGAAGTCCCAGAGCAGTTTAATTTTATCATTTTCTATGACTTTCTCTATTTTATGATCTATTATTATTATTATCATCATCATCATCATCATCATCATCATCATCATCATCATCATCATCATCATCATCATTATTATTATTATTATTATTATTATTATTATTATTATTATTATTATTATTATTACCAGGATCCTCCAGTTGAGTATTTTAGTGGAGGAACTCTGGCAATTGAAGTCCATAGTCTTAAAGTGACCAAGGTTGGAAAAAACCCCACTCATCTAGATATCCTAAAGATTGACAAAGGTGTAAAAAAACTAATATAATATTAGTAGTAATAGTAACAATAATAATATAGCATAGCAATAATAATAACAACAGAACAACAACAACAACAATAATATAGTACTAATAAACAACGTGGAAAAGGGAAAGGTAAACTCATTTCCAAGCAAAATTGCACAGATGCCTACTGGTAACGGGCCAGGAGTCGAACACCAGCCCTGCATGGATTTTCCAGACCCAGTTCAAAGACTCAAGGGTTAAAACCATAGAGTTAGGATTCCTAGAAAGGAGAAGCAGGAGCATTTCCGGTAAGGGGTGGGGTTTGATTTTGAATTTCTCTGCCGCTGGAGAAAAAGGAGGAGGCGGAAGAAGGGGGTCAAACAGAGGAACCTGAACTGGATGGTGGGAATCTTTCCGCACCACTGGGACAGCGTAAGTCGCCAGAAATCGTCCCCCCTTTTCTAGAGGAAAATTAGGGCTGGGGAGCCCCTGGCTGCAGTGGTCACTCTAGACGGGGGGGGGGGGGAGACTGGACAGCCATTTGTCTGAAATGGTATAGGGTTTCCTGCCTGAGCAGGGGGTTGGACTAGATGACCTCCAAGGTCCCTTCCAACTTTATTATTATTGTTGTTATTGTTATTAATTATTATTATTATTATATACCACTTCAGTGTTTTACAGCAAGGGTCCCCAACCTGTGGGCCATGACCCACTAACGGTCCGTGGCCTATTCACCACTGGGCTGCCTGAGTGGCTGATGCACATGCGTGTGCATACAGCGTCACTCGTGCAAGCATCACGGGTGCTTGGGGCCTCATATCATGGGCACTTGGGGCCTCACTTGCATGAGCATCGCAGGCACTTGTGACCTCACTTGTGGAAGTTTTGCATGTGCTTGTGGCCCTACTTGCATGAGCGTCACAAAACTTGGGGCCTCACTTGTATGAGGCATCGTGGGTGCTCTTGGCTCCATTCACACGAGCAACGGGTGCTCCTGCACACCCGCCCCTCCCACAAAACTATCCCTTTCCCCCCTCCAGGCTGCTAACTTGGAAAGGTTGGGGAACTCTGCTTTACAGCACTCTCTAAGCGGTTTAAAGAGTTAGCCTATTGCCCACAGCATTTTACCAACCTCAGAAGGATGGCAGGCTGGGTCAACCCTGAGCCAATGAGAATCGAATTGCTGGCAGTCAGCAATATTAGCCAGCAATACTGGTTTCTAACCACTGCGCCACAAAGGCTCTCTTAATACAAGTCAAAAGTAATTATAAGTCACTTTTTTTTAGTACCATCATAATTTTCAATGGCCACTAAATGTATGGTCGTAAATCAAGGCCTACTTTTAGGAAATAATTGGAGCCCAAGGCAAATGAGGTGGTCTTTGACTTACAATGGTCTGCTTAGTCACAGTTCGAAGCTACAACAGTGCTGAAAAAGATGACCTATGACCCTTTTTCACACTTATGACTGTTGCAGCATCCCCACGGTCATGTGATTTACATCTGGATGCTTGACAACTGTCTCACGTATATGACGGTCGCAGTGTCCCATGGTCATGTAATCAGCCTTCTGACGAGCAGTCAATGGGGAAACCGGATTCACGCAACCATGTTACTACCTTAACAATTGCAGCGGTTCACTTAACAAATGTGGGGGGAAAAGTCGTACAATGGGGCAAAACTCCCTCAACACATTTCTCACTTAGCAACATAAATTTTGGGCATAGAGCAACCTGGACACAAAGCTATAAAGTTGGACACGGCCATTGATACCTCTTCAGTGGTTCTTTCCAAATCTAATCTCCACAATAGATGGCTACCAAACTCAACTCAGGGTCCTCTTCGTGACCTGTTTTCTTTGTTACCTTCTGGGAGGAGACTTCATGATATCTGTAGCAGAACATCCAGATTCAGCCATAGTTTCATTCCATACAGCATTAACCTTGTGAACTCTCAAGCTTCCTCCTTCCGTTATATTTTCAAGATGGACAGTATTTAATATTTATTTGATATGTATATGTAGGTGTGTGGGTCTAGACATAGGTTGTACATAGTATGTTTTAGGTATGTGTCACGTATGTGTTTCACTTGGAGAACGGGCAACTCAATTTCATTTTTGATGTGTGCCGTTGTGCCCACAGTAAAAAAAAATGACAATAATGGTTATCTTAAGCAGGAGGCTGGACTAGAACAGGGCTTTTCAACCAGTGGTACGGGTACCACCTGTTGTACATTGGCACCTGGCAGGTGGTATGCGACCATCCTAGAAAAGTAGCGGGGGAGGGGAATGAGCTGAACCAGTGACAGCACCGCACAAGCCTGAGAGAGAGATGCTGGAGCTGCAGGGCTGTCAGGGCTCAGCGGAAGTGACAGGATCAGCGCTTCTTCGGGGCTGTCAGGGCTCAGTGGAAGTGCCAGGATCAGTGCCAGGCTCCAACTGGGCCCAGAAGAAGCGCTGATCAGCTGGAATGTTGCAGCATCTCCAGGGTCTTGTGATTTACATTCAGATGCTTGGCAACTGATTTGTATTTATGATGGTCACAGTGTCCCAGGGTCACGTGAAGTGACCAAAACCTGCTGCAACCACCCAGCAGACGGGGGAAATAAAAAACACCCCCCCACTCCACCCCTACTGCCAATCCTCAACAGAAATGCTCACAACAATGAAAACCTCGGACAGGAGGAAGAGTGCCGCCGGGCGGGCAGGCAGGTGTCTTGCTCGGCTGTGGCTTGGGGGGCACTTTTTTCAGTGCCATTGTAACTTCGAACAGTCACTCAGATCAGTGGTTCTCAACCTGTGGGTCGGGACCCCATTTGGGGTCGAACGACCATTTCAGGGGGGTCGCCAAACAACGCAGTCCGCCATTTTTTCCCCCTTTTCCTTAGCTGTGCTACTCCCTTTTATTCTATTGGCTTTTGAAAGCCAAGAGAATAGACTCTCTTGAATAGAGTCTAATTCTATTGGCTTTCAAAAGCCAATAGGAATTGTCCAGGCTGTCTCTGCCCTGCTGAGCCCGCCAAAAGTCCCATTCTGCAAACGGTGCTGCACCAGTTGGGTAGTCCTCGACTTACGACCGGTTGAGTAGTCCTCGACTTACGACGAGTTGGGGGTCGCGGCACTAAAAAGGTTGAGAACCACTGTACTAAGTGAACTGTTGTAAGTCGAGGACTACCTGTACTTTATCGCTTTTTTCCATTTATTTATTTATTTTTTGGTCATCAAGTTTTTGACCCCTTGCTAGGTGACTGGTGGTCCTCAGATGTTGCCATATCCTAAAAGTGGTACAATGGGTGAAAAGGTTGAAAAGCTCTGGACTAGAAGACCTCCAAGGTCCCTTCCAGCTCTATTTTGATTCTGATTCTTATATACTATCACACATCCAGGAAAGGGAACCTACTACTTCTCTAGGCAGCTGCTATCAATGCTAAACTGCTTTTACTGGAAGGTAGTTTCTCTTAACCTTCAACGGGACCAGAATCAACCTTCTAGAAATTTTACCCAAGCAGGTAGTTTGTTTAGTGACCGTTCGAAGTTACAACGGCACTGAAAAAAAGTAACTTATGACTTATTTTTCACACTTATGACCCTTGCAGCGTCCTCATGATCACGTGATTTACAGATGCCTGACTACCGACTCACATTTATGACAGTCGCAGTGTCCCGGGGTTCATGTAACCCTCTTTGGCCACCAAAGTCAGTGGGGAGGAAGCCAGATTCACTTAACAACTGTGTCACTAACGGGACCACTGGAGTGATCCGCTTAACAAATGTGGCAAGAAAAGTCGCAAAACAGGGCAAAACTCACCTAGCCAATTTCCTCACTTGGCCACATAAATTCTGGGCTCTGTTGTGGTCATAAGACGAGGATCACCTACACACATCGCTTTGAGATGAAAGATGCTTGCAAGGTTTGAGTCAAAATTATAACATTTCCTATCTGCATTTCATGTGTGCTGATAAGGTATTAGTTAGAATATTTCGGACATGTCATGCGACACCCAGAAAAATACGGCATACTCCATTTAATCCTCCAGGGAAAGGTTGAAGGCAAACGAGGTCCAGATAGAAGAACATCGTGGCTTCAAAATCTAAGGGACTGGTTTGAACAAAACTCAGTAGCACTTTTTCGTGCAGCTGCTGATAAAAACAGGATCGCCAACATCCAATAACGGATATGGCACAAGAAGAGGTTTTGGTTACTGAACTTCATCGACTGGCTGATTGGATTGATGCTCATACAAGGGATTCCATGAATGAAGGGTCACTGGTGCTCTCTGAGCTTGGTTGTTTGGTTGCAGACGTTTCATTACTCAAACTAGAGAACATCATCAGTGCTAGCAGTGGAAGCTAGCAGGCTAGCACTGATGGGTAATGAAACACCTGCAAGCTCAGAGACCATTAAGGACTCCTCATTTCCACCCTGAGCTACAGATATTCTCCTTTATTGATTTCCTGAATATCCTCATGGATTTATTTATTTGTTTGTTTGTTTATTTATTTATTTATTAAAATGTATAGACCGCCCCACTCCCGCAGGACTCCGGGCGGTTTACAATAAAAACACAACATAACTTAACAAACAAACAATACAATAACATTCATGCAGGGGTCAGATTTTATAAACCCCAGGCCTGCCGGAAAAGCCAGGTCTTAAGCAGCTTGCGGAAAACCAACAGGGTGGGAGCGGTCCTAATCTCTGGGGGGGAGCTGATTCCAAGACGTGGGCGCCATCACAGAGAAAGCCCTCCCCCGCGGCCCCGCCAAATGGCACTGCTTGGCCGACGGGACCTGAAGGAGGCCCAGCCTGTGGGATTTAACCGGACGAAGGGAACTATGAGGTAGTAGGCGGTCTCGCGAATAGCCTGGCCCTGATCATCATCGAGAGCCACCGGTATAGCCAATACTGAGCAAGATCATTTGATATTTGTGATAACAGAATAACAAGAGTCGGAAGGGACCTTGGAGGTCATCTAGTCCAACCCTTTGCTCAAGCAGGAGACTCTATACCAGGGGTGTCAAACTGCTGGCCCATGGGCCGGATGCATCATGCAAAAGCCAGACTCACCCATGCCAAGTGCCTTTTGCTTTCTTTCCTAAGAGAACTACATGTCCAGTTCTCCTGGTGAACTTTATTCTCCACCTCTGAATGTGGTATTACGTATCCTTATTATATGTGGATTATAGCACTGATTATATTGCCTTGTTTGGATAATGAAACATCTGCAAGAAAACAACCAAGCTCAGAGAACATAAAGGACCTCTCGTATCCACATTATTTAAAATGCATGTTCAACAACTGGACAATATATTTAAAATAGGGCTGACAGTTACAAAAAAAATACTGGTCTACAATAAGAAAATGGATCCAAGAAATAATAGACCAACCCATAGACTGGAAACCAGAGATCTTTTTGTTGAATATTTTAAATAGAAAATATAGTAAAGAAATATGGTACTTAATTTTACATATAATAACGGCAGCAAGAATAGCATATGCACAGTGCTGGAAAAATAAGAATATACCATCAGAGGAAGAAATAATAAGAAAAATCCTGGACTGTGCTGAGATGGACAAATTAACAAAAGAGATAAAAGAAAAGGAAGACACAGAGTATTATATAGTATGGAACAAGTTGTATGTCTGGTTGGAGACTAGAAATAATAGAGGAGAATAAATATGGAAAGGTGAAAATATGTGTATAATAATGTATAATTGAAAGTGAAAATATGTGTATAATAATGTATAATAATAATAATATGAATTATTCCTAATAAGAAGTAGAACATGAAGGAAGAAAAATGTAAATAAGAAATAACAGGGCTATAAGGACAAATATTCTAAAGAAGAATAAGGGGGAAATGTAAATATTAGATTACCGTTACGTAATTGCTGTAAAAAAAAAGGAGTATATATATTGTGTGTGTGTGTGTTATGTTTTGCTTTGTTCTGTTTTGTCTTGTTGGTTAAAAATAAAATTTTAAATAATAATAATAAAATAGGGCTGAAATAATGTACAACTGTAGAGCTAGTGTGCCTTTCAGCAATTTATAAACCGTTCTACCAATAGTTTACAGTTAGAATTTCCTGCTTCGCAGTCACATCAAATGAGTCACTAATATAACGACTGTGAAGGATGCCTCCCTTGAAGGTTGATGAACGTGATAGGTTCACAATCATTGTCAACCTATCTTACAAAATCACATAGTATGTCAGTTTTCCAGTTGACACTGAACGAGCTTCCAAATCACAATATTATGTGGTTCTTTGTCAAAGGCCTAACACAAAGATATTGTATGTTCACATCATTCCATAATCCATAATTCCATAAAGATCACATGAAGTGTTAATACCACTTTACAATGCCTTGGTAAGGCCACACTTGGAATACTGTATCCAGTTTTGGTCACCACGATGTAAAAAAGATGTTGAGACTCTGGAAAGAGTGCAGAGAAGAGCAACAATGATGATCAGGAGACTGGAGGCTAAAACATATAAGGAAAGGTTGCTGGAGTTGGGTATGTCTAATTTAATGAAGAGAAGGACTAGGGGTGACATGAGAGTAGTCTTCCAATATCTCAGGATTGCCACAAAGAAGAGGGAGTCATGCTATTCTTCAAAGGATCTGAAGGCAAGACAAGAAGAAACGGACGGAAACTAATCAAGGAGGGAAGCAACCTTGAACTAAGAAGAAATTTTCTGACAATTAAAATAATTAATATGGAACAACATGCCTCCAGAAGTTGTGAATGCTTCAACACTGGAAGTTTTTAAGCAGAGATTGGAAAACCATTTGTCTGAAATAGTATAGGGTTTCCTGCCTGAGCAGGGGGTTAGACTAGAAGACCTTCAAGGTCCCTTCCGTTATTCTATTTTATTCATAATCTGCTAAAATTTTATAGCACTGAACTCTTATGTTCTTCAGTTTCTTTCCTCTGCTGTACTCTTCTCCTTTTGCCTTCAGTCTTTTTTAACATCACTTTTGCACTCTTTCTCTCTTCTTATTTATAACTCGTCTCTTCTCATTTAGTGGCCAAAGTATTTGAGCTTCAGCTTCAATATCTGTCGTTCCAAAGAACAGTCAGGGTTGATTTCTTTTAGGATAGACTGATTTGACCTCCTTGCAGTCCAAGAGTCTTCTCCAATGCCCCAATTCGAAAGAGTCAATTCTTCGGCACTCAGCCTTCCTTATGCTCCAACTCTCACCGCCATGCATCACTCCTGGGAAAACCGTAGCTTCGAGCTTAATTTGAAAGAGACTCGGAGCCAAGTCGAGCCTTTTCTATGTTCCTGGTAGGAATTTAGTGATTCCTGAACATTATCCCTAATCCTCTTACCCCACTTCTCAGCATGCACTGGCCCTCTCTTTTATGTGAGTTCTTTCATGCCGGCGAAGGTGTGTGTTAGAACTGAAGCACTTGGCACATTCCAAACATTTGTACGGCTTCTCCCCGGTGTGAATCCTACAATGGGTCACCAGGGAGCTGCTCACACTGAAACTTTTTCCGCACACCGAGCACGTGTAAGGTCTCTCGCCTGTGTGAGTTCTCCGGTGGGTACTGAGGTGCGCGTTCCAATTGAAACACTTCCCACACTCGAGGCATTTGTACAATTTCTCCCCCGTGTGATTTTTTTCATGGGTGCTCAGGTTGATCTTCGTGATGAAGCACTTTCCGCACTCCGAGCATTTATACGGCTTCTCTCCCCGGTGAATCCTTTCGTGTATGATCAGGTGAGAGCTGCGAAGAAAGCACTTCCCGCACTCCGAACATTTGTAGCGCCTCTCGCCGGTGTGAATCCTCTGGTGAGAAGTGAGATTGCTACTCACATTGAAACTTTTCCCGCACTTCAGGCATTTGTACGGTCTCTCCCTCGTGTGGGTTCTCTCATGGCGACACAGATGTGCATTGGAAGTGAAGCACTTTCCACATTCTGTGCATTTATAGGGTCTTTCCCCTGTATGCGTTCGTTGGTGTCTGCGCAAGTGTGTGTTTGAACTGAAACACTTAGCGCATTCCAGACACTTGTAGGGTTTCTCTCCCGTGTGAGTGATCTGATGGGTAATAAGTGAAGAACTCTGAGTAAAGCTTTTCCCACATTCCAGACACTGATACGGCTTTTTCCCACTGTGAGATCTCTGATGTCGGCTTAGTTCAGCACGCTCGCTGTAGCACTTTCCACATTCTGAGCACTGATGTGGCTTTTCTCCCGTGTGCGTCCTTTCGTGCCTCCGTAAGTGGGTGCTTGAACTGAAGCATTTTTCACAAGCTGAGCATTTGTATGGTTTCTCTCCAGTGTGAGTGATCTGATGGGTAGTAAGAGAAGAACTCTGCGTGAAGCTTTGGCCGCATTCCAAACACTTGTACGGCCTCTCTCTGGTGTGAGTTTTTTGATGCCGGTTTAGTTGGGCTACTTGAATAAAACACTTGCCGCATTCCAGGCATGGAAACGGCCTCTCCCCTGTGTGGTTTCGCTTGTGCAAACTCAGTTTGGTCCTTGTGATGAAGGCCTTTCCACATTCCAAACACTTATGGGGCTTCTCTCCCGTGTGTATTTTTTTGTGTTTGATCAGGTCAGAGCTGCGAGCAAAGCCTATCCCGCACTCAGAGCATTTATGAGGCTTCTCGCCGCTGTGAATTTTTTTGTGCTTCAGCAGGTCCGAACTGCAAGCGAAACACTTTTCACACTGGGGGCATTTATACGGCTTCTCTCCCGTGTGAATTTTTTGATGTTTGATAAGATCAGAACTGCGAGTAAAACGTTTTCCGCACTCCAGGCATTTGTAGGGTTTCTCACCGGTGTGAATTCTCTGGTGGGAAGCGAGATTACCGCTCACGCTGAAACTCTTTCCGCATTTTGAACATTTATAGGGTTTCTCGCCTGTATGAGTTCTTTGATGGACACTGAGGTGTCTCTTTGAATTGAAACCCTTTCCACATTCCAAACATTTGGAGAGTTTCTCTCCACTATGTGTCCTCCGATGGGAAGCGAGATTACTGCTCTCACTGAAGCTCTTTCCGCACTCTAAACACATGTATGGTTTCTCCCCTGTATGCATTCTCTGATGCACACTCAGGTGTGTATTTGAAGCGAAGCACTTCCCACATTCCAAACATTTGTACGGTTTCTCCTCCATGTGAGTAATTTGGTGGGTAATCAGGGCCGAACTCTCAACAAACCTTTTCCCGCATTCCACGCATTTAAAGGGCTTCTCACCTGTGTGGGTCCTCCGGTGTCTCTCTAAATTTGTCTTCCAAATGAAGCTTTTCCCACATTCGGGGCATTTGTACGGTTTTTCTCCCGTGTGAGTCTTTTGATGCCTACTCAGTTGTGCACTTTGGGTGAAACACTTTCTGCACTCCAAGCATTTATGCAGGTTGTCAGCTATGTGAGTTGTTTTGTGTGTGATAAGATTCGTCTTCGTTATGAAGGCCTTTCCACACTCCGAGCATTTGTACGGCTTTCCTTCTCGGTGAAATCTTTGGTTTGTACTTGGGTTTTTTTTATCCATGATTCTCCACTCGTCACCTTAAGAGATGAAGACCAACAGTATGTTATAATAAACCACAGTTAATACAGTGTGAACTCAAGCAGTGAACCAAACCCGGGCAATATATCATTAAGTTATCTTATTGATTAGATAACTCCTAATCAGTGAATTGTCTGACTAGACATCCCTTGGAATTCAGTGAAAGTCTCCCATGTATCCATGCACCTACAAATTACAAATATGTAATTAATTTGAGCAGGGGGAGGGGAGGGAGAGATTATTTGGTCTTTGTGGTGCCTTCCAGGCTGTGTTAACTCCTGGCAATTCTCTGGACAAATCCTGCAGTTTTCTTGGCAAGGTTTTTTAGATATGATTTGCCCTTGCCTGCTTCCTAGGGCTGAGAGGGAATGACAGGCCCAAGGTCACCCAACTGGCTTGGTGCCTAAGGCAGATCTAGAACTCCTGGTCTCCCAGTTTCTAGTCAGGATCTAGTAGGTTTCTAGTCGGATCAAACCACTGGCAGTCAGCAGAATTAGTCTGCGATACTGCATTCTAACCACTGCGCCACCACGGCTCTTTGGCATTTGGCTCAAATGGGCAAAATTGCTCTATTTTTTCACTGCAAGGTAATGTTGACTGTAAGCAGCATCTACAAAATTCACCCTTCCTGAACTGTATTGGCCAGAGGGAAATGGGTCACCTGAATATTTAACACCTAAACTGGAACAATAGGAAGTGCTAATAGAAGTAATCCCAGATCACTGCAGCATCCCTGCAGTCACATGATCAAAATTTAAATGTTTGGAAACTGGCATGTAATATCCCAGCTGTAATATCCCAGGGTGATGTGATCACCATTGATGACCTTTCTAGCTAGTTTGCAACAAGCAATGTTTATTTTATTTATTTTATTTTATGAGACTTATATACCGCTTTAAGTGCAAGCACTCTCTAAGCGGTGTACACCAGTAAGCAATGTATATATATATTTACATTGCCCCCAACCATCTGGGTCCTCATTTTACCTACCTCGAAAGGATGGAAGGCTGAGTCAACCTTGAGCCGGTGAGATTTGAACCGCTGACCTGCTGAACACAGTCAGCTAAAGTGGCCTGCAGTACTGCACTCTAACTGCTGCGCCACCTCGGCTCTTTTTAATGGGGGAAGCCGTCTTCGCTTAATAACTATGGTAAAGAGCTCATAAGCTCAGGTGCTGCAGTGTCCACATTGCTTAATGATGGGAATTCTGGCTTCCATTGGGGTTATAACTCAAGGATTACCTATATAAGTGGCTTAGGAGTGCAGATAGAATGACAGAATTGGATGCGACATTAGAGGGCATCTATTCCAGCCCCTTAGTCAGTACAGAATATCCCTGAGCTATCGCTTTTTCCAAACTGGCCTGGATGTATGATATTATTCCTAAAAACATTTGGAATACTGTAGGAAAAGGTGATGGTAAAAACAGTGCAAAGCTGCCTAAGGTTAGTGCAGGTAGTCCTCGACTTACTGTCAAGACTGATTCGCCCTTTCGCCTACATTTTCTCCCTTGCTCATAGCTTGACAATGGAGTGGAATGCAAAGGTGGGGGAGATGGTATCTAGGCAACCGAGGCGTCTTTGAGAGCCTGCAGAGCCAAGGTCACTAATGCAGGTGCTCGATGGAGAAGTGGACTGTTTCCGTAACAAGAAGAAATATTACTATTGGGCAATGTGAACAACTGGTGATGGGAACGGGGGAGTCTATTTTTTAACTAAGCAAATCCTTGAGCGGGAAAACCAGAGCTGGTTTTGCTTCTGCTGTGCCAATGTAGATTTTCAGTAAAGTATTGTGCTCTTGCTAAAATCATGTCCCAGGAGGGTTTTTCTGGAAATGCCAACTGGACAGTTTACACTTACGACCACAACTTCTGTCACTAAGGGAGACAGTTGTTAAGTGAGTTTTGCCCCATTTTACGACCTTTCTTGCCACACTTCTTAAGTGAATCACTGCAGTTCTTAAGTTAGCCACATGAATCTGGCTTCCCCACTGACTTGCTGGTCAGAAAGTCGCAGAAGTGATGCCGGGACACCGCAACTGTCATAAATATGAGTCAGTTGCCAAGCGTCTGAATTTTGATCACGTGATCATGGGAATGCCAGAATGGTTTTAAGTGTGAAAAACGGTCATAAGTCACATTCTCCAGCACTGTTGTAACTTTGAACGGTCCCTAAACAAATGGTTGTAAGTCAAGGATTACTTGTATTGGGGAATATGTCTTTAAGGCTTACACCAGGCGGAACCTTGGAGTTGGGAAAAAAACCCAAATTTCTCAGCTACTGTCTCTGCCTCAGAAACGCTGAAAAACTTCAACAGATGCAACAGATGCAATGAAAAGGACATGATGCAAATGTATTTTAAAATCCTACAACAGCTATGGATATTCATTCCTAGGAAACAAGCTGCCTTACCAAGAGAGGTCAAAATCTCACTGATCTCCTCCATGACGTCTCTGTGCAGAGCTTTCTGGTCAGGCTCCAGCAGCACCCACTCGTCCTCAGTGAAATGCACCTCCACGTCCACTAAGGTGAAGAGCCTCTGAAAGGAGAAAAATCATCTTTGCTGACAGATCACTTAGAGGTGTTATGACCCAGGTGGTCAAGGCAACGTAGGCCTCTAGAACAGGGGTAGGCAACCTTGGCTCTTTTATGACTCGTGGACTTCAACTCCCAGAATTCCTGAGCCAGCATGGGGGGACTATGACCTGCTTGATGACTTCTGGACTTCAACTCCCAGAATTCCTGAGCCAGCCTGGCTCAGCTTGGAAACCTCTCCCTTTCCCCTCAGCATGGCTGGCTCAGGAATTCTGGGAGTTGAAGTCCACGAGTCATAAAAGAGCCAAGGTTACCTATCTCTGGCCTAGGCCTAGGCCGCTTTATGACTTGTGGACTTCAACTCCCAGAATTCCTGAGCCAGCCTGGCTCATCTTGGAAACCTCTCCCTTTCCCCTCAGCATGGCTGGCTCAGGAATTCTGGGCGTTGAAGTCCACGAGTCATAAAAGAGCCAAGGTTGCCTACCCCTGCTCTAGAGAGTCCTTTATTTCTCTTAAACAATGTTCCAGCCAATGGCCCTCTATCAACTTGTAAAGCTCCACCCTCATGATACCTTGAAGACAGCCACTCTCAGTCCAGTAATACAAAGAAAGTGCCAAGAGCGAAGATTTGGCAGCTACCTGCCTCTTTGTTTTCATCTTGCCCTTAGAATAAGGAGGGAGATGATGCTCTAAAATGGGTTTGTTAGAGAATCTCTCCAGTTCTGCGGAGGTTTGCTAAGAGAAGGCTGTCTGGAAACCTTTCAAGGACATTCTAACAGCCCAGTTCTCTTTCTCTTTCCCTTACCTGATTCCAGGGCACAGCAGCTGTTTTTCCTCCATCATCAAAAAGCTCCGGAGGCTGAAGCTGTCTTTCCCCAATGACTCCATCTCCTGTGACAGAAAGAGCAGGTCAAGATCATCAAACATTTGCTTCGGACAACGTTTGTTTCCTAGCACATGCCTGAACAAAAGCCCATAGACACCAATTTTTTTAAAAAAATAACAACTACAGGGAGCACTTAACAGTTCGTTTAGTGACCGCTTGAAGTTACAACGGCCTTGGAAAAAGTGACCCATGACCGTTTTTCACACTTTATGGTGGCTGGAGCCTCCCCATGGTCATGTGACCGAAATTCGGATGCTTGGCAACGGTTTCATATATATGAGGACTGCAGTGTCCTACGGTCATGTGATCTGCTTTTGTGACATTCTGACAAGCAAAGCCGATGGGGTAGCCCGGTTCACTTCACAACCAGGTTGCTGACTTAAGAGCTGCAGTGATTCGCTTAACCACAGTGGCAAGAAAGGTTGTAAAGGGGGGGCAAAGGTCACCTAACATCTATCTTGTTTAGCAACCAAAAATGTTGGGCTCAACTGTGGTCATAAGTTGAGGATTATCTGTATCTGCCACCCCAACATCCCTTAGCACTGAGCCATGAATGACAGGGCTGATTCCCATACATAAAAAATGTTGGAGGTGTTAAGCACTCAGGTTTATGTAAATAACGCTGTAGCCTGGAGACCGAGGTCTTTCCCCTTTCCTTAAAACCCTAGCCAAATATGCCCCATAGTTCCTTACTTAGTGAAACAGTGGCTCCTCCTTCCTGCAAGAACCTCAGCCTGTCGTCCATTGAATCTTCCCGTGCTCCACAAAACTCGGAGCTGGTAACTTCTTCCTTTTCCTAAAAAAAAAGTGCGTGAAAAATTAGCAACTGAATGATAGAGCCATTTCTTGTGAGATTGGCAGTCATATAAATTTGACAGGATAGACAGATAGACAGACAGACAGATAGATAGATAAATAGATAGATGATATAGATATAGCTAGCTAGCTAGAGATAGCTAGAGATAATAGCTAGATGACAGAGATGATATATAGATAGACAATAGACAGATGATAGAGATAAAGAGATATAGAGATAGTTAGATAAATGATAGAGATGATAGATGAGATATATCATATATATATGATAGATATAGATGATGGATGAGAGATGATAGAGACAGATGATAGATTATAGATGATATAGATAATGATAGAGCCTGATAGACAGGTAGGTAGGTAGGTAGGTAGGTAGGTAGATAATGATAGAGACAGATAGACTGATACAGATGATAGATTATAGATAATGAGATAGATTGATAGATTAGATAAATGGATGGATGGATGGATGGATGGATAGATAGATAGAGATAGATAGATATAATGATAGATAGATAGATAGATAGATGATAGATAGATAGATAGATAGATAGATAGATATGATGGATAGATAGACAGACAGACAGATAGATATAATGATGGATGGATGGATGGATGGATAGATAGATAGATATAGATGGATGGATAGATAGATAGATAGATAGATAGATAGATAGATAGATAGACAGACAGACAGATAATGATAGAGACAGATATTATATATGTCATGTATATTGGAGGTGGTGACTCTTTGAGAACTGTACGCAACGAAATTTCATTTTAATGGATGTTGATTAGTGTACATTCAAAGTGACAATAAAGTTATTCTATTCTATTCTATTCTATTCCTATGAGGACAGAAACAGGAACTGTTCGAATACCCCTACAAAAGAAGTCCTTGTCCTTATGAGCAGTGACAGGTGTCAATAAAGGGAGTCTTATCTGAGAAAGGACAGAGTTGCCAGTTAGATACAGAAATAATTGAGACAACCATTTATGACAAGATTTGTGTGAAGGTGGGATACCTACGATGAAATGTTTCACTGATCTCCGGGCCACGTTCACTTACCCAATTCTGCACCTGTGGCAGAAACCCAGGTAGGAATGGCTCTGGGATTGCCACATCTTGGATTGGTTTATTTATGTGTTGCTCCAGATTCTGTTCCTGAAGATCCAATTTCTGGTTGCAGAAACACTGAAGGAAGCAATCTTGGTAGTGTTGCTGTAGCTCTGCACTGATCCTGCCTGGGCACTTCTGAACTCCCGTTTTGGGGAATTCCCTGCTGCTTCCAACCTGGATGGTGTCGAAATGTCCTTCTTGACAGCCTGCTAAGTTCTGTTGGTGCATGACTGACATGTCTTCAAGGAAGCGTTGGAGAAAGACCTCAGGGATGATTCCCCCTCTGTACAAACTACCAAGAGCCAGATTTTCCTGCTTGCAGTTCTTCCCAAATCCGGCACAACTAAGGCATTTTCCTATTAAGGATTGCCAGAATAGAAGACAATCTGCCCATCAGGTCTGCAGCCCATCAGAAGGCAAACCAAGGATACCTAACCAATCTCTCCACTTTGGCCCGCTTTGCTACTTGAAGGGCATATAAATAGTCCTCAACTTACAACAGTTCATTCAGTGACCACAGTTGAAAAAAAAGTGACCATTTTTTCACAGTTACAATCTCTGTAGCATCCCCATGATCCCGTGATCAAAATTCAGAATGTTGGCAACTGGTTCCCACTTATGATCATTACTGTGTCCAAAGGTCACATGATCACCTTTTGCAACCTTTTGACAAGCCAAGTCAATGGAGAAGCCAGAGTCAGTTAACAACCATGTTACTAACCTATCAAGGTGCAGTGATTCCCTGAACAACTGTGGCAAGAAAAGAGTCGTAATATGGGGGCAAAGCTCGCTTAACAAACGTAACAACAGAACATTTCGGGCTGGAGGGTGATCGTAAGTCGAAGACAACCTGTATATAACGGAATCAAACCGTGGTTGCAGGGGGGGGAGGCATCCATGCTCCTCTGGAGGACTTACATGCTTGTACCCAGGTTCCTTTCACATGCAAAAGCTGACACGCGTGTATCCTTCAAAGCCAAAACAGCCCGGTCCTGTGCAGCTCCATCAGCGCCTGGAGAAGCCCTGGGAGGAAAAACTGGGGAATCCTGTGTGTCCCAATCAGTCAATCAGAATAGAGCTGGAAGATCTATCTTGGAGGTCTTCTAGTCCAACCACCGGAGGCGGCGGCGGCTGGAGAAGATCCGTAGGCGGAGAATCATCCCAACGTGTCTCCCTGCGCTTTTCCCCGAGTCGATCACCGCCCAGATCCTCCGCCGCCAAGACGGCTCCCACTGGGTCCCTCAGTCACCAAAGAGACGACAGCAGCCAGAGCGGCCGCTCCGACCAGAAAGAAGCCCTGATTGCGGGAGGACCCTCTTTCCTTCCGCTCTAGGAATTCCTTTCGGTTCTTTTAACTCGTTCCAGCTCTGCAGCAGCCCCGCAAGCCAGGTCCTTCCTTCTGCCGGCGGGTGGGCGTCCCCTCGATGGAATGCTGAGCCCGATGGAGGTTCCTCCTTGGCGTCTCCACTCCCTCCGTTACTCCGGAGAGCGCGAGGGAATCCCGTGGGAGCCGCTTAACGACCAAAGAAGGGCTCGGGGTTATGACGAAGAAGGCAGAGGCTCCCGAGCACCCCACTGCATGATTGTTGAATGACTGATTGATTGATTTTCCGAGTCCAGAACATCTTACATTAAAATAGAATAGAATTCTTTATTGGCCAAGTGTGATTGGACACACAAAGAATTTGGTGCACAAGCTCTCGGTGTGCATGCAAGCAACAAGTGATAAATCATCCTCACTGAGTATTGTAGCTTATGATTTATGATGAATGCTTTTTATGATTATAATCATGATTTATCACTTGTCGCTTGCACGTACACCCAGAGCTTATGCACTGGAGACAAATTCTTTGTATGTCCAATCACAGTTGGCCAATAAAGAATTCTATTCTGTTCCTATTCCTATTCTATTCTACATTAAAATGAGCAAATATAATAAATTAGTACAATAGTTTAAATAGAAAACGTTCAATAACTGTGTAACAAATATAAAATTAAAACAGAGAAGAAATTTAAAACACATGTGACATTAGATAGCATTTGAGGCCCAGAAAAAAGCAGTCTGAATAGTTTTATCAATGGCCAGGAACAAATTGTTCCTTGTGCGTGGTCCATCAAGATTATGGCATATCAATAAGTGTTTAGGAGTCTAATTCCCTACATTCACAGTTTCCATCCTCTGTTTCAGGAGTCTTCAAACTTGGCCCTTTTATGATTGGACTTCAACTCTCAGAATTCCTCAGCCAGGAATTCTGGGAGTTGAAGTCCACAAGTCATAAAAGGGCCAAGTTTGAAGACCCCTGCTGGTAACCAATGCAGCTCACAGAGCAGTGGTGTTACAGGGGCCATTCTTGGGGGCCCCAAAACTACCTGCACTGCCCCACTCTGCATCAGCTGTAGCTTCTGAATGGTGTTCAAGGGCAGCCCCTTACAGAGAGCATTACAATAGTCCAGCTGTGAGATGACCAGGGACTGAACAACTGAGTGCAGGGAATCTTATTAAAACAATAACTCTTTGAGGATACTACAGAAATAATAGATGTGGGGGAAAGTAACTTGAAGCTTAAACTTTTTCTAGATAGCTTTTAGATCCCTGTCTCTTTATATTTTTATTTACTTTGCATATTCTTAATTTGTGAGCCCCTAAGTGTGCTGTGATTGCAGCAGGATACAAATTTGATTAATAAAACATCAAAGAAACAAATCAACTCCACAGCCCTTTTGAAAGCTCGGGTGAGTAACAAGGAAGGAAATTAACGTTTTGTATTTTACATTCATTGGAAAGGAAAAGAATAGAAGTTAGTAAACAGACAACGCCACAGGGAATTCACACTGAGAGGATTAAAATAGTGCTTGGGGCTGTGAGTTGTTAAGGTAAGGATTTTGTGAATTTCAGTCAGCATAGCAAGCCCGTGCCAGAGGCCATTAATGAACTAATTATGGTTACAGAGTGGATAACGCCTATAAGGGAAGAAAAGCTGCCAAGCAAGACGTAGCTTGTTTAAGCGATCTCTAGGCTTTACCAGGAGAGAAAAAAAGCAGGAAAAAAAAAGGATCAGGACCCAGGACAGCACTGTGTTCTTCGGACTATTCTTAGACAAAATATCCTTACTTTTGCTTAACTAGCATTGTCTGCAAAAATAGCGAACTTTCTCCTATTCCCAGTATTTTTCCTTTCTGTGCCGAGGACCTAGGGATGAAAGGACAAACTCGAGTTAATTACATGTTGGAATATCTCTCTCTCTCTCTCTCTCTCTCTCTCTCTCTCTCTCTCTCTCTCCCCCCCCCCCTCCTTTCCATCCATCCATCCATTGAGGAGAATATTTGTAGCTCACGACTGAACTATGGGGTCTCTTGTGGTCTCTATGTGCATTACAATGCACTGATGATATTACTTAGTTGAGTAATGAACAAGAGTGCAGAGAAGAGCAACAAAGATGATTAGGGGATTGGAGGCTAAAACATATAAGGAACAATTGCTGGAATTGGGTATGTCTAGTTTAATGAAGAGAAGGACGAGGGGGGACATGATAGCAGTGTTCCAATATCTCAGGGGCTGCCACAAAGAAGAGGGAGTCAAGCTATTCTCCAAGGCAGGACAAGAAGCAACGGATGGAAACTCATCAAGGAGAGAAGCAACCTAGAACTAAGGAGAAACTTCCTGACAGTTAGAACTGTCTATTCTAAATTCTATTCTGTTCTGTTCCGTTCCATTCATTCTAATTCCTATTCTATTCTTCATCGGGGTTCAGTCTAATTTGGGAATAAACAACATGGCAACTGCTTTAGAAAGAAGGTTGTAGTTTATTGAAGAGGAGAGCCAGACAGAAAGATGGCTCTGGAAGAAAAGAGAGAGCACATGTAGTAGGGAGTGGTGGGTTTTTATACCTTCTTGGGCTTTTGCTCGGAGTTGTTCCTGTGGCATGAACTTTGACCTGAGTCTGAGTGTGCCTTTCTGGTATTCTGATGGTGGTGGGTTAATCCTATTATGTCCCAAAGGTCATATCCTGCTCCCCTGGGACTGTGGCTGATGACTGATGGATTTTTGGTGTGAGGGATTGTTGATTCTAGGGATCTTTCTTCCTAATCCCAGTTTCCAATCTTTCTGACAAGATTACCGCATCTGCATTTCTGCAGACCTGGTTTCTGTTTGGGGCAGAGAGATTTGGGGATGGGGGGGTTGGTTTCTGCCTTTAAAATCCTTTGGGGAAATACATTCTGCCTTTTTAATATTTCCCAAAATATTTGTTTCTCTGGATTCTTCCTACAGTACCTTTTTACACATATCTGTTCTTTGGAGCTTGGACTCAGAATGCGATGTCATCTAGCTGGGCACCAAAACATCTGCTCAAGAAAAACTGGACTCTGGCAACCTCACTCTCTCTATATTCCCTACAACCACAATAGGGTCCTTCCTTTTAATACTTGTTCTGTTTTTCTCGGGGATTCCTATAGAAGTCAAACAACCCTTTAAAAAGCAAGTGAACGTTGTTAAGTACCAACACCTGGCTAACCTTGTGTGGTCACAGAAGCTAAGCAGGTTCGGGGTGGTTAGGACAAGGATGGGAGACCACAAGGGAATCCCAAAGCTGTAGCTAGAGTGGGAAATCGAAAAGAACGTTCCAGAAGACATTAGTAAACCATTTCTATCATATTGCCAAAAACCCCTGCATGCAGGTCTCCATGTGGTCACCCGAGAGTCCAGCTTACTTTTTTTAAAGCCCCATTGTCCCTTTTCGTCCCATAGGATAGATCCTAATTTTTTGTTGCTGTTTTTGAGGGTCAGCTGAGTATCCTTCCAAACAGTTTTGAGCTGGAGAACACACAGACCAGGATTCTATGACCACAACCCCTTTTTTTTGCCATGAAAACATCTGTATAGCTTTTGCCCCGAGCGAATTGTATGATGAACCAGAAAACATTAAAGGCATTGTTAATTACATAGGTTCCTTGATGTTTGTGGAGGCTACATTTCAGAGTTAACCTTTTCCCCGACAGACCATGGAGATTTTCCCAAATCCACTACAGAAGCCCCTTTTCCTATTATTTATAAAGGACCTTGAATCTGAGGGGTATTTAACCATACGCCAGATAGTTTGCCTCTTAGCAGTATCAATCCTGTGTCACGCAGGTGTTTTACCTGACATTCTTATAATCACCCACTATCAAGGCTTTATTTTGTCAACACCATAGACTGAGTCCCTGCTTCTGACTAAAAATAGCAATAGCACTTACACTTATATACCGCTTCACAGTGCTTTACACCCTCTCTAAGCAGTTTACAGTCAGCCTATTGCCCCCAACAATCTGGATCCTCATTTTACCAACCTCGGAAGGATGGAAGCCAACCTTGAGCCAGTGAGGATCGAACTGCTGGCAGTTGGCAGAATTAGCTGTCAATACTGCATTCTAACCACTGTACCACCACAGCCCTTAACTAAGAATTATTTCCTATGTTTCTTAGCTAAAACAGTTTTGTTCAAACTCTCTGGATGCAGTGTGTGTGTGTGTGTGTGTGTGTGTGTGTGTGTGTGTGTTTGACAGAAGGAGCTGGAGTCAGAAAAACCTCGATGTACAAGTATAGAATAGGTGGTACCTGGCTCAATGGTAGCAATTGTGAGGGATTTAGGTGTCCTAGGAGACAACCACTTAGATATATGTGGGCAGTGTGCTGCAGCTTCCAAAAAAGCTAATGCAGTCCCAGAGGGATAGCATCAAGATCAATAAGGTGATAGTAACACTTTATACTGCAGACCATATTTGGAATACTGCATCCAGTTCTGGTCAATATGATACAAAGAAGATATTGAGGCTCTTAGAAAGAGTGTGGAGAAGAGCAACAAAGATGATCAGGGGACTGGAGGCTAAACTCTATGATGAACGATTGAGGGAACTAGATATGTCTAGTCCAGGGATAGGCCACCTTGGCTCTTTTATAACTCATGGACTTCCAACTCCCAGAATTCCTGAGCCAGCCATGCTGAGGGGACAGGGAGAGGTTTCCAAGCTGAGCCATGCCGGCTCAGGAATTCTGGGAGCTGAAGTCCACCAGTCATAAAAAAGCCAAGGTTGCCTACTGCTGGTCTAGTCTAACAAAGACAATAGCAATAGCACTTAGATTTATATACAGTCTATGGCCCCCAACAATCTGGGTCATTTTACCGACCTTGAGCCGGTTAGAATCAATCTTATTTATTTATTTATTTATGAGACTTATATACCGCTTTAAGTGCAAGCACTCTCTAAGCAGTGTACACCAGTAAGCAATGTATATATATATTTACATTGCCAACAATCTGGGTCCTCATTTTACCTATCTCGGAAGGATGGAAGGCTGAGTCAACCTTAAGCCGGTGAGATTTGAACCGCTGACCTGCTGAACACAGTCAGCTAAAGTGGCCTGCAGTACTGCACTCTAACTGCTGCGCCACCTCGGCTCCAATCTTCTGACAGTGAGCAGTGAGTTATCCTACGATACTGCATTCTAACTACTGCACCACCATGGCACAGATTGAACTGCTATGCCTTTTCTACTCATCACCACCTTAAGCATTTTTTTTTTTGTCTTTCCCTTTCCTCCAGATGCCACCAGCTGTGTCTGTGTCTATGACACGGGTGTCAAACTGCCGGCCCGCGGGCCGGATGCGTCACGTGGAAGCCACGCCCATCCCATTGCCGGCAATGGCAAAACCGGCCCGATACTGTTGTGCGACGTCACGTGACGTCGCGACTTTGACATGCCTGGTCTATGGAGTTTCTCAGTCATCCAGGTCGTGCTTGTCCCAAAGCTGCTTTTTCAAGAGGCAATTGGACTTCCTCATTTTCTTTGACCTGAACAGATTTCCAGAAAGCATTGCAGATGGCAGGAACCATTTGAGCTTCAGTTGGAGATGTAGACAACAGGACTCATCCCCAACAGCCCGCGCCTGTCTTCAACAGGGAAGGGACCCAGATCTGAAAACATCCTGCAGCCAAGGAGGTTCCACCCCCATTTGCACCACTCAGGTGACCCTGAGGACACAGACAAACCTCCCAGTGGCCTCAACGACTCTCTAAAACAGTGGTTCTCAACCTTTCTAATGCCGCGACCCCATAATACAGTTCCCCATGTTGTGGTGACCCCCAACCACTTATACATCACCGGGTGCCAGGGGCGTGGCCAAAGAAAAGGGGAAAAAAATGGCAGACAGCCTTGTTTGGCGACCCCCGTGAAATGGTTGTTCGACCCCAAATGGGGTCCCGACCCACAGGTTGAGAACCACTGCTCTAAAAGAAGGCAGATGACCAGCTGTCTGCAAGGAGTATAAACCTTTCCATTTCCCCACCATCCAGTCAGAGCGGAAGAAGCTTCTTGGATGAGAAGCGAAACGTCTTCAAAGAAAACAAGAAAGTCCAGTTGCCTCCTGAAAAAGCACCTTTACGACACCAGCTGCGGCGTGCTTTTCTTGTCTTCAAGCACAACAACCACAGGGGTGTCAAACTCAATTTCATTGAGAGCCGCATCAGAATTGTGGTTGCCCTCGGGGGGGGGTGGCCAGGGTGAGTGCAGCCTACTGGGTGGGCGTGGATGGAGTGGGTGTGGCCTACTGGGTGGGCATGGCCAGCTCTACATTGTTCGTATCAAGGATGCCTGTGGGGATTTAAGGTTTCTAATTTAGCAGAAATGGCTAAAATTTCTGCTTATTTAAAGGACCATTCACAAGAGAGATATTTTAATGTATGGAGAAGATGGATAGAATATGTTCAGAAGAAGTATGGAACTACAAAGTTTCATTTATTTTATGAGTAATGAATTTGTTTATAAACTTATGATGTTAAAAGTTTGAAGAGAGTTAAGGGTTAGTATGATTTTGGTTATTGTATAATTAGTAAACTTAAATAGATTATGTTTGATATGTTTGTATAACCCTGTACTTGGCTCTAGGAAGTCGGGTGGGGGAGGGGGGTGGGGGAGGGGGGAGGATGGGTTGAAGTTTAAGTAGCTCAGATAAGTAGAAATAGTTTTATTGTTTATAATATTGATGTTTTAATTTGGAGAGAGGAATTGCTCGGGCATTTCCCCTGGACTGCATCCGGAGCGAGAAGATAGGAGGAAGGGGAGAAGCAAGTAGGAAGGTTGAGGAGGAGGAGGAGAGGGGGAGAGTGAGGAAGAAGAGGGAAAGAGGGAAGTAGGTTAGAGGGTGGATGCGGTTTGGGGGGAAATGGGTGAGCAATACCGAAAGTTGTATCCATTTATTTTACTCTTTATCTGAAGTATTTTTATGAAGGTAATGTATTGCAAAATTGAAAATAAAATTTTTTTTACAAAAAAAAAAAAAGGATGCCTGTGGGGGCCTGGGCAGGAGTGGGACAGATCTGAGGGTCTCTGGCAGAAGGGGGTGGGACCAGGGCAGAGGCCATCAAGCCGGATATGTGAAGTAGGCGAGGGCCATTTGCTGGCCACTTCCAGGCAATGGTGCATTTCTTCATTCCTCACATAGGAGGGCATCTTCCCAGCATGCACCCAGGGTATGGGGCCGACACGGCAGGGGCTGGTTCCTCGCTGTTTCCAGACGGCCTTGTGGAGCTAAGAGTGAATGTGTTTCAGCATAGATGGCCACCACAAAATTGTACATTGGCTCCCGGCCGGCCTGGGCCAGGGCCAAGGCAGCGGGGGCCGTTCCCTCACTGTTTCCAGGATGGCTTCGCAGGCCACATGAAACCACTTTGCGGGCCGCATCCGGCCCCCGGGCCTTGTGTTTGACAGGTCTGTTCTAGCACCTGCAGAAGTGAGAGAACCCCAAACGCTATGTGACAAAAACAGGTCCTGAGAGCAGGGGATGACGTTAAGGAAACTGAAAAAAGAAATTTGACAAAGATGACGAGGACGGAGCCATGGGAAGGGAAAGGGCAGTCAGACGTGTAAATTTATTTCTCACGAATGAAGGTGGACCTACATGTCCCAGGAGGAAGTTGCAGGATACGATCTGTGTCCCAGTGGGTGACCCAGATTGGATCCTGCAAATTTATTGGCCGTTGTCAGTCCTCTCCCCAAGTGGATTTGCTGCGATGGGTGAAGCCATCAGCTCACGCCGAAACTTTCTGCCTGTCTTCTGCCTGCTTGTAGGATGTCTTTCTCAGATGAATTCTGCGGTGTCTGCTGAGGTGGAACTTCTGAATGAACTTTTTCCCGCAGTCCAGGCAGACGTGGGGCTTCTCTCCCGTGTGGATCCTCTGGTGCCGGATGCGGTCAGAGCTACAGCTGAACTGTTTCCCGCAATACAGGCATTTGTAGGGTCTCTCGCCGGTGTGGCTTCGGTGGTGAATGAGGAGATCCCATTTTTGGAAGAAACCCTTGCCACAAATCTCACACTTGTACAGTTTCTCCTGCGTGTGAATCCGCCGGTGACGGTTGAGGTCGGAGCCCGTCTTGAACCGTTTCCGGCAGTCGGGGCATTCGTGAGGCCTCTCCCCCGTGTGGGTTCGCCGGTGAGCAAGGAGATCCGAACTGCAGAGGAAGGATTTTCCGCAAATTAAACACTTGTTCTGGGTTTTCCCTCCAGCGAGAGCCCTCTGGTTGAGGACACGGCTTGGGCTAGAGATTTTCCCAAAGACGTTGGAGCTTCGCTGTCTCTTATTGGGTTGGTGAATCCCCGCTTCCTCAGTGGACGGCCTCCTGTTTCTCTGATTGTGATCCTTGGAGGAGTTTTCCTGCTCGTTACTTGAGGAGATGGCCTGTTCAGCGTTTCCTTCGGACAGGACAGACGGATCCCCTTGGCCTGCATCTTCCGTGGTGTATTTTTCCTCTTCCACTATGACCGGACACCATTTCTCTGCTAACACAATGAGAAATGTTAGGAGATCAAAATGGAAGGGGGGTGGGGTTGTATGTGCTTTCGAGCCAGGATTGACCCCTTTGGCAATTTCCTGCCAAGTTTTCTATGCAAGGTTTTCAGATGTGGTTTGCCCCACTTCCTTCCTAGGGCTGAGAAGGCGGGACTGGCCCCGAGGACGCCTGACTGGCTTTGTGCCTAAGGCAGGATTAGAACTCAGGGTCTCCTGGTTTTAGCTGGACGTACACTAACATCACTACATACGCTATCTAACCACCATGATCTAGCCACCCAAGGTAGAACTTAACTTATGACCGGCCACTTAGCAATCGTTTGAATTTACGACAGATCTTACAACCCAGTTTCAAAGTTATGGCTGGTGCAGTGGAGGCTCAGCTTTCTTACAGAGGCTGCCTCATGGCAACACTGTCTTGTTCTGTGAGCAGGTTAAGTCTTCCAGCCACGTGGAACCTCCTTAAAAATCAGAGCCCCTTACAGGGTTGCGAAAACAGTGCCTGCTTGCAGAATAGCCACATAACATTTGCAAGGTTCGGCTACCACTGGAGACTTCAACCGACTTTCAATTCACATATATACACATATTATACTCACACCTGTGCACATGTAACAGATGAACAAGAATGAAAATAAATCAACTGGACAACCTTTTGTCTGAAATGTTATAGGGCCGTGGTGGCGAACCTGTGGCACGCAGAGCCGTCTCTGTGGGCATGCGCGCCGTTGCCCCAGTCCTAGGCCTTCAGCTGGGTTTTATAAAGCCTTTTTGCTTTAGGCCTCCACTGCCATGTGTAAAAAAAAAAAAAAAAGGTTCAATCAATTTCAACTTCTGGTGGAAAAAAAAAGATCTCGCAAAGTTGGAATTGATTGAACTTTTTAGTCCCACCCAGTCTGCTGTTACCACCGCAGTCATGCCCACCCAATGGGCCACACCCACCCAGTTGGCCACATCCACCCAATGGGCCATGCCCACCCGGCACCCAATGATACATAAGTGGGTTTTGGGTTACAGTTTGGGCACTCGGTCTCTAAAAGGTTCGCCATTACCGGTATAGGGTTTCCTGCTTGAGCAGAGGGTTGGACTAAATGACCTCCAAGGTCCCTTCAAACTCTGTTATTCTATTCTGTTCTGTTCTTCTATTCCTACTCTATTCTCTATTCTCTATTCTCTGTTCTCTGTTCTCTGTTCTATTCTATTCTATTCTATTCTATTCTATTCTATTCTATTCTATTCTATTCTATTCTAATTCTATTCTATTCCATTCCATTCCATTCCAGATATTCTATTCTATTCTATTCTATTCTATTCTATTCTATGCTACTCTATTGTATTCTTATTCTATTCTATTTCTATTCTATTCTATTCTATCATCATCATCATCATCAAGATGCTTGGAGGGCATGAGCACCACCTTGCAATCTCCTACACAGGGAGTCCTCGACCTAACGACAACTGCAACTAGAACTTTATTCGTAAAATTTATTAGCCGCCCATCTTACCAGATGGTTACTCTGGTCGGCTTGCAATATTAAAAAGATGAAACTGTACAAAAAGCTAATAATATAAAAACAATACTATTAAAAAAAAAACAACCTAGCTAAAACGACAGGGAGGGAGGGAACATGATGAGAAGGGGAGGGGGTGGGACCTTTTGTTAATCGATCAACCACCCCCAATATGAAACCACTATGTTGGAGCGCCAGGCTAATTGGCAGAGCTACTATGGAAGGTAAGGAGGGCTGGAGCTGACCTTGCCTTGGGGGGGGGGGAGAGAAGGGGAGGGGGCAAAATGTTCCAAAGGGCAGGCACCATGGCACTCCTCCTGGACCCACCAGCTGGAATGGCCTGGCTGAGGAGGCCTGCAGCACGCCTCCTCTGAACCTCTGTCAGTCAGCAATGCAACTGTTCGTTTTATGACCGTGTTAAAGAAATCCAGCTTCCCCAATTGACTTTTACTTGTTTGGAAGCTATCTGGGAAGGTCGTAAAATGGAGATTAGGTGATCCTGGGACTTGGCATCCATTCCTGAATACATGCCGGTTGCCCGAGCATCTGATTTGCGATCACAAAACTTCACAGAGGGCTGTGATGGGTCATAAGTGGGAGGACCAGATGGTTACTCTGGTCGGCTTGCAATATTAAAAAGATGAAACTGTACAAACACTAGTAATATAAAAACAATACTATTAAAAAAAAACACAACCTAGCTAAAAAGACAGGGAGGGAGGGAGGGAGTATGATGAGAAGGGGAGTCACTGTTTTAATGTCAAGCAGCAGCTAAACAGGTGGTCCTGCTATAATTAATACTCTGATGCAACCAATTATGTACTGGGTCCGTTGTCAAGACTGCAGACTTAAAGAGGATGTCTCACTGTAGCTTAATTCAGCGCATGCGCCTCTCCCCCAACCTTTTGGGTGCCAGGGACCGCTTCTGTGGAGAGGGGTTTTTGCCCCCCCCCCCGAGGACCAGAGGGGACGTGGTTTCACGCGCTGCCTGCATCTTGCGCAGGCGTGGATGGGGCTTTGCTCATTTGTGTGGCCCGACTTCTATTGTGGCGCAGATTGGTGCTAGTCCACGGCCAAAGGGTTGGGGACCCCTGGCTTAATCCATCAGTCAGGACCCCAAACCACAGGAAGCTATTATCTCCTAGTACTTCAGAAGAACCTCAAGGGAAGAGAGAGAGAGAGAGAGAGAGAGAGAGAGAGAGAGAGAGAGAGAGAGAGAGAGAGAGAGATCAACCTGAATTGTTGCACCGTTCAAGGAAGGAGCTAGTGAGGAGTGTCCATAAGCCCTCCTTCCAGCTTATTTATTTATTTATTTATAAAATTTATAAGCCGCCCCACTCCCGAAGGACTCTGGGCGGCTAACAATAAAAAACACATAAAACATAATAAAACAACAATACAAAAACAATCATCCAGGGGTAAGGTTTTATAAACCCCAGGACTGCCGGAAAAGCCAGGTCTTAAGTAGCTTACGGAAGACCAACAGGGTGGGAGCGGTCCTAATCTCCGGGGAGAGCTGATTCCAAAGCGTGGGCGCCATCACAGAGAAAGCCCTCCCCCGCGGCCCCGCCAAATGGCACTGCTTGGCCGACGGGGCCTGAAGGAGGCCCAGCCTGTGGGATCTAACCGGACATAGGGAACTATGAGGTAGTAGGCGGTCTCGCAAATAGCCTGGCCCTGAGCCATATAGGGCTTTAAAGGTAATGACCAACACCTTGAATTGGACCCGGAGACCAATAGGCAACCAGTGCAGCTCACGGAGGATAGGTGTAACGTGGGTGTATCGAGGAGCACCCACTATCACTCGCGCGACCAATTGTAGTCTCCGAATACTTTTCAAGGGTAGCCCCATGTAGAGCGCGTTGCAGTAGTCCAAGACAATCATCTCCAAGACAATCATGTCAGACAATCATCTCCAACCAGGCTGAAGATGGGAAGGGGAGCATCTCGGGCTGTGTCCAGCGATGGCTCCAAAGAAGGAGAAGGTAAGCTCTCCCTGCTTACCAACAATCTGGGCCTCAGCCTCTTCTTCTGCCTTGACTTGTGGGCACCCCTGTCTCTCTTCCAGGTCTGACGGAGGTTGGATCCCCAGGGAACGATACAAGACCACCGCTGCCTGCAGCAAAGAGAGACAGTGGTCAGAACACGTGTCCCAGGGCATGGACCAAACTGACGGGCATAAGTCAAGGACTGAGCCGCCATCTTTTCCTGGGGGGGGGGGGAGACTGTCTTCTACGGAGAACAACAAATGGCTCAACAATGGTTATGGTAAGCCTTCGTGGGGCTCCAGCCAAAGTTGCCGATTATCGTGAGGTAACCCAGTGTTTCTCAACCTTGACAATTTTAAGGCATGTGGACTTCAACCCCCAGAATTCCACAGCCAGCATTGCTGGCTGTGGAATTCTGGAAGTTGAAGTCCACATGCCTTAAAATTGTCAAGGTTGAGAAACACTGAGGTAAAATGGATATATAATAAATAACTAAGGTAGTCCTCGTCTTAGGACCAAAACCAAGCCAAAATTTCTGTTGCTCTGTTGGGTCAGTTTTGCCCCATTTTACGACCTTTCTTGCCACGGTTGTGAAGTGAATCACTTCAGTTGTTAAATGAGTAACATGGTTGTGAAGTGAATCTGGTTTCCCCTTAATTTTTTCTTGTCAGAAGGTCGCAAAAAGGGGTCACATGACCCCAGGACACTGCAATTGTCGTAATACAAGTCAGTTGCCAAACATCTGAACTTTGATCACACACCATGGGGATGCAGCAGTGGTTGTTAAGTGTGGAAAATGGGGAAAAGTCACTTTTTTCAGGGTCATTATAACTTCAAACAGTCACTCAATGAACTGTTGTAAGTAGAGGACTACAAATATTCCATTCAGCTCACGTGGTTCTATGTGGAAATGCCCAGAGACTAACTTTCTGGGGCTAACAAAGTTTGAAATTGGAACTGCTACAGATCAGTGGGTCAAATTCTTGTAACCGTTCCCCATTCAACAATCTTGTTAAAGAAGACTTGGACAAGATGTTGGCCGTCCTTGACCTCAGCTAACCTCGCAACTCACAACTTTTGGAGGCAGGTTGTTCTACTGATTAATTGTTCTAACTGTCAGGAAATTTCTCCCTCCTTCTAGGTTGCTTCTCTCCTTGATGAGTTTCCACCGGTTGCTTCTTGGCCTGCCTTCAGGCGCTTTGGAGAATAGCTTGACTGCCTCTTCTTTGGGGCAGCCCCTGAGATACTGGAACACTGCTATTGTGTCCCCCCTCGTTCTTCTCTCCATTAAATTAGACATACCCAATTTCAGCAACCGTTCCTTATATATTTTAGCCTTCAGCTCCCTAATCATCTTTGTTGCTCTTCTCTGCACTCTTTCTAGATTCTCAACATCACTTTTACATCGTTGTAATCAAAACTGGATGCAGTATTGCTAGTGTGGCCTTACCAAGTGTATTAATACACTTCACGTGACCTTGATTCTATCCCTCTGTTAAGGCAGCCTAGAACCTCAGATGTCCCTTTCTAATCTTGGAATAATCCCTGTCGATTCAGGTCAAACCATGAGCACCATGAGGTCACACTCTCACCTGTTGTTCCTCTGCTTTGGTGTTTCGCTGCGCGTTCAGGTATTCCTCCGCCAGACACACCGCCTGGGAGCAGTTCTCGGGGTCCTGCTCCCTCACCCAATTCTGCACTTCGTGGGGCAGGGTGTCAAGCAGCTGCTCCAGCACCAGGGTCTCCAGGATCTGCTCCTTGGAGAGCCTCTCCACCTTCAGCCACTCATGGCAAAGCACCTGCAACCGGCTGTACGCCCCCCGCGGACCCTCAGCCTCCTGGTAGCAGAAATGCCGGAAACGTTGGCGCTGCTTCTCCCGGTTCAGGATGTCCCCATGCAAGATGGCCGCCTTCACTTTCCCATAATCCTCTTGGTCTGGCCTTGACAGCCGGCGATAAGCTTGCTCAGCTTCTCCCCGGAGGGCGGGCAGCAACCTGGATGCCCACTCCTCTGTGGGCCACTGGCAGGCCTGGGCCACCTGCTCAAAGGAGCGTAGGAAGGCCTCAGTGTTGTCCCACGGCCAGGGCTCCTCGGGCACGGTAGAGGCAACGTCCCAAGGGCAAGGAGGAGCCCCCACTATCGTGACGCAGCCGTGCCACTGGGCCTCACGCTGAGGAAGGAGGCCTTCACCTGGTTCCTCCTTCACCTGAGGGTGGGCTGCCATCCTTCGCAGACCCTCCCAGATGCTCTCGGTCTGGACGATGGAAGGGACCCTCCCCACTCTCTGCAACCTCTCAGCTGCCATGGCTGAGTTTGTTGCTTCCATCTTCATTTTTGCCTGCTGGTCTCACAAAGATGGCGGCTCTGTAGCAAAATCCGCCAGACTGCACTGCTGGTTGTGGTGGTGGAAAGTACTGGAAGACGCCTGAAGTTTCCTAATGGGATGTGATGAGCAGCTTCCTGCCAAAAAAAAAAAAAAAGCCAAAAATACATTAAGCCACAATGTGATCACTTTGGGGCTTAGCAGGTTTCAGCTGTCCCCATTGTGGTGTTTATACCCTGCTTGCATGACCTGATAGTTAAGTGGCCAATAAGTAATTAAGAAAGGACAAGTGGCCAATAAGCAATTAAGCAAAATAAAATTATTTTATTTGCCTGTATGCTTCCTCTCCATTATGAAGCGTCACCAAAAGTTAACGGAAACAAAAGCAGATCTTTTTTCTGTTATTTAATCTTTACATTCTAATTCCTACTTTTTCTCCCCACTGGGCTGTGTTAGGGGGTGGGCATAACAATAGCAATATATTGACTAATGGAGCCTCTGTGTTAAAAAGGAGTCTACCTTAGATACCCATCTCTGGAGGGCAAATGGAGGAGTTACTTGCTTTCTTAGGATTCCCACTGTTGGAAACTGCTACAGAGACATTTACATTTCTACCACAGCTCTACTCTTAATAGTTTTGCGGATCTATTTAAAAGTAAATCCAGTTTCATTCAATGAGAGTTATGTTAGGACTACATGGTGCAATATACTGTACTACACGACCACAGGAAAGGGATAGCTGCAATCCAATTTAGGGACTCTCCACTGTCCACGCTAGATGGGGACACTTGAGCTATTACTCAATCCACTTTGGGCAATCTCAAAAGCTAAGCAGGGTTGGCTTTGATTAATGATTAGACAGGAGACCACCAGGAAATCAAAAAAAAAATGAGCAAATTGGAACGATGCATTGGTTTGTTTCTGACCCATCCAGGATTATTTCCCCCCTCCCAGTGGAGGTCATCCAAATTCTACACCCCTGCATAAGGACTCCCCTAACAGATTGCAACCCCACCCCAAGTGGAGATTTTCCTTTAGCATAACCAGGTTTAACATTTTTAGCACAGTTGAGCTGAAGCAATGCAAGACTCACTATCTTCCAAAGCATTTCTTTTCCAGGCAAGCAGAATACATGGATGTTCAAAACTACCCCTGTCTTTTTTAAACTAGCCCTCCAGATGAAGCCTCTGTGAAAATGACCCAGGGATTAAATCAGTGTTTCTCATCTTCAACAATTTTAAGGTGAGTGGACTTCAACTCCCAGCATTCCCCCACCAGTATTATCAGCAGGTGCTCATGCAATTTCCTGTAGAAATGATTTTATCTCTTCTTTCTTCACATTTATTATTTTTTAAACTATCTGGGATATATAGATCAGTAGTTTAAACCTAGATCACTTTAAGAAACGTGAACTTCAACTCCAGCATTCTGGCTGGAGAATCCCAGGAATTGAAGTCCACTCATCTTAAGAATAGAATACTTTATTTGGCCAAGTGTGATTAGATACACAAGGAAGTCTATGGAGATTCTCAGTCATCCAGGTCACAGTTATTATCCCAAAGTTGCTTTTTCACAAGACAACTGGACTTTCTTGTTTTTCTTTGAAGACTTGGAAGATCTTGGATGAGAAGTGAAACATCTTCAAAGAAAAACAAGAAAGTCCAGTTGCCTTGTGAAAAAGCACCTTTAGGATACACAAGGAATTTGTCTCTGGGGCAGAAGCTCTCAGTGTGTACACGCAAAGCAGCAGAATAATAATAAATATAATAATGATACCAATAAGAGAAAAGAAGATAAGAAGGATAATATTAACACTACAGCCATACAACATGGGTGTAAATATACTTGGACATTAGACAGCACTGTGAGGATTAAGTGTTCAGCAGAGTCGTTGCACAAGGAAAAAAACTGTCCCTGTGTCTCAAAGATGCTTTTTTTAAGGAGGCCAGAGGACTTTGTTTTTTCTTTGAAGACATTTCGCTTCTCATCCAAGAGGCTTCTTCAGCTCTGATTAGATGGTGGGGAGTGAAAGGATTTATATTCCTCGCAGACAGCTGGTCATTTGCATTCTTTTAGAGCAGGGATGTCAAACTTGCTGCGTCACGTGACGTGTCACAACGTATCATGACTTTTTCCCCCCTGCCGGAGCTGGGATGGGCACAGCTTCCGCGTGATGCATCCGGCCCATGGGCCAGCAGTTTGACGTCCCTGTTTTAGAGAGTCGTTGGGACCATTTGGAGGTTTACCTGTGTCCCCAGGGTCACCTGAGCGGTGCAAATGGGTGTGGAGTCTTCTTTGGCTACAGGATGTTTTTCTGTCCCAGATCCCAAACGCAGGTTGTTGGGGATGAGTCTGTGTTGCACAAATGATTCTTGTAGAAAAAGCAAGAATGTTCAGTTGCCTCTTGGAAACAAAAAAGCGCCTTTGGGACAACCCTACCTGGATGACTGAGAATCTCCATAGACATGTCTCCATGTCTAGCTTTCTTGGCCTGCAAATGCCCTGTTAGTGGTGTCCTGAGGGGAGGAGTGGAAACGGTTTATATGCAGGATGTGAGGGGTCTGTAGATATTTTCTCAGCCTGCTTTCTAACCCGTACGATATACAGGTCCTCTACGGAAGGCAGGCTGGTTGAAATGGTTTTTCCTGCAGTCCTAATTATAGGTCGTCCTCGATTTACAACAGTTCAATTAATGACTGTTCGAAGTTACAACGGCATTGTAAAAAGTGATTTAGGGCTGTTTTTCACACTTACGACCGTTTGCAGCAGCCCCACGGTCACGGAATCAAAATTCAGGGGCTTGGCAACTGAATTGGCAACTAGTTATGATGGTTGCAGTGCCTCAGTGTGTGTGTGTGTGTGTGTGTGTGTGTGATGTGATCCTCTTCTTCCACTTACTGATGAGCAGTCAATGGGGAAACCAGATTCCCTTAACAACCATGTGACTAACTTAACAATGATTCCCTTAACAACAGTGATTCCCTTAACAATAGTGGCAAGAAAGGTTGCAAAATGGGCAAACTCACTTGACAAATGTTTCCCTTAGCAACGGAAATTTTGGGCACAATTGTGGTTGTAAGTCAAGGACTATCTGTATACGTTGGAGTTTGGCTGCTGTAGCCAAAAGTTGCTGAGGTCGAGAGATGCTGGATTCAACGGGAGAAGAAAAGGAGAGAAATCCATTTTGGAAATGCAAGACCCCAAACCTCTAAAACGCACCCCCCCCCCCTTTGCAAATTTGCCCAACCCTCCCCCCAGCACCCAGCCAGGAAAAAAAAAGTTGCAATGCTGCCTTTGAAAAAGAGGAAGAAAGTTGGGGATATTTGCTAAAATGTCCTACTCGGTCTAGAGAAGAGATGGGGAAACTATGGCCCTTTTATGACTTGTGGACTTCAACTCCCAGAATTCCTGAGCCAACCATGGCTGGCTCAGGAATTCTGGGAGTTGAAGTCCTCAAATCACAAAGGGGCCCCATCCAACTATCTGGCTCAGGAATTCTGGGAGTTGAAGTCCACGAGTCATAAAGGGGCCATAGTCGTTCCCCCTCTCCCCCCCTCCCTGTCTAGAGTGACCACTGCAGCCAGGGGCTCCCCTCCCCTAATTTTCCTCTAGAAAAGGGGGGATGATTTCTGGCGACTTACGCTGTCCCAGCGGTGCGGAAAGACCCCCACCATCCAGTTCAGGTTCCTCTGTTTGACCCCCTTCTTCCGCCTCCTCCTTTTTCTCCAGCGGCAGAGAAATTCAAAATCAAACCCCACCCCTTACCGGAAATGCTCCTGCTTCTCCTTTCTAGGAATCCTAACTCTATGGTTTTAACCCTTGGGTCTTTGAACTGGTTCTGGAAAATCCATGCAGGGCTGGTGTTCGACTCCTGGCCCGTTACCAGTAGGCATCTGTGCAGTTTTGCTTGGAAATGAGTTTACCTTTCCCTTTTCCATGTTGTTTATTAGTACTATATTGTTGTTGTTGTTCTGTTGTTATTATTATTACTATTGCTATATTATAATTATTACTACTAATATTAATATTAGTTTTTTACACCTTTGTCAATCTTTGGGATATCTAGATGAGTGGGGTTTTTTCCAACCTTGGTCACTTTAAGACTATGGACTTCAATTGCCAGAGTTCCTCCACCAGAATACTCAACTGGAGGATCCTGGTAATAATAATAGTAGTAGTAGTAGTAGTAGTAGTAGTAGTAGTAGTAGTAGTAGTAGTAGTAGTAGTAGTAGTAGTAGTAGTAGATCATAAAATAGAGAAAGTCATAGAAAATGATAAAATTAAACTGCTCTGGGACTTCAGAATTCAAACAGACAAGCACCTGCAACATAATACCCCAGACTTAACAATTGTCGATAAGAAAAACAAAAAAGTCTGGATAGTGGATGTGGCAGCGCCTGGAGACAGCAGAATAGAAGAGAAAGAGCTGGAGAAGATAACAAAATACAAAGACCTACAAATATAAATAGAAAGACTGTGGCAAAAGCAAGCAAGGGTAGTACCAATAGTCATAGGCGCCTTGGGTACAATCCCAAAACAACTGGAGCACCACTTGAACACCACTGGCATTGACAAATTCGCTATTAGTCAATTGCAAAAGGCGGCCTTACTAGGAACTGCTTCCATCCTGCGACGATATCTGTAATACCATCAACATCCACATCTGCCTATCCCAGGTCCTGGGTAAGGACTCGATAGGTAGACAAAATGCCAAATCCAGTCTGAACATCTGGCTGACTGTGCGATGATCAATAATAATAATAATGGAAGGGACTTTGGAGGCCATCTAGTCCAACCCCCTGCTCAGACAGGAAACCCTATACTCATGATGGCGAACCTATGGCATGCGTGCCACAGGTGGCATGCAAAGCCTTCTCTGTGGACACACGCGCCGTTGCCCCAGTCCTAGGTCTTCAGCTGGGTTTTATAAAACCTTTTCGCTTTAGGCCTCCGCCGCCATGTACAAAAAAAAAAAGTTCAATCAATCAATCAACTCGCAGGAAAAAAAAGATCTCGCAATGTTGGAATTGATTGATTGAACTTTTTAGTCCCACCCAGTCTGCCATTACCACCGCAGCCACACCCACGCAATGGGCCACACCCATCCAATGGGCTATGCCCACCCAGATCCCAACAATACGGAAGTGGGTTTTGGGTTACAGTTTGGGCACTCGGTTTCTAAAAGGTTTGCCATCACTGCCCTACACCATTTGAAGTCCACGTGCCTTAAACCTTTTGAAGATCTAGACCAGACATGCGAAACACAAGGCCCGCACATCCTGGGCATGCGCTGGGGAGATGTCACCCTTTGTGAAGACAGCCTTGTGGAGCTAACACTGAATGCGTTTCAGCATGGATGGCCACTATGAAATTGTACATTGGCTCCCGGCCAGCCTGGGCCGGGGCCAAGGCAGCGGGGGCCATTCCCTCACTGTTTCTAGAATGGCTCCGCAGGCCCATGAAACCACTTTGTGGGGGGGAATTCTGGGAGTAGAAGTCCACGCATGTTAAAGGTGCTGATGTTGAGAAATGGAGTGCTAAACCATCTGCAAGCCAGCTTATCTAATTGAAAGTTGGCTACTTGTGTTGCTCTCTCTTCTTTCCTATAGCAGTTTTTTGGAGCAGGCTGGATTGACAGAGAGGGACTGGCCCAGAATTCCCCAAAGGACCGGGAGCTGGATCCACCTGCTCCTATTCCAGCTCTACTGCCTCACCTTAGGACTGGGAGAAGAGAACCTGTCCTTGAATGAGGATTTGACCAACCAATTAAATGATGTTGCTCACAAGAGCCAAAACTTCTGCACATTTCTTCCATATCCAGAAAGCTAGTAACTTTCCCTAGTCCTAGTCCAACCCCGTCCCCAGTACCCTACCTTGGCTCTGGGGCTGAGAAGGAAAAACTGGTCCAGGATCACTCTGCTAAGGAACATCCATGGCTAAGCCCAAAGTTGCTTTTTCACAAGGCAACTGGACTTTGTTTTTCTTTGAAGACACTTCGCTTCTCATCCAAGAAGCTTCTTCAGCTCTGACTGGATAGTGGGGAATGCAAGGATTTATATTCCTTGCAGACAGCTGGTCATTTGCATTTTTTTTAGAGAGTCGTTGAGGCCACTGGGAGGTTTAGCTGTGTCCTCATCCCATTTCCACACTCAGGTGACCTTGAGGACACACCTCAACCTCCAGATGGCCTCCATAAAGATAGGATCACCCAATTTACAATAATCGTCTAACTCTGTGCCGTTTTTGAAGATCTTTCAAAATCTGAAACTAGTGAAATTTCATACGGCTTGCAATATTTTGATCTTTTTAATTTTATTTACAAAGATAAGCGTTTTTGTACCTGCAATTTGAAGGATTTCTCATGCCACCCTGACAGCTGTGATGAATTTGAACTAATGAGGGCCCCAGATAAAATAATATTCATAATACTGTGGAAACAAAAACCATCAGGTCCAGTTCCAAGCTGGGCGTAACTAAAAGGGAGGCTAAGACGCTGGAAATAAAATAGAGGCTGCTTAGGAAAGAAGGGTTCTTGTTTATTTAGTTGCCAGAAACTTCAGTGGCACAGCATGGTTCTGGGGTGGCTGACAACATGGAGTTGAGAATGAGTGGGTTGTTATACCTTCTTGGGCTTTGTATTTTGAGGTTGTTCCTGTTCCTGTGCAATGTACTTTGACCTGAGCTTGAGTGCACCATTTTGGTATTCTATCGTAATGGTGGCAGGTTAATCCTATTATGTCCTAAAGGTCATGTCCTCCCCTTGGAGTCTTTGTTTTTCTAATCCCCTCAGCTCCAGCCTTCCGTGTGGACTGTGACATTTTGCTTATGAATAGATCGCCCAGTCTTTCTGCATAGGATTATCAAATCTGCATTTCTAAAGCTGGCCTGCCCAGTTTCTGCCTAAGATTTTGCTCCATTATTCCTTTAGGAAAATATAATATTCTGTCTTTTTTTTTTAAATACCCCCCAAAATATTTCCTTCTCGGGGGGGGGGGTGCTGACTTCCTACAATACCTATCACCAGGTAAATTTTAAAAGGAGATTTTAAGAATAGAGGCTTGGCAATGTTCTGATGCTGGTGTGAATATTTCTGGAGCATTTGCAGGCATCATCACAGAACAGCAGATACCAGGGGACTGGAGAACTGCCCAAAATGTAATTAACGCTCAAGCTTGCTATCTGCAATCCTTCCTTATTTTCACCTTTTGATTCACGGATAGAGCTCAAATATCCCTATATGATACTGACTGTATTCAGAAGCATTTTGATAAATGTGGTTGATGACAAAAGTTGAGCTGTAGCTTTGAAGCCTCCCAAGATTCTCATTCATTTTAATTTTTAAAATTAAAGTGAATTGGGTCAGGAACCCAATTATGCCCTTTCCTGGACCAAAAATCCCTACTCACCGTCACTCATGCCTTAGTCACCTCCTGTCTTGGCTACTGCAACGCGCTTTACAGGGGGCTGCCCCCGAGAGCATCCGGAAGCTCCAGTTTGGTGCAAAATGCAGCAGCCCGCATGGTTTTGTGCGGACTTCGGTGTGCATGTGTCACCTCTCCTGCAGGAACTGCATTGGTTGCCAATGTGCTTCCAGGTGCAATTAACCAGGTTATCTGAGGGACTGTCTCTTGCCGGTCACATCTACCCAACCCACCAGAGCGGGGAGGCAAGGAATGTTGCGGGTCCCGTCCCCTAAGGTGATACATCTGGTGGGACCCAGAAGAAGGGCTCCTTCGTGGTGGCTTCCTCCCCCTGGAACATCATCCCCCACAGAGATTAGACTGGCCCCCACCCTGACACTCGTTCAGAAGGCACTGAAGGCCTGGTTCTGCCAGCGGGCCTGGGCAACCCAGAGCGGGAAGGAGCCCATTAAATGGCTAGTATGAATGTGGCAGAAAGTGAAGAGGAGCTAAAGAGCCTCTTGATGCGGGTGAAGAAGGAGAGTGCAAAAGTTGGCTTGAAACTCAACATTAAGAAAACCAAAATCATGGCATCCGGCCCTCTCAATTCCTGGCAAATAGATGAGGAAGAAATGGAGGTAGTGACAGATTTTATTTTTCTGGGCTCAAAGATCACCTCAGATGGGGACTGCAGCCAAGAAATTAAAAGACGCTTGCTCCTGGGGAGGAAAGCTATGGCAAATCTAGACAGCATTCTAAAAAGCAGAGACATCACCCTGCCAACAAAAGTGCGTATAGTCCAGGCCATGGTTTTCCCAGTTGCAATGTATGGCTGTGAAAGTTGGACCATAAGAAAGGCTGAGCGCCAAAGAATTGAGGCCTTTGAACTATGGTGCTGGAGAAGACTCCTGCGAGTCCCTTGGACTGAAGGCGTTCAAACCGGTCAGTCCTAGAAGAGATCAACCCCGACTGCTCTTTAGAAGGACAGATCCTGAAGTTGAAACTCAAGTACTTTGGCCACCTAATGAGAAGGAAGGATTCACTGGAGAAGAGCCTAATGCTGGGAAAGATTGAGGGCAATAGAAGAAGGGGACGACAGAGAATGAGATGGCTGGATGGAGTCACTGAAGCAGTAGGTGTGAATTTAAATGGACTCCAGAAGATGGTAGAGGACAGGAAGACCTGGAGGAACGTTGTCCATGGGGTCGCGATGGGTCGGACACGACTTCGCAATTAACAACAACAACAAATGAATGTGTGTTGCTGCTGGGGTGGGGAGGGCCTGAGGGGATATTATTTTATTATTTTTCTTATTATAATTTTTTATTTCTTTTATAGAAGGCTTTTATATCCGTGTCAGCCGCATTGAGTCACCACATGTGAGTAGGCGGCAATATAAATTTTATATTATAATAATAAAATAAACCCTGCCCAACCTGAGTTGTTTGCTGGAACCTGGATGTTTGCTAATCCCGACTGTAATTCCTCTCTAAACAGAGGCTTCGTTTTTATTTCTTTAAAATAATGATGGTCTGGAGCAGCCACACTTAGCTCGGATCAAATATGAGAGCTCAGTTCTTCCTTGCAGCCAAATATTCAATTGTATATAGTCCTTGACTTATAAATTTCAATGGTGAAAAAAGAAAGGTGCTACATTTAGGCAAGAAAAACCAAATGCACAGGTATACCATAGGTGGTACCTGACTCAATAGTAGTAACTGTGAGAGGGATCTCGGAGTCCTAGTGGACCATCACTTAGATATGAGCCAGCAGTGTGGTACAGCTGCCAAAAAAGGCAACACAGTGCTAGGCTGCATTAACAGAGGGATAGAATCAAGGTCACGTGAAGTGTATTAATACCGCTTTATAATGCCTTGGTAAGGCCACACTCGGAATATTGTGTCCAGTTTTGGTCACCATGATATAAAAAAGATGTTGAGACTCTAGAAAGAGTACAGAGAAGAGCAACAAAGATGATCAGGGGCCTGGAGGCTAAAACATATAAGGAATGGTTGCTGGAATTGGGTATGTCCAGTTTAATGAAGAGAAGGACGAGGGGCGACAGGATAGCAGTGTTCCAATATCTCAGGGGTTGCCCCAAAGAAGAGGGAGTCAAGCTATTCTCCAAAACACTTGAAGGCAGGACAAGAAGCAATGGATGGAAACTAATCAAGGAGACAAGCAACCTAGAACAAAGAAGAAATTTCCTGATAGTTAGAACAATTAATCAGTAGAACAACCTGCCTCCAGAAGTTGTGAATGCTCCAACACTGGAAGTTTTTAAGAAAAGACTGGATAACCATTTGTCCGAAATGGTATAGGGTTTCCTGCCTGAGCAGGGGGTTGGACTAGATGACCTTCAAGGTCCCTTCCAACTGTTTATTCTAATTCTATTCTGTTCTATTCTATTCGCAATTGGAACCAGGATTATCATTGCTAAGCAAAGCTCTTCTTAAGTTGAACCTGATTTTATCAACTTTTTTCAGGAAATCACTGCCGTTGTTAAGTGAATCGTACAGTTATTAAGCAAATCTGGCTTCCCCCGTTGACTTTATATGTGAGGAGCCGGCTAGAAAAGTGGCAAATGCTGATCATACGATCCTGAGGTGCTGTAAACCTTGGTGAATATTGTACATGCAGTTGCCAAGTACCTAAATTTTGACCGTGTGACCGGTGATCCTTCAGTGCCACTAAGGGCGAGCACTGATAAATGACTTTTTTCAGTGCCATTGTAACTTTTAATGGTCACTAAATGAATGGTTTATAAGTCAAGGACAGCCTGGTATTTGAATGTATTGCGCTACATTTTATTGTAGTGTAACTGTATTTTCTGGGACCTGCACTGGCCAGCTGGATAGAAATCCCGAGAAATTCACATGATCCATTTTTAGAAACAAAAACTTGACCCTATTTTATTAGTTTACATTTAAACTGGCCTTCTAGTTGTGCTCCTTTTGTTTTATTAGTAGTCGATTTGCTTGATTCGTGAGGTTATTGTTTTCATCTATCTTCTTTTCTGAGTTCCAACAACAACAACAACAACAAAGGACTTGAGAGCTTGTCATCTATTCACTGAGAAATATGGTAAAGCACTCCAAATTGCCTTCCGGATTAGAATCGTGCCGCAAATGGCTCTGGAAAGAACCAGGGTCCTACAAAATGGGGGGACAATCTGAATTTAGAGAAGGAAGACCCCAACCACTGCTGCGAGGATCCTCGCTCCAATACTCAGAGTGGGTCCTTTGATGTGAATTAAGGTTTCTTTTCTCGCTAAAGGCCTTCCCGCACTCCACGCATTTGTACGGCTTCTCCCCGGTGTGCGTGAGGTGGTGGCGCAGGAGATGGGCTTTCTTACGGAAGTTTTCCCCACACTCGGAGCATTTGAAGGGCTTTTCCCCCGTGTGGATCCTTTGATGGGTGACAAGATTCGTGCTCGTACAGAAGCTCTTCCCGCACACGGCACAAGTATAGGGTTTCTCGCCCGTGTGAATCCGGCGATGAGACGTCAGGCTCGTGCTGGTGCTGAAACTTTTACCGCATTCCGGACACATGTACGGTTTTTCCCCCGTGTGGGTTCTTTGATGGAAAATAAGGCTGGCGTTTTGGGCAAAACTCTGCCCGCAATCCAGGCAGGTGAACGGCTTCTCTCCCGTGTGCGTTCTCTGATGGGCCATTAGAGTCGAGCTGTGGCTAAAGCTCCTTCCACACTCCAGGCACTGAAAGGGTTTCTCCCCGGTGTGAGTTCGTTGGTGCAACGTCAAGTTGGTGTTCTGGCTGAAACTCTTCCCGCATTCCGAACATTTGTACGGTTTCTCCCCCGTGTGGACTCTCCGATGGGACGTCAGTTGCGAGCGATGGCTGAAACTTTTCCCGCATTCCCCGCAGGTGTAGGGCTTCTCGCCCGTGTGGATGCGCTGGTGGCGGACGAGCGTGGTCTTCTGGCAGAAGCTCTTTCCACACTCCAGGCAAGTGTACGGCTTCTCCCCAGTGTGAATGCGCTGGTGGGTGATAAGCGCCGTGCTCTGACAGAAGCTCTTCCTACATTCTAGGCAGGTGTAGGGCTTCTCCCCCGTGTGAATCCTCTCGTGCCTAATGAGGCCTTTCCTTTGCGAGAAACTTTTCCCACAGACAGAACATTTAAAGGGTTTCTTCTCTTTGTGAGTTTTCAAATGAGTGTCGAGGCTCAACATGCAGCTGAAGCTTTCCCCGCATGCCAGGCACTCGCTGCTTTTCCCCCCCTGACATGCGGTTTCTAGGGCTGGGAATTCACGGACCACAATATCCCGAAAAACAGGGGATGGAGGCATCCTTTTTTCTTGCTCTTCCATCTTCTGGCGCTGCTTCTCCTCTTTCTTATCCGCAGCTTTCTCAAAAACCAGCCCATGGATTTCTCCCTCCATTTTGGCCTCCCAGCTGTTCCCAGCTGAAACAAACAGAAATGGGTGTTAAAAAGGGGTGGAGTGTGGGAAAAACAATGAAACTTTGATTTTGGGTTTTACTGATTAGATTTAGATTTGTTGTTTTGGAAATGGCTAGTTTACACTACTACGGAAAAGTAAAAAGTGGAAGTTTGATGTTAATGCTTTATTCCACTGCAACAGAGGAAATCAGAAGTCAATGCCCTTTCTTTTCTTTTTCCCTTCTTGTTTTTCTTTCCCTTTTCTCTTTTCCCTCCCCACTGTGTCCTACTGTTTGTTTGTGTTTTACTTTATAATCTAATAAAATGTTATAAATCTAAAAAAAAGGGGGGGGGTGGAGTGTCAACCTACAGCCATAAACTCCATCTTCGCAATTGGGGATTTCTGGGAATTGAAGTCCACACGACTTAAAAGTTGACAAGGTTGAAAAACAATGCTCAAACTAGGATGGAGTTAAAAGTGTTAGGGACTCGTTTCACATGCTTCCTAGCTTAATTCCAAATTCCAGATGTAAGAGATCAGAAGAAATCTCTCCACAGTGGGGTCTGCAAGATATTGCCACTGTTGTTGGAATGACAAACAATACCAGCATGACATTAGAATAAAATAGGGTAGGGTAGGGTCAGCATGACATTAGAATAAAATAGGGTAGAGTAGGGTAGGGTAGGGTAGGGTAGGGTAGGGTAGGGTAGAGTAGAATAGAATAGAATAGAATAGAATAGAATAGAATAGAATAGAACAGAATAGAATTCCCGCAACCGTTCTTTGTATGATTTAGCCTCCAGCCCCGATCATCTTTGTTGCTCTTCTCTGCACTCTTTATAGAGTCTCAACATCTTTTTTACATCGTGGTGACCGAAACTGGATGCAGTATTCCAAGTGTGGCCTTACCAAGGCATTGTAAAGTGATATTAACACTTCAAGTGATCTTGATTCTATCCCTCTGTTAATGCAGCCTAGCACTGTGTTGGCTTTTTTGGCAGCTGCAGCACACTGCTGGCTCATATTTAAGTGATGGTCCACTAGGACTACGAGATCCCTCTCACAGTTACTGTTATTGAACCAGGTGCCACCTATACTGTACCTGTGCATTTGTTTTTTCCTTGCCTAAATGTTGAGCCTTACTTCATTAGGTGAGCAAGCGATAGCATTCATATGAAGAGAAGGGATGGAGTCACATTGCAACTCTGCTTTCATCAGCCTGACTCTCTTGCAATACCCCTCCCCCTTCATCCACGGATGCTGCTGAATGTTGGGATCTCCGATGAAAACTTTCCTATGACTAACACTTTTGTCCTTGTCCATCTGCCCCATCAAGGAACACAATTTACCCAGAAAAGCCAAATTTCCACAGTTCTCCTCCATCACTTCCACATGGAGAGCTCGTTGGTCTAGATCCAGCAGTGCCCACTCCTCATCAGTGAAGTAGATTGCCACATCCTCAAAAGTCACCAGATCCTGAAGGACAAAAGGGAAGGACGTGAATTCTTTTAAAGTCTATTTTCAGGAACAGGAGGATAAAGAATTTCTGCCTACAAGAAATGCCCAACATTTCTTTCCATTGACCCTAAGTGGGGAGTGGGGGTCTGTCTGTTTCAGCCCATCCTCAGCCATATAGGCGCACTGGCCCTGAAGGCTAGATCAGTAAAGTCAGAAACAGGAGGTCAGATGGGACCATTCTAGGAAAAGTGACATGATAAGGGTGACATGATAGCAGAGTTCCAATATCTCAGGGCCTAAGGCTTCATATAGCACTAAGAGGGGAAAAACAGCAAGAGAGGGAGAGAGTAGAGTAAAGTAAGAGTAGAGTAGAGTAGAGTAGAGTAGAGTAGAGTAGAGTAGAGTAGAGTAGAGTAGAGTAGAGTAGAGTAGAGTAGAGTAGAATAACAAAGTTGGAAGGGACCTTGGAGGTCTTCTAGTCCAACCCCCTGCTTAGACAGGAAACCCTATATCATTTCAGACAAATGGTTGTCCAATTTCTTCTTAAAAACTTCCAATTTTGGAGCATTCACAACTTTTGGGGGCAAGTTGTTCCACCGATTAATTATTCTAACTGTCAGGAAATTTCTCCTTAGTTCTAGGTTGCTTCTCTTCTTGATTAGTATCCATCCGTTGCTTCTTGTCCTGCCCTCAGGTGCTTTGGAAAATAGCTTGACTCCCTCTTCTTTGTGGCAGCCCCTGAGATATTGGAACACTACTATCATGTCACCTCTAGTCCATTAAACTAGACGTACCTAATTCCAGTAACTGTTTTTATGTGTTTTAACCTCCAGTCCCCTGATCATCTTTATTGCTCTTCTCTGCACTCTTTCTAGAGTCTCAACATCTTTTTTACAGCATGGTGACCAAAACTGGATGCAGTATTCCAAGTGTGGCCTCACCAAGGCATTATAAAGTGGTATTAACACTTCACGTGATCTTGATTCTATCCCTGTGTTAATGCAAGCTAGAACTGTGTTTGCTCTTTTTGGCTGCTGCAGCACGCTGCTGGCTCACATTTAAGTGACCAAAACTGGATGCAGTATTCCAAGTGTGGCCTTACCAAGACATTGTAAAGCGGTATTCACACTTCTCATGACCTTGATTCTAGAAAGATGAGGCCTTCAAGGCCTTGCTTATCTATCCAGCAGCTATTCTCCTACCTGAAGTGGTTCTTCAAGAACTGTTTCTATTCCACTTCCACATGAGTGCAACCACGACTGTACCATTGGTGTCATTCCTTCATCTGTGAGGGACAAAAAAGGGATTTTCTCCAAATGTTAAAATCCAGCATCCTCAAATCTCCACCCATGCATCAAATCCTAGAGCCTCATTTTCCTATGACAGCCCTTAGGAAATGTATAAACAGCAACTGCATATGTCCTGTTGAGGTCTTTCAACCATCCTTGAGACAGTCTTATCTGTTTTCCAGGGTCTTTTTTCTGGACCTCCTTCAGTTTCTCCATGTCTGTCACACCTCTAGTTGTGTCCATGGTCACATACAGCACTGTGTTGATCCCAGTGAAAAAAATGGGACTGAGATTCAATACGAAGAAGATCAACCAAATGACAACAGGAACAGCAGCCCGTTTCAGAATTGGCAAATGAAGATATCAAAGTGCTGGACAGCGTCTGACTTTTACGATCAATCATCAAGAGTAAAAAAAAAAAAAAAAGTAGTCAAGAAATACGCCTCTCTTGAGGCACACATGACAAGGCCTGTATGATCATATTTTGGACATATCACGAGACACCCTCACTCTCTGGAGAAGCTCCAATGGTGGGAAAAGGGGAAAGAAAGAGAAGTGGACAACCAGCAGCAAAGTAGATTGATGGACTCAGTTGCAGAGGCAATAGGTACACTATTGGGAAACCTAAAAGACCAGATGGGGTACTAATCATGGAGAGAATCTATTTACGGGGGTCACTAAAAATCAACATTGACTTGATGGCAAATAAACAATCACTAGATTTAGGGCATGGACCATGACATTAGCAAATTTATCTGTCTTTCTGTCTATTATCGTCTGTCTGTCTCTTTCTCTCTCTCTCTCATCTATCTATCATCTATTATCTATCATCTCTATATCTATAATCTGTCTATCTATCATCTATCTATTATCTGTCTGTCTGTCTTCTATCATCCTTCTATATCTATCATCTCTATCTATCTACCATCCATCTATCTATCTGTCATGTTCTTTGAAGTAACTTCCAGGCATTGTTTAACCTAAAAAGTCTTTATTCTTTGTGTGACAGAATGTCAGCACGGCATGGATGAATGCCAAGATCTGAATTTCCTTTCCTTGCACATAACATTCCAGGCTATTCCCCTCCCCTATTTTACAGTCATAAATCACATTTTCCAATCAGCCTGAAGGGCAAAGATTCACTTCAGTTATCCAGCGCACTCCTCATCTTTCTCCTCCCCTCCCAGCATCATCTTAATTAACTCTAAAAATACCAGACAGTTCTGCATATCTTGTCAAAGCAATAATATCCAATATTAACAGCGTTGACACTATCTGTCTATCTATCTATCTATCTATCTATCTATCTATCTATCTATCTATCTCATCTATCATCCATCTATATCTATCATCTCTATCTACCATCTATCTATCATCTATCTATATCTATCATCTCTATCTACCTACCATCTATCTATCATCTATCTATCTACCTACCTACCTACCTACTTATCTATCGTCTATCTTTCTGTACTGCTCATCTTTCTCAAAGATGGAATGTTAACTGAAGACTTCCATAAACAATTTAAAGCCGTTTTATTCAAATGTGCTTTCAGTCCCCGCTGACTGACAGTAGCCAATCTTGAGTTTCTTTTTTTTTTTTTAACCTTGGCTTGTCTTTCACAATTAATTCTTGTTTTTAATATTCATCTTGTTTTTTGTGTTGGTTCGTTGTAGGCTGCCACGAGTCTTTTGGGACTAAGAAAGATTATACCAGGGGTAGGGAACCTTGGCTCTTTTATTACTCGTGGACTTCAACTCCCAGAATTCCTGAGCCAGCCATGCTGGCTCAGGAATTCTGGGAGTTGAAGTCCACGAGTCATAAAAGAGCCAAGGTTCCCTACCCCTGGGTTATACATACAGTTAGCAAAAAGAAGTGATTCAAACAGGAGTCACTGATGACACAGTGCAACTGTAAAAGACTACAGATTATAATAAATCTTCCCAGATTTCAGAGAAGGGTCAAGAAAAAGAAATTGAGAAGAAATCTGCCAAGGCAGGCCTTACCCTGCTGGGAACCGATCTGCTCGGGCTCCTCCTCCTCCACAATCCACTTGAAAAATGTTCCGGGTCTGATGCTCGAAGAGGCTTTGCCCACCTCGCTGGCCACCTTTGCACAATGTCCCTCTTCCTGGAACAGAAGAGTAGAAGGTTCCCAGGAGGAGAAAGGGACCGTGATGGACCACAATGCTTTTCTAAGGATTGTGGTTATTTGCTCTTTCCAACTACAGGTAGTCCTCGACTTACAACCATTTGTTTAGTGACCACTGGAAGTTACGACAGCACCAAAAAAAGGGGTCTTACGTTGAACTGGAAGACCTCCAAGATCCCTTACTTCTATTCTATTCTATTGTATTCTATTCTATTCTATTCTATTCTATTCTATTCTATTCTATTCTATTCTATTCTATTCTATTCTTCTGTTCTGTTCTACTCTGTTCTTATTTTATTCTACTCTACTCTACATTCTTATTTTATTCTACTCTATTCTACTGTACTGTACTCTATTATTCTATTCTGTTCTACTCTATTCTTATTTTATTCTATTCTACTCTACTCTACATTCTTAATTTATTCTACTCTATTCTATTGTTCTGTTCTACTCTATTCTTATTTTATTCTACTCTACTCTATTCTTATTCTATTCTGTTCTATTCTACTATATTATTTTATTCTATTCTCTACATTCTTATTTTATTCTATTCTATATTCTATTCTATTGTTCTGTTCTGTTCTACTCTATTCTTATTTTATTCTATTCTACTCTACTCTGCATTCTTATTTTATTCTACTCTATTCTATTCTACTCTATTCTTATTCTATTCTGTTCTGTTCTACTCTATTCTTATTTTATTCTATTCTCTACTCTACATTCTTATTTTATTCTATTCTACTCTACTCTGCATTCTTATTTTATTCTACTCTATTCTATTCTACTCTATTCTTATTCTATTCTGTTCTGTTCTACTCTATTCTTATTTTATTCTATTCTCTACTCTACATTCTTATTTTATTCTATTCTACTCTATTCTATTCTATTGTTCTGTTCTACTCTATTCTTATTTTATTCTATTCTACTCTACATTCTTATTTTATTCTATTCTATTCTGTTCTTATTCTGTTCTGTTCTGTTCTGCTCTATTCTTATTTTATTCTATTCTACTCTACTCTACATTCTTATTTTATTCGACTCCTACTCTACTTCACTTACTCTACTCTACTCTACTCTACTCTACTCTACTCTACTCTACTCTATTCTATTCTTATTCTATTCTCTTCTACATTTGTATTTGTATTTCTATTGCGCCTGGACCAGGATACTGACCTGCTGCTCTTCCTGAGTCTTTTCTTCGGCCTTACTCAGCAGGAATCCTTCAGCCAGGGCCACCGCTTGAGAACTGGACTCCGGCCCACATTCTCTAACCCAGTTCTCCATCTCGGTGGGCAGGACAGCCAGGAACTGTTCCAGGATCACCAGATCTAGGATCTCATTCTTTGTATGCCGCTCTGGCTTGAGCCACAGGAAACAAAGATCACGGAGATGATTGCATACTTCTCGGGGTCCCCAGACCTGCTGGTAGTGGAACTGCCGGAAGTGGAGGCATCGAGCATCCACGGTGTGATTGAACTCCCCTGGCATCTTCTTAGCAGCCCCGAGCGCCACCTGGTTCCCAGCATGGAGAACAGCAGAGTTCCTTTTTGCTTCTGGACCAGTCAGGTTTTGCTCCATTTTTCAATTGTTCCGGGGTAGCTCCCATCAGGAGCAAGGAGGCAACCTCTTCCCTTGCTAAGGGAAACAGGGTCTGAAGCTATAACAAACCAAAATGTCGCTCATTCTCAAAGCAGTAAAGGATCTGCATCCAATTCTGGTCACCACGATGTAAAGAAGATGTTGAGACTCTAGAAAGAGTGCAGAAAAGAGCAACAAAGATGATCAGGGGACTGGAGGCTAAAACACATAAGGAATGGTTGCTGGAATTTGATATGTCTAGTTCAGACAGGTCAAACACAAGGCCCGGGGGCCGGATGCGGCCCGCGAAGTGGTTTCATGTGGCCCGCGAAGCCATCCTGGAAACAGTGAGAGAACGGCCCCTGCTGCCTTGGCCTTGTACAATTTTGGGGTGGCCATCTTGGCACTTGCCTGGTAGACCATTCCTTGGCACTTGCCCCGGTCCCACCCCCTTCTGCCAGAGACCCTCAGATCTGTCCCACTCCTGCCCAGGCCCCCATAGGCACCCTTGACACGAATGATATAGAACTGGCCATGCCCACCCAGTAGGCCACACCCACTCCATCAACGCCCACTCAGTAGGCTGTACCCACTCTGGCCACATCCACCCAGCCCCCCAAGGGCAACCACAATGCTGATGCGGCCCTCAGTGAAATTGAGTTTGACACTCCTGGTCTAGTTTAATGAAGAGAAGGACGAGGGGGGACATGATAGCAATGTTCCAATATCTCAGGGGCTGCCCCAAAGAAGAGGGAGTCAAGCTATTCTCCAAGGCGCCTGAAGGCAGGACAAGAAGCAACGGATGGAAACTAACCAAAGGGAGAAGCAACTTAGAACTAAGGAGAAACTTCCTGACAGTGAGAACAATTAACCAGTGGAACCACCTGCCTCCAGAAATGGTGAATGCTCCAACACTGGAAGTTTTTGAAGAAGAGACTGGACAGCCATTTGTCTGAAATGGTATAGGGTTTCCTGCCTGAGCAGTTCCCTTCCAATTATGTTCTGTACTGTACTGTACTCTACTCTACTCTACTCTACTCTACTCTACTCTACTCTACTCTACTCTACTCTACTCTACTCCTCTACTTCTGGTAAGCAATCCCAGCTGGTAACTGCCGCATCTCCTCGTAGAGAAACTTTCAACCTCAAAGGGCAAATGAAGGTACCGTAGAGACAGTCACACCTGTAACAATGGAGAACAAAGCCATAATAAACCTACTTTCCCCAACTTTGGGCTTTCCAGATACGATGAACAGCGAATCTCAGACTACTGTAGGTCTAGTTCAGTGGTTCTCAACGTTTGTGTGACGGCGACCCCAGCCGCACAAACGTTCTGCGCATGGGGGGGGGCGGCGCGCATGCGCGGCCCCATGCGTGGCGCTGCCCCCATGCGCGGCCCCATGCGTGGCGCCGCCCCCATGCGTGGCGCGCATGTGCGTCGCCCCATGCGCGGTGCGCATGCGTGGCGGCGCCCCCTAAGGGGGGGAAATGGTGGATCACCTTCTTTGGCGACCCCCAAAAAATGGTCGGTCGACCCCAAATGGGGTTGCGACCCATAGGTTGAGAACCGCTGGTCTAGTTTAACAAAAAGAAGGACTAGGGATGATATGATAGCAGTGTTCCAATATCTGAATATGTATCTGAAATGGGATAGGGTTTCCGGCCTGAGCAGGGGGCTGGACTAGAAGACCTCCAAGGTACCTTCCAACTCTTCTCTTATTTATTTTATTTTTATTTATTTTATTAAAATTTATAGACCGCCCCACTCCCGCAGGACTCCGGGCGGCTAACAATAAAAACACAATATAACTTAACAAGACAAACAATACAGTAACATTCATCCAGGGGTCAGAATTTATAAACCCCAGGCCTGCCGGAAAAGCCAGGTCTTAAGCAGCTTGCGGAAAACCAACAGGGCGGGAGCGGTCCTAATCTCTGGGGGGAGCTGATTCCAAGACTTGGGCGCCATCACGGAGAAGGCCCTCCCCCGCGGCCCCGCCAAATGGCACTGCTTGGCCGACGGGACCTGAAGGAGGCCCAGCCTGTGGGATCTAACTGGACGAAGGGAACTATGAGGTAGTAGGCGGTCTCGCAAATAGCCTGGTCCTGAGCCATATATCTCTTCTCTTATTCTAGTCTACTCTACTCTATTCTACTCTACTCTACTCTACTCTACTCTACTCTATTCCACAACTCAACATGAACATCTTGTGGAAGCGATGCAGTGTCATGCCTTCTCACTTATGCCTTCGGGAACATCACCTGCCCAGAGACACCTGTGGGGCCTACCTGGAAGATGCCCTTTTAAGACCAGACTGTGTTCCCAGATGTACAGTTGGGGTGTCTCTGGAGTCCCTATGGATTTTTCCCCCCTGAATGTTATTATATTTAGTTTTGTCTGGGCAGTTATGTCCCTTTTAAGTTTTCTTTTAAATACAGGACCCAGATTGTTGGGGGCAATGTAAATATATATATACACTGCTTACTGGTGTACACCGCTTAGAGAGTGCTTGCACTTAAAGCGGTATATAAGTCTCATAAATAAATAATAAAGTTGGAAGGGGCCTTGGAGGTCATCTGGTCCAACCCCCTGCTCAGGCAGGAAACCCTACACCATTTCGGACAAGTGGCTGTCCAGTCTCTTCTTAAAAACTTCCAGCATTGGAGCATTCACCACTTCTGAAGGCAGATTGTTCCACTGGTTAATTGTTCTCACTGTCAGAAAGTTTCTCCTTAGTTCTAGGTTGCTTCTCTCCTTGATTAATTTCCATCTGTTGCTTCTTGTCCTGCCTTCAAGCGCTTTGGAAAATAGCTTCACTCCCTCTTCTTTGGGGCAGTCCCTGAGATATTGGAGCACTGCTATCATGTCCCCCCTCGTCCTTCTCTTCATTAAACTAGACATACCCAATTCCAGCAGCCGTTCCTTATATGCTTTAGCCTCCAGTCCCCTAATCATCTTTGTTGCTCTTCTCTGTACTCTGACCCCCTCCTCTTTGTGACAGCCCCTCAAATACTGGAATACTGCTATCGTGTCACCCCTAGTCCTTCTTTTCTCCAGACTGGCCATACCCAAATCCTGCAGCTTTCCAGTTCTCAATTTGAAACAGGAAGAGACTCAAGAGCTTGAGCGTGGATTGCATTTCACTTCAAAGGGTGGTGGGTGGGTGGTGGATGGGGGTGTCTTTTGGTCGTCTCTGAATCCCCCAACAGTTCCCTCCTGGGGGGGTCTCCATCCCTCCGCAGGTGTGGGACTTACCTCCATAGCTGGCTCCCTCCCCACTGCCAGCCACCACCTGACCCCACTCACCCCAGGTAGCCTTCATCCCTTCCCAGCCAGGAACTCACCAGGCATCCCAAGACAAAGACCCCTTTGCCCAAGGGGGGAGATAAGGAGGAGGGGCAGGACAGGAAAGGGCTGTTTCCCCCCCTCTCTCTCTTTCCTTCCTCCTGGCTTCTCTAGCCGTTTAGCCTCTCTCATTTTAACCCCTAAGAGGCGAGAAGGTGCAACATAAGCAGCGCAGGCTGAGTCTCATGCTTATCCCTTCCTGCTAGCCCTCCATACGTTACACAACTAAGTAAAAATAAGTAAAGATTTTAACTTAACTTGTTTGCATTCTTATCATACCTTGCCTATCTTAAGACAGGCTTAAGATACAGAAGGATCTTGACAGACTAACAAAATGAAATTCAATGGTGAAAAAAGAAAGGTGCTACATTTAGGCAAGAAAAACCAAATGTACAGGTATAGTATAGGGGGTACCTTGCTCAATAGTAGTAACTGTGAGAGGGATCTCAGAGTCCTAGTGGACAATCACTTAAATAGGAGCCAGCAGTGTGCTGCAGCTGCCAAAACAGCCAACATAGTGCTAGGCTGCATTAACTGAGGGATAGAATCAAGATCATGTGAAGTGTTAATACCATTTTACAATGCCTTGGTAAGGCCACACTTGGAATACTGCATCCAGTTTTGGTCATCACGATGTAAAAAAGATGTTGAGACTTCAGAAAGAGTGCACAGAAGAGCAACAAATATGATTAGAGGGCCTGGAGGCTAAAACATATAAAGAACGTTTGATGGAATTGGGTATGTCTAGTTTATTGAAGAGAAGGACGATGGGTGACATGATATCAGTGTTCCAATATCTCAGGGGTTGCCACAAAGAAGAGGGAGTCAAGCTATTTTCCAAAGCACCTGAAGGAAGGACAAGAAGCAATGGATGGAAACTAATCAAGGAGAGAAGCAACCTAGAACTAAAGAAAAATTTTCTGACAGCTAGAACAATTAATCAGTGGAACAACCTGCCTCCAGAAGCTGTGAATGCTCCAACACTGGAAGTTTTTAAGAAGAGACTGGATAACCATTTCTCTTGAAATGGTATAGGGTTTCCTGCCTGAGCAGGGGGTTGGACTAGAAGACCTCCAAGGTCCCTTCCAACTGTGTTATTCTGTTCTGTTCTACTCTGTTCTATTCCTACTCTACTTTCTATTCTTCTATTCCTATTCTATTCTGTCCTGTCCTGTCCTATCCTATCCTATCCTATCCTACCCTACCCTACCCTATCCTATCCTATCCATTGTGCTTCCAGGCTTCTATTCCAGGCTTCTTGGATGAGAATAGCCTGAAAGAATGCCAAGGTCATTAATGCAGGTGCTCGATGGAGAAGTTGACTATTTCCATAACAAGAAGAAGTATTACTATTGGACAATGTCAACACCAAGTGGGTGGAGGCAAGGGAATCTATTGTTTAACTAAGCAAGCCTTCAAGCGGGAAAACCAGAGCTGGTTTCGCTTCTTCTGTGCCAATGTAATTTTTCTGTAAAATATTATACTCTTGATAAAATCATGTCCCAGGAATTCCTTTTTCTGGAAATGCCAACTGGACAATTGACATTACTTTAGAAATGAAGGCCCTGTCAGAAGAATAATTTCAAGTTCCAGCTTACGCAGGAATAAGTAAAATGAAATCCAGACAGCTGTGAGGAAAGGAGATTTATTCCCCACAGCAAAGAGATTTGCCTTTGGGGAGCAGCTGCCAAGAAAATGGAGGACAGAGACATTGTTTTATAAGGGGAGCTTATCCTGGGTGTGTGGAAGTGTCCTAGGTGCCGATTCTAGGGTGACACTTGAGGGGCATGGGGGTGTGTACATGTTGACCCCAGAGAAGGGGTTATTAAAAATAAGTGACATGGACTAAGTCTCTTCGTTTGAATTGTGGGTGTTATCATTGTGTTTACATTGTGTTGAGTTTTGGGTGTTTGCTTGTGTGTGTTTACAATTTGAAATAAGTGTTTAATTGATTTTTATGATTTCAGAGGCTGTAAATCACTAACTTTGTGGAGACCTGACCTAAGTCAATTAACGTATGATTCCTTTTACAGTATTTATAACACAGTTATAACATTTATATACTTCCCGTAGTCCCCAAAGGGCTGGTTAGAATCCAATGACGCCTTTTATCTCTTCTTACAGGAGAGAGCCCCTCTGAAGTCAATTAGGCTTATAACTTATGATTATATTACTTTGTTGCTTATACGTACAGTGACAGCTTATACCCCAAAGAGATATTCGCTGTGTGTCCAGTCACATTTGGCCAATAAAGCTATTCTATTCTATATTCTATTCTATTCTTATTCTACTCTATTCTATTTTTATTCTATTCTTATTCTGTTTCTATTCTAGTCTAGTCTAATTCTATTCTATTCCATTTTATTCTCTATTCTATTTCTATTCCATTCTTCCTTCTATCCTTTCTCTATTCTATTCTATTCTATTCTATTCTAGTGTAGTGTAGTATAGTGTGTTGTTGTTGTTGTTAATTGCGAAGTCGTGTCCGACCCATGGACAACATTCCTCCAGGTCTTCCTGTCCTCTACTATCTTCTGGAGTCCATTTAAGTATAGTATAGTGTAGTGTAGTCTAATTCTACACTAATTCTATTCCATTTTATATCTATTCTGTTTCTATTCTGTTGTGTTGTTTTATTCTATTCTGTTCTATTCTATTTCTATTATATATTTCTATTATATTATATTTCTATTCTATCCTATTTCTATCCTATTCTACTCTACTCTACTCTACTCTACTCCACTCCATTCCATTCTATTTCTGTTCTATCCTTATCCTATCCTATCCTATCCTATCCTATCCTATTCTATTCCATCTCGTTTTGCCAATCGCTAGATTGCATTGTACAATACGCAAATTCAGTCCTTCCCCTTTTTCGTGCGGGAAATACAGCAGAGATGCCCACTGGCGATCCTTTTTCCAGCTCCCGAATTTTCAGGCTACAGAATTTCATTTAGGGTTTGTTTGCTTTTTTAATTTAGGTTTTGTTTGTGGCGCGCGGGGGGGGCGGGCGGAGTTTCTTCGTCAGCCAAGGGGCAAAATCGCTGCTTTAAACCTTGCGCGCCCCCACCATGTCCAACCTGACCCCCCCTCTTCCTCCGTTGCTAGCTCTCCTCCAAGGGTTAAAGAGAGTAAACGAAGAGTCCTAGAAAGGCATTGGGGGGGGGGGGAGAGACAGGGAAAAGCCATTTCCGGCTGTACCCTCCTCCTCCCCCCCCCCACTCACCCCCACCCCGGCTTTGCTTTTCTATGGAAGCTGAGCATTCTGGAGAGTAGCGATTCAGAAGCGCAGCTGTCCCCGTAGCTGGTAAGTTGCGGGGCCATTGGGCTTGGCTGGAGGAGGGAAGGCAGAAGGGAGTTTGCAATGGACAAGTCCAGCCAGCCCAGAGAAGGGTGAGCAAGCAAAGGCAAGGAGGCGAAGGGGGGGGGGAAGAGTCCACGCCCCCCTCCCCACGCCTTTTGCAATAAATACATCCCACGCTCCTCCTCCTTTCTGCAAAGTTACTCTAGGTGTCTGACTAGGGATTTTCCTAGCAAGATGCTGGCTGGGCTTTGCACCTTTTAAAATGAAGGAGGCATTTGCATCCCCCCCCCCCAGAGTCAGCCCAAAATGTTTGCTTTCAAGACTGCAACTGAGCTCATAAACCTTTTATATTAGGGTGCAGAGATGAGCAACAAAAATGATTAGGTGACTGGAGGCTAAAACATATACAGTAAAGGACTGTTGTTGGAATTGGGTATGTCTAGTTCAGTGGTGGCGAACCTATGGCACGGGTGCCAGAGGTGGCACTCAGAGTCCACGTCTGGGGGCACACATGCTGTCATCCAGTCTTAGGCCCTCATCTGGGTTTTATAAAACCTTTTCGCTTCAGGCCTCCGTCGCTGTGTGCCAAAAAAAAAAAAAAAGGTTCAATCAGTCAATTTCAACTTCTTGTGAGGAAAAAAAAAGATCTTGCAAAGTTGGAATTGATTGATTGAACTTTTTAGTCCCACCCAGACTGCCGTTACTACTGCAGCCACGCCCACCCAATGGGCCACACCCACCCAATGGGCCACACCCACCCGGCACCGGATGATGCCTAAGTGGGTTTTGCGTTGCAGTTTGGGCACTCAGACTCTAAAAGGTTCGCCATCACTGGTCTAGTTTAATGAAAAGAAGGATTGTCGGGTGAAATGAGAACACTGTTCCAATATCTCAGGGGTTGCCACAATGAAGAGGGAGTTAAGTTATTCTCCAGAGCACCTGAGGGCAGGACAAGAAGCAATGGATGGAAACTAAGGAGAGAAGCAACCTAGAGCTTAAGGAGAAATTTCCTGGCAGTCAGAAGAATTAGTGGAATAGCTTGCCTCCAGAAGCTGTGGGTACTCCAATGCTGAAAGTTCTTAAAAAGAGACTGGACAAATCTTTGTCTGAAATGGTATATAGGGTTTCCTTCCTGAGCAGGGGGTTGGACTAGAAGACCTCCAAGGTCCCTTCCAACTCTGTTATTCTATTCAATTAGAGTCAGGAGTGCCCAGATTTTGTTTGAAAGCCTGCCTGAAGGGGGGAAAGAAGTTTTTAGAAGTTGCTGACATATAGGCATCTAGCTTAGTTCAAAGGGCCAAACAGGGTTGGTTCTTTTTAGTGCAGTGGTTCTCAACCTTTTTAATGCCGCAACCCCCAACCGGTCGTAAGTCAAGGACTACTCAACCGGTCGTATGTTGAGGACTACTCAACTGGTGCGGCACTGTTTGCAGAATGGGACTTTTGGCGGGCTCAGCAGGGCAGAGACAGCCTGGACAATTCCTATTGGCTTTTGAAAGCCAATAGAATTAGACTCTATTTATTTATTTATTTATGAGACTTATATACCGCTTTAAGTGCAAGCACTCTCTAAGCGGTGTACACCAGTAAGCAATGTATATATATATTTACATTGCCCCCAACAATCTGGGTCCTCATTTTACCTACCTCGGAAGGATGGAAGGCTGAGTCAACCTTGAGCCGGTGAGATTTGAACCGCTGGCCTGCTGAACACAGTCAGCTAAAGTGGCCTGCAGTACTTCACTCTAACTGCTGCGCCACCTCGACTCTATTCAAGAGAGTCTATTCTATTGGCTTTCAAAAACCAATAGAATAAAAGGGAGTAGCACAGCTAAGGAAAAGGGGAAAAAAATGGTGGACTGCGTTGTTTGGCGACCCCCGTGAAATGGTCGCTCGACCCCAAATGGGGTCCTGACCCACAGGTTGAGAACCACTGTTTTAGTACTCTGACAGGAGATCACCAAAAAAATGCAGATCTGTAAGATGGACTACTAGAAAATCCAAAAATATCCAGGAAAAAAGGCAAGGGCAAAATTCTCTGTGTTGTTGCCAATATAACTGCATGTGGATTTATTCAGTGTCTACCCACCTTCTGGATATATATGCATTCAAGATATATCGAAGTGTCTGTTCAATCACTAGGAGTCAAACTCAACCAGTTTTTAATAAAAAAGGTGCCATCACATCCATCTTAATTCCTTAGGACTACATGGATAAATGCTTGCCAACTTGATCCATCTTGATTAAATAACTGTAGCTTCTCTAAGGACAAGCCTGATTTTTTTATTATTATTCTCTTCATACACCTTATTTGCAGATTCTTTTGATTTCTTTTCAGATATATTGCTTAGTGAGTGATCTCTTCATTCCAGATGCCCAATTCACTTTCTTTTTATGTTTCCAAAAATTACAGGAACATGGAAGCTTCTGCAGTGGACAAATTCCAAAAAGAAGGCCTTGTATCACAGGAAAGTCACATAGCTTCAGCTGGAAGGACCTACAACAGTATGCCCTTCCAGAATGTGGCTGAGGAACGTAAGCATTCTGAGTGGGAGAGAAAAAGCAGGAGAAAAAAAAAGGATAGCAATGCCAGAGGGACAAGAAAAATAATCATAATATAATAAGAACATGCTGGATCAGACTTTTAGCTTATCTAGTCTGGCAATCTATTCTCACACAACCAATTGCACAAGGAAGCCCATTGGTCTCCCTGCATATGGCCTACAGAGGTAGTCACACTGTCATCACAACTAATAGTCATGGATTCCCATGGCTTCCATAACTTGGCTCGCCTCTTGTTTGAAGCCAGACAACTGGATAGGCAGCACCACAGCACATTTTGTGGTAGCAAATTTGAATTGTTGAATTCAAAGTTGAATTATGTGCTGTGTTAAAAAAAATATTTCTGGTTGTTTGTTACGATTCTCTCAAGATTCAATTTCATTGGGTGACCTCTGGTTCTAGTACTCTGGAGAGGAGAAAATGTTTGCTTTTTTTACAGGGGACATACACTGTGTTGACACCTTGATTGAAGTGGAAGATTATCTGTCTGTCTGTCTACCTACCTACCTACCTACCTACCTACTTACCTATGTTCTATTACAGTGATGGTGAACCTTTTAGAGACCGAGTGCCCAAACTGCAACTCAAAACCCACTTATGCATCGTCGGGTGCTGGGTGGGTGTGGCCCATTGGGTGGGCGTGGCTACAATGGTAACAGCAGACTGGGTGGGACTAAAAAGTTCAATCAATCAATTCCAACTTTGCAAGATCTTTTTTTTTTCCCAAGAGAACTTGAAATTGACTGATTGATTGAACCTTTTTTTTTTTTTTTGTACACGGCGGCAGAGGCCTAAAGCAGTGTTTCTCAATCTTGACAATTTTAAGGCATGTGGACTTCAACTCCCAGAATTCCACAGCCAGCATTGCTGGCTGTGGAATTCTGGGAGTTGAAGTCCACATGCCTTAAAATTGTCAAGGTTGAGAAACACTGGTTGAGCCAATTTCATGTCCAGGAACCAGGGCTTCGGTAGAACAACTGGGTTGTTTGTAGAGAAATTGTTTGAGAGAATATGCTTTCAAGGAAACTAATCAGGCCAGAAGCTGAGATGGAGTTTTTGCTGAGCAAATGCTAACACACGTCTATATTAATTAATTGGATAGGATGTTGTTTCTTTAAATCTTTTTTCCAGGCAGCATACAGAGTTAGTTATCTGGTTTCAGTAACTGATTGTGCTCATTCCTCAACTGGACTTTGACTTCCATAATTTCTCTTAATTTCAGATGGGCAGGTGTGGATCAGAAGAAATGTAAGAGGGGTGTCACAGCCTGCATTGGAGGACAGTTACATGTGCCAAGACGTAGAAGAAAATTTTGGAAATTCAGGGGGAATGAAGGAAAAAAGAAACCTAATTGGTGGAAGAAAGGAATCTTTTGCTAATTTGGACATTGGTTTCCATGAAATTTCAGTCCGCCCAAATATTCCGAAAGAAGATAAAAACCAGAAAGTTGGGATGAAACCTCAGATACGAACATGCACAGAAAGTTGGGATGAAACCTCAGATACGAACATGCACTGGAAAACCCACCCAGGAGAGAAGACGTTTAAATGTCTCGAATGTGCGAAGAGATTTAACAGGAGCTCCGAACTGATTAAGCATAAAAGAGTTCACACTGGAGAGAAACCCTACGAATGCCCCGAGTGTGGAAAGAGCTTCAGTCAAAGCAGAAACCTTACTTCCCATCAAAGGACCCACACAGGAGAGAAACCTTACAAATGTGTGGAGTGTGGAAAGTGTTTCGGTAACAGCGGCGTTCTCGCTTCCCATCACAGAAGCCACACCGGAGAGAAACCCTATAAATGTGTAGAGTGCGGCAAGTGCTTCAGTCAAAGTGGCATTCTCACGGCACACCAAGCGATGCACGCTGGGCAGAAGCCCTTCCCGTGCCTGGAGTGCGGGAAGAGGTTTCGCCAGCTGATACACCTCACCTCTCACAAGAGGATTCACACGGGAGAGAAACCGTTCCAGTGCCTAGAGTGCGGGAAGAGTTTCCGCCAGCACATACACCTGACTTCTCATAAAAGAACCCACACGGGAGAGAAGCCGTTTCAGTGCCGAGAGTGCGGGAAGAGTTTCAGCCAGAGTTCGCACCTGATTCGGCACGAAAGGACCCACACGGGAGAGAAACCGTTTAAATGCCTCTTGTGCGAAAAGAACTTCAGCCACAGCTCCGAACTGGTTCGACACGAAAGAACTCACACAGGGGAGAAGCCGTTTAAATGTCCGGAATGCGAGAAGAGTTTTAGCCGCAGTTCCGAACTTATTCGACATAAAAGAATCCACACTGGGGAGAAGCCCTACAAATGCCTGGAGTGTCACAAGAGCTTCATCGACAGCACCAACCTTCTTAGGCATCAGATAAGCCACACGGGGGAGAAACCCTACAAATGCCCGGAATGCGGGAAATGCTTCAGTCAGAGCAGAAGCCTGATGGCGCATCGGCGGATTCACACCGGCGAGAAGCCCTTTAAGTGCCAGGAGTGTGGGAAATGCTTTAGCCAGAGCGGGATCCTCACGGCACATCAAGGCATGCATACGGGACAGAAACCCTTTAAGTGCCTGGAGTGCGGAAAGAGGTTCCGTCAGCACATCCACCTCACCTCCCACCGAAGAATCCACACGGGCGAGAAGCCATTTAAATGCCCAGAGTGCGGAAGGAGCTTCCGTCAGCACATCCACCTCACCTCCCACAAAAGGATTCACACCGGGGAGAAACCTTTCAAATGCCAGGAGTGCGGCAAAAGTTTTAGTCACAACTCCATCCTTATTTCTCACGTGAGAACCCACACCGGAGACAAGCCTTTCACGTGCACGGAGTGTGGAAAGAGCTTCACCTGGAGCACCCTCCTGATTAGACACGAACGGACCCACACAGGGGAGAAACCTTTTAAGTGCCCCCAGTGTGGCAAAGGCTTTAGCGAGAGCTCGCTTCTTAATAAGCACCAGAGGCGTCACGCTGGGGAAAAACCATTCAGATGTCTGGAGTGCGGGAAGCACTTTTTTTCTAGTACGCTACTTATTCGACACCAGAGGATTCACGCGGGGGAGAAACCGCTGAATATTTGGAGGGTGGAAAATGGATCAGAAACGGTTTGAGGCAAAAGAATTTTGAAGAGGAGAAAATTCTTAGCCATTTGCAATAGTGGCGAGTATCTGTAGGATGAGGGTGAAGGTTCGTTCTCCAAGCTTGTGGGTTGGTTTCCGAACGTTTCATTACCAGGCTAGGTAACATCTTTGTTGTTTAAAAATATAAATTATTGCAGCCTTTTTCTAATTTTGTTCTTGTGATAACACAGGAGCATAAACATCTGAAGAACTGTGGTTTAATATACAATATGAAACAACAACATTCAGGGAGCATACAGAATACAAGATAGTCAGTTATATTCAAACGGTTGAAGTGAGCTAAAGATTCCAACTGCCATTTCCCTCAGACAGTCTCTTAAAGGGATACTACCCCAGAATACTCTGCTGACTCATTCTCTATATATATCACTTCTGCCAGTCAGCTACTAAATCATAATGACCTTGACAATCTTCTTTAGTGGACTTTAGAGGATGCCAGTATTCTCCAGTGTTCACAAGACCCTCACTTGACACACCCACACCTGAAGCCCTTATAAGCGGAAAAACACTGACACCAACATCTCCTAAAGATCTTACCTAGCCTGGTAATGAAACGTTCAGAAAACAACTCACAAGCTTGGAGAATGAACTTTCAATCTCCAGTATTTATATGCCGTGGTGGCATTCAGCAGCATTTAGGGGATGTCAGTGTCAAATGAGGGTCTTGTGATGGGTCAGGTGTGAGTCATCAGTGAGAGGCTTGTGATGGGTCTTGTGATGGGAGATTATATCAGGTTAGGATCATTCGGAGGAGAACTGCTAGTGGGGAGGGGCTTGTGTGACCCATCACAAGACGACCCTCACTCGGCACTCCCACACCTGAAGCCCTTATAAACAGTAGAGCGCTGACACAGATGTCCCCTAAACACCACTGAGGATGTTATCTAGCCTGGTAACGAAATGTTCGGAAAACAACCCACAAGCTCGGAGAACGAATCTTCACCCTCATTCTTGCCGTGATCAGAATGGGACAAAAGGTGGTCATGTCCTAAATCCAGCAATTATTTACCAGAAATTTGCAGAGCAAGGAACCATATTTTTCATGGAATAAGAGTTTTTGTCTCAGCCCTGTATCAGTTCTCATCAGGAAATTCCAAGAGGCAATGTGAAGCAGAAGTGCACAAAAGAAGGCAGGGTAGCAATATATTTCTAGGAAACGAAAACTATCATGAATCTGTTGTCTAGGTCAGTGATGGCAAACCTTTTAGAGACCCAGGGCCCAAACTACAATCCAAAATCCACTTATTTATCACCGGGTGCTGGGTGGGCGTGGCCACAATGGTAATGGGAGACTGGGTAGGCGGGGCCAGGGTGGCAGGGGCCAGTCCCTTATCTCTGGGACACGGCACACGTGCCCACAGAGAGAGCTCTGAGTGCCGCCTCTGGCACGCGTACCATAGGTTCGCCACCACTGGTCTAGGTGCTCTTGGCTTCCTTTGAAGAGTTACATTGAAGAAACTCACTAATTTAACTCCTATGGTTTAAAAATGTTTCTTGGTCACTTCAGCTAAGATTCTCTAGGTCAGGGGTCCCCAAACCCCAGTCCGTGGACCAGTACCAGGCTGCAGCATGCCAGCAATGGGCTGCACAAACAAGCAAAGCCCCATCCGCGGGATGTAGGCAACACAAAAACCACACACCCCCAGGTCTGCGGAAAAACCTCTCCGCGGAACCCATCCCTGGTGCCCAAAAAGTTGGGAGCCTCTGTTCTAGGTTAGTATTTCTCAATCTTAGCAACTTTAAGATGTCTGGATTCCAGCTCCCGGAATTAGCCAAGCTATGTTTTCTGGGGAATTCTGGGAGCTGGACTCCAAACATCTTAAAGTTGATCAAGTGAACATGTGTGACTCAACACTTTTATGCGCTGCTTCTCCTTGTATGGAAGTCCTTCCTTGGCATTTATGTTTATTTTCCTATTTGTAAAATTCATTTGTGAATGTATCAGGCAATACTCAAGGGCCTAGTTGCTGTTCATGTCCTAAAGTTTAATACAGTGGGGGGGAAATGTTCATTTGTCAAAACAAAAGGACCACTATGTTCAATATAACCTGAACTTTTTCTACGTAAGAGATGATGTATATTGCATGCTTAAGTGTTGTGAGGAATGTTCATAAGCTAAATCCCAGATAGGTAAGGCTTAAACATAGGTTTGGGGGTTGGGGGTGCACTAATGGAGAAGTCATGAGAACCTCTGTCATAATGACAACAAATACGAAAAAAGGGAAACTATTGTCATGGGAGCACAAGTAAGAAAGAGACAGCCATTCTGGCCGTCATCTAGGTCATGGTTGTCCCAAAGATGCTTTTTCAGGAGGCAACTGGACTTTCTTGTTTTTCTTTGAAGATGTTTCACCTCTCATCCCAGAAGCTTCTTCAGCTCTGACTGGATGATAGGGAATAGAAGGATTTATACTCCTTGCAGACAGCTGGTCATTTGCATTCTTTTAGAGTCATTGAGGCTACCTGGAGGTTTATCTGTGTCCTCAACCCATTTGCACACTCAGGTGAGGACACAAATTTCCAAGTGGCCTCAACGACTCTCTAAAACAGGGGTCCCCAACCCCCAATCCATGGACCGGCACCAGTTCGTAGCATGCCAACAACTGGGCTGCACAAACAAGCAAAGCCCCATCCACGGGGTGCAGGCAGTACACAAAACCACATCACCTTTTTCCATGGCACCAGTCCCTGTTGCCCAAAAGGTTGGGAACCTCTGCTCTTGTTGTTGTTAATTGCGAAGTCAGGTCCGACCCATCGCAACTCCATGGACAACGTTCCTCCACGCCTTCCTGTCCTCTACCATCTTCTGGAGTCCATTTAAGCTCACGCCTACTGCTTCAGTGACTCCATCCAGCCACCTCATTCTCTGTCATCCCCTTCTTCTGTTGCCCTCCATTTTTTCCAGCATTAGGCCCTTCTCCAGTGAGTTCTTCCTTCTCATTAGGTGGCCAAAGTATTTGAGTTTCAACTTCAGGATCTGGCCTTCTAAAGAGCAGTCGGGGTTGATCTCTGCTCTAAAAGAATGCAAATAACCAATCTATCTCTCTTGGTGCTGATCATCCTCTTTTTCATTTTCCTTCCACTTTTCCTAGCATTAAAGCCTTCTCCAAAGAGCTAGGCGTCCAAAGTAGGATAATTTGAGTGTGGTTGTTGTGTCTTGAGTGAGAACTTTGGGTTGATTTGTTCAACAATCCATTGTTTTCTTTTTCTCGGCTGTCTATGGTGAATTTTCAGAGTCTTCTTCAGCACCAAAGTTCAAAGTACCGTATTTTCCGGCGTATAAGACGACTTTCTAAAGCATGCAAATCGGCTCTGAAGTTGGGGGTCGTCTTATACGCCGAGTCATCTTATATGCTGGAAAATACAGTACTCTTTCCCTGTTGCTTTTCCAAAGTTGAACGTTTGCTGTCAACAAAGTATTACAGGGGATACTATTAGTTACACTATTTTGATCATTGTAGCTATGGAGACATCACAACATCTGATGACTTCATAAACAAGTCCATATTGTTTGTTCAGTGGATTATACGCTGGTGATCTCCCATTCAAAAGCTGGTCTGACCTGTTTAAGCAAAGCCAGGTAGATACCACCCTCAAAAGCTTCTCAAGCTCCTGCCTCCTTTTTTGACAATCCGTAGAAACACAGGGTAATATGGACATCTGCAAAGGCCATCCAGGTTGCTTCCATTCATGCCAAGATACTCTGAGCATGATAATCTTAGGTCAGATTTTTCAATTTAAGATGGATTGGATATAATTCCCAGCTAACATGGCCAAAGATGGAAAAGACTGATGATTGCTTCCCTTTCTTATCTTAGCTCACGTTACACTCATCGGTTCTTTCCTGTTCTACCTAAACCAGGGGTAGGCAGCCTTGGCTCTTTTATGACTCGTGGACTTCAACTCCCAGAATTCCTGAGCCAGCATGGCTCAGCTTGGAAACCTCTCCCTTTCCCCTCAGCATGGCTGGCTCAGGAATTCTGGGAGTTGAAGTCCACGAGTCATAAAAGAGCCAAGGTGGCCTATCCCTGCCCAATTGCCTGAATTTTGATCATGTGACCATGAGGAAAAAATATTTAAATATTTAAACCAGGGATCTTCAAACTTGGCCCCCTCATGACTCGTGGACTTCAACTCCCAGAATTCCTGAGCCAACATGGCTCAGCTTGGAAACCTCTCCCTTTCCCCTCAGCATGGCTGGCTCAGGAATTCTGGGAGTTGAAGTCCACGAGTCATAAAAGAGCCAAGGTGGCCTACCCCTGCCCTAAACCAAGAATTCCCCTGAACAATTTCACAAATAAAGGGAGACTAAATGAATTTTGGTCTGATGAGTACCTCAGAAAATTCAATATTTCTATTTCAGTAGAGAAAACAAGCCAATTTTATTCGATTTAATGAGAAATGGGCTAGCTAGGAGGGGCACAAATCTTGAGTTGTTCTTGCCAAAATGAGTCCCAACTCATTTTCTCTCTGGCATCCCCCATGCCCTTTTGTGACACCCTCTACCTTTTGCTTGAGGTAAGCCAGGTCAGGAAATACATACCAGAAAAATTTTATTGAGCAAAGGTTATAATAACAGAATTTTGAAAACTTGGCAGTTTCCCCTTCCCTTCCTTCTCTTTTATACCAAAAATAGTCCAGATGGGCCAGTCTTGAGTTTCTTCCTCATGGTGTCTTGTTTTCCAAGGCTGAGCTGATGTTTTTCAACAGCTCTGCATATTTTCTCCAAAGTCAACTTTGTGTTATCTACACTTTTTCCATCTCCCTCCTGTGCAGTGTCTTAGCACAGATCAATGGTCTGAACTGACGATGGCAGATGTCTTTGGCATTACATTAAACCAGGGGGAGGCAACTTGGGTTCTTTTAAGACTCGTGGACTTCAACTCCCAGAATTCCTGAGCCAGCATGGCTCAGCATGGAAACCTCTCCATTTCTCCTCAGCATGTGTAAGGACCCACCCCACTTTGCATCTTAAGAAGACAGAACTCTTGGAATAATTCTTCCAACAGGAATCCTTTATTAAGAGAAGTGGTTGCAGGCATGCTAGACAGGACTTGGGGTTCAAGCTCTTCCATTCAAGGTTTTTAGGGGTTCCCCAGTAGTCCCACCCAATCAACCCCCCTTCCAGTGATAGTTTCAAGTATCACAATTCCACCCCTTTTCTTCTTTCTTCCGTCTGGATGGAGACTTCAGATAACTACATGAAAGGCAAATACTCTCCTTTGGTATGCTAACACTTCGAGGTTACAATACACACACATTCAACATTCAGCCCTTTGAAGTGTACTGAAGGAAGTGAGGGCCATAAAGCCCCTTTGTTCTCCCCCTTCTCTCCCTCTTATGGCAGAATCCAGAGATGGCAGAATTGGGAGTTTCTATATTTGATAATTAAAGATGAAATATAATTGGATTCTGACAGCATGGCTGGCTCAGGAATTCTGGGAGTTGAAGTCCACGAGTCATAAAAGAGCCAAGGTTGCCTATTCCTGGATTTAACCAAGACTCTGTGTAATATTGTTAACTGCTTGGCATACTCTTTATACATTTTAAAATCCGTAAATTGTTTCCAAGACCAAAATTTAAATATGATCTGCCTTCTGCACTTTGAAAAAATAATGATTAAGGTCGAAATAGGAAACTAGGCAGTCCTTGACTTAACAATCATCCACTGAATGATCAACAGCACTGGAAAAAAAAAGATTTACAAATGAGTGTTCTTGTACTTAAGTCCATGGTCATGTGATCAAAATGGAGGTGCTTGGCAACTGACATGTCTGTATACAATTGGAAGAACCTTCAGTCACATGATTGCCTTCCCAGGGGACTTCCAACAAGCAAAGTCAATGGAAGAAGCTGGATTTGCTTAATAACCATCGCAAAAATGTTGCAAAAGTGGGTGAGACTTAAGGACTGCTTCACTTAGTGCAGAGGTTCCGATCCCAATTGTGGTCATAAATCAAGGACTACGTGCAACTGCAATCAAAGTCCACACCTTGAATTGTTAGAGATAAAATTCAAGGCAATGCATAGAATATCATTGCCGTGATGGCACAGTGGTTAGAATGCGGTATTGCAGGCTAACTCTGCTGACTGCCAGCAGTTTGGCAGTTCGATCCTGACTGGCTCAAGGTTGATTCAGCCTTCCATCTTTCCGAGGTCAGTAAAATGAGGGCCCAAATTGTTGGGGGCGAGAGGCTGACTCTAAACCACTTAGAGAGGGCTGTAAAGCACTGTGAAGTGGTACATAAGTCTAAGTGTTATTGCTATTGCACCCCCATGTCACATTGGCCCCAACCCTGTTGGCCTTTAAGAAGTCTCTAAGGATATGGGTGTGAAGAGCCTGCACAGTGACTGCGTTGTGAAGTATGGTTGGCATCATTCTGTGCTTTTATGTTTGCAATTTATTGCTTGAATTGTTTTTATTTATATATGTTTGTTTTTTGCTGTTTTATACTTGTAAGCTGCTCAGACTCACACCAGTGAGATGGGTGGCTGCATAAATTTAAATAAATAAAGCAGGCATGTGACGGAATGTAATAAAGATTTGTGTTATAGATGACTTTCACCACTATTTCTGACTTTCATACTGATGTGGGCATTCGAAGCTTTGTATATTCCTGACTTAGTTTAATAAAACTTAATTCTTTAATGTAGAAAGTAAATGAAGAAAGTAAAATCTTGTTGTACTAAACACAGGAGAAAAGGATGCTGCTTCTGATTAATCTATAGTCACATGATGTCAGGGGTTTTGGATGCAGAACTGTATACTTGGACTGTCCAATGCATTTAAGACAACATGGAGCATGTTATATGTTCACCTAGAGAATTGTGCGTATTTAATCCAAGCAAGAGGTAAAACTGCCCCTGAAAAAATTGGAATGGAATGGAATGGAATGGAATAGAATAGAATAGAATAAACAGAGATGGAAGGAACATTGGAGGTCTTCTAGTCCAACCCCCTGCTCAGGCAGGAAACCCTATACCATTTCAGACAAATGGGGGTTGGACTAGATGACCTCCAAGGTCCCTTCCAACTTTACTATTATTATTATTAAGAAAAAAAACCGCTCCCTACTCTGGAACGATCCCCCAGGACCCCCCCCCCGCCTATAGAATCTCCTGCTTGAGCGGGGGGGGGGGGTTTCACTAAAAGACCCCCCCAAGTCCCCTTCCATCTCTGTTCTGATTGATGGACGGAGCATGCGCGACTACCGTAGCTGCCTCCCGCCGCAAACTCTTTAAAGGGAGAGTAGGAAGGGAGAAGAAGCGGCCGGAGTGTTGCCTCTCTAGGAGAAAAACACCTTCCCTCCCTCCCTCCCTCCAGCTGTTCGAAGCTCGCGGAGGAGGCGGGGCATCGCGGCGGGAACCGAGCAACGGGAGTGATTGGCAGCTGTGCTTTCCCAGACCAAAACAGAGAGGAAGCGAGGCGCCTTTTTTTTCTCTCTCTCTCTCCTTTCCCGGGAAAGTTGGGGGAAAAGTGGTGAGTTGGGTTATGCCTAAAATAGGGGGGAGGGAAAGGGGGGGAGACCTGGGCAGGGAGGGAGGGAGGGAGGGAGAGAGAGCCCCACCTGGCGGATTCATCTCCAGTCTGGGGGATCTACTCTGGATCTCATTGCCGCCTGCCGGGATCCAGGACGCTCCGTAAGCGGGAGGTGAAGAGGGAGCCTCGGCTAGCCTCTCCTGGCCCTCCCAGCCTCCCTTTTGCCACGTCGGTGATGGTAGGAAGGGGGTCCTTCTGTGCTGGGACCTGGGAGTTGGTGGCTGGCCAGGGGTTTGTGCAGTGCTACGTGGGAAAGACTTGGGGAGAGAGAGCAGGAAAAGCCACAACCGTGAGAACAGTGAGATAAGATAATCTTTATTATCACTTTTTTTTTTTTTACTATGAGCATACTGGCCCACATTAAAAATGAAATTCTGTTGCCTGCTCTTGAAAGAAAACATCTTGGCAGTGGTTTGCTTTCCAATCATCATCATCATCATCATCATCATCCTCATAAGTTGGAACGGACCTTGGAGGTCATATAGTAATAATAATAATAATAATAGTAATGATGATGATGATGATGATGATGTTGGAAGGGACCTTGGAGGTCATCTAGTCCAACCCCCTGCTCAGGCAGGAAACCCTACACCATTTCGGACAAATGGCTGTCCAGTCTCTTCTTAAAAACTTCCAGTGTTGGAGCATTCACAGCTTCTGGAGGCAGGTTGTTCCACTGGTTAACTGTTCTCACTGTCAGGAGCTTTCCCCTTAGTTCTAGGTTGTTTCTCTCCTTGATTAGTTTCCATCCGTTGCTTCTTGTCCTGCCTTCAGGAGCTTTGGAGAACAGCTTGACTCCCTCTTCTTTGTGGCAGCCCCTGAGATATTGGAACATTGCTATCATGTCCCCCCTCATCCTTCTCTTCATTAAACTAGATATACCCAATTCCAGCAATTGTTCCTTATATGCTTTAGCCTCCAGTCCCCTAATCATCTTTGTTGCTCTTCTCTGTACTCTTTCTAGAGTCTCAACATCTTTTTTTACATTGTGGCGACCAAAACTGGATACAGTATTCCAAGTGTGGCCTTACCAAGGCATTGTAAAGTGGTATTAACACTTCACATGATCTTGATTCTATCCCTCTGTTAATGCAGCCTAGCACTGTGTTGGCCTTTTTGGCAGCTGCAGCACACTGCTGGCTCATATTTAAGTGAATTGATCAAGGAGAGCCTCTCGGAGGCCTTTCTCCTTCCGGTGGGAATTGCTTCACCTTTCCTTTGGACGCTTCTTCGATGGGTCATGAAAAGGGAGCTGGAAAGCTGCTTTGTTTGCATGCTGGGTATCTGCTTGTCCACAGGGAAGCAGTCAGCGTCGAGAAGATCCTCGCCAGATGTGGCCGAGAAGGAGAGGAACTGAATAAATGCCGTGGGGAAGCTCATCTTGCTTGGCCCAGAAGATGAACTTGCCAAGGTCAGGAGTCAGTGGGTGGAGAGCAGCTTTGAACCCTCTTGCCACTGAGCCCGAGGAGGGCAGGGAGGCCAAGGCCGGAGCCAAGGCCGGAGCCAGCCTCCCTCTCAAGGAGCTGCCAGCGGGCTCAGAGGCCCGGCGCTTCCGCTGCTTTGGCTACCAGGAGTCGGTGGGGCCCCGGGCAGTCTGCACCCGCCTGCAGCAGCTTTGCTATCGATGGCTGAAGCCCGAGAGGAGCAGCAAAGCTCAAGTGGTAGACCTGGTGATCCTGGAGCAGTTCCTGGCCGTGCTGCCCCCGGAGATGGCGGGCTGGCTGAGGGAGTGCGGAGTGGAAAGCTGCTCCCAGGCGGTGGCCCTGGCCGAAGGCTTCTTGCTGAGCCAGGCCGAGGAGCGGAGACCGCAGGTGAGAGCCCCTGTCTTGGGAGGAAGCCCTCAGGAGGACGGCCCGATTTCCTTGCCCACCTCAAATGTAAGTCGTAACTGTAGAAGAGGCCCTCCCCTTTCGGTCCCAGAGTGCTGTTTTCCCATCCAGATAATTCCACAGGAGGGAGGTGAATCCCGAGGGAGTTTGCACCTTCGCCTATGGCAGACATGTCAAACACAAGGCCCGGGGGCCGGATGCGGCCCGCAAAGTGGTTTCATGTGGCCCGCGAAGCCATCCTGGAAACATTGAGGGAACGGCCCCCGCTGCCTTGGCCCTGGCCCAGGCCGGCCGGGAGCCAATGTACAATTTTGTGGTGGCCATCTATGCTGAAACGCATTAGTCTTAGCTCCACAAGACCATCTAGAAACAGTGAGGAACCAGCCCCTGCCGCGTCGCCCCCGCCCCCTGGGTGCATGCTGGGGAGATGTCACCCTTTGTGAGGAATGAAGAAATGGACCATGCCTTGGCACTTGACCTGGTCCCACCCCCTTCTGCCAGAGACCCTCAGATCTGTCCATTCCTGCCCAGGCCCCCACAGGCACCCTTGACGCGAACGATGTAGAGCTGGCCATGCCGACCCAGTAGGCCACACCCACTCCATCCACACCCACCTAGTAGGTTGCACCCACCCGGCCCCCTGAGGGCAACCACAATGCTGATGTGGCCCTCAATGAAATTGAGTTTGACACCCCTGACCTATGGGTATAATACACAGTCCAGCTTTGGAGGCAGAGAAGAATCCCCTGGTTCCGGTATTCAGTTGTTTTAACTTTTGTTCTTCTGTCATCCTGGCTGTTATTTCAGATGCAGGAGCCCTTGAAGCCGGTGGTCTTGGAAGCTCCTGAGGTGACAGAAGGTCTCCCCCGTCCCTCTATGGATCAGCTATGGGGAAGCATCCCTGGAGAGGATCAAAATCCTCCTGGTGGTAGATCATCAACTGCTCAGGTAGGGAAGCTTCATCGGAAAGGAGGAGACATTTGGGGACCTGTTTTCATCGTGAGATTCAGCGCTGACCATGAGGAGGAGGTCTAGTGCTAACATCAGGAAGCAGCGGCTGATCCTGCTTCCAAAATGGGTGTTTAGGCGCAACGTACTGAGCAATCAGATTCATAAATGGAATCGGTTGACCATTTACGTGTCTTGTGCCTGCGGTAGATTACGGTCCTGTATTTAAAATGAATGACATGGGAGGATTCTCCAAGCTGACTTCTTTATTGTTTCCTCCCCTGTAGATGAAAAGTCTTGCCAGACTAAACATTTTGTTATCTGCAGCTCCCATATACGCTGAGAACTATTAGGGAGGGGCTGTCTTCACACTTTTTCTCTCACATAAAATATTGGGACTGAGGTGTCTCTCATTCCTCTGGAATGCAACCCCTCCCTCCCGGGAATCCAGCCCACTACATTCCATCACAATTGAACGCCATGCTAACAACTACTACTACTACTACTACTACTACTACTACTACTTCTTCCTCCTCCTCCTCCTCTTCTTCTTCTTCCTCCTCCTCCTCCTCCTCCTCCTCTTCTTCTTCTTCTTCTTCTTCTTCCTTCGTCTTCTTCTTCTTCCTCCTCCTCCTCCTCCTTCTGCCATATCCATTATCGGACATTGGCGATCATGTTGGCGATCCTGTTTTTATCAGCAGCCGCACGAAAAAGAGTTTTGTCCAAACCAGTCCCTTAGATTTTGAAGCCACAATGTTCCTCTTCTGCCTGGACCTCGTTTGCCTTCCATTTTTCCCTGGAGGATTAAATGCTAACGTAGGGATGCGCAAACAAAGGAATCGGCCCTCTTGATTATTCACTTTTATTCACATGTTATTAGGAGTATTCGCAGGAGTATTCCAAACAAAGAAGTGAAATAATGGCAAGAGGACTCGCATTAGACTGAAACTGTAATCGGATTAAAAGTAATAGGTGAGATTTGAAATCTTGGGAGGAGCAGCCGTAAAAACCTGGTAATAGATCGGATCAGAAAAGGGTTCTTTTGAGGGTGAAGCGTTCGTTCTCCAAGCTTGTGGGTTGGTTTCCCAACATTTCGTTACCAGGCTAGGTAGCATCTTCAGCGGAGCTTAGGGGATGTCAGTAGCAGTGTTATTCTGTTTATAAGGGATTCAGGTGTGGGTGTGTCAAGTGAGGGTCTTGTGATGGGTCGGGTGTGAAGGGTTGTGATGGGGAAGTTTATTATTTATTTATTATTTATTAATAAAATTTATATGCCGCCCAATCCCTAGGGACTCAGGGCGGCGTACAAAATTAAAACAATAAATATAAGCATAAAAATGAGTGCATTCATACAACATGTCCCAATCGTGTCCTGCCCCCCCCCCCCAATCCCAGGCCTGCCGGAACAGGAGAGTTTTAATGGCTTTCTTGAAGGCCGGCAAGGTGGGAGTAGTTCGAATCTCAGGGGGAAGTTGATTCCACCACGTCGGAGCCACCACAGAAAAGGCCCTTTCCCGAGGGCCCGCCGGCCGACATTGTCTGGCCGACAGGACCTAAAGGAGGCCCAATCTGTGGGACCTCACCGGTCTCTGGGAACTATGCGGCAGTATGCGGTCCTGTAAGTAACCTGGTGTCAGGTCAGGGTCATTGGGAAGTGAACTGGTGGAGGGGAGGGGGCTTGGCATGGGTTTGTGTAAAGGAGTGTTTTTCTCTCTTGCAAAACTTATTTTTAGTACGTGGTCGTGTGAGAAAAGGAGCGTTTTCTCTCTACTCATCTTTGGGGTATTGGAAATCTGGAAGGAAACTTTCTGGGACTTCTGCTGAGGGACATATCCTTTGACTTTCAGGGTTTGATATCCTTGGAGGAGGTGGCTGTGTGTTTCACGGAGGAGGAGTGGGTGCTGCTGGATCCCAGCCAGAGAGCTTTATACAGAGAGGTCATGCTGGAGAATGCTAGGAATGTAGCCACTCTGGGTAAGGACCTGTTTTGCTTTGGATTCCGTTACTTGTGGAAAGTCTCAAAAAAGCACCTTCTGGCTCAGTGTTTCTCAACCTTGACAATTTTAAGGCATGTGGACTTCAACTCCCAGAATTCCACAGCCAGCGATGCTGGCTGTGGAATTCTGGGAATTGAAGTCCACATGCCTTAAAATTGTCAAGGTTGAGAAACACTGTTTCAATCTAGCTAGTAGAAGGACATTCTGTTTTTGTTGCCTTTTTCCCCAACACCCAAGTAAATAAATGCAAAAGTTGGCAGGTGCTTCACAAGATCTTTTCTCAGCTGAACTTTTATTGTGATTTGATTGAGGAGCAGATAACCTGAACAACTTTAGGTGGAGATGATACTGCCCTGAATCCCTGTGGCATCGTTTCCTTACAGCAAGGGTCTTCAAACTTGGCAACTTTAAGACTTGTGGACTTCAACTCCCAGAATTCCTCAGCCGGCCATTTGTGACATGGTATAGGATTTCCAGCCTGAGCAGGAGGCTGGACTAGAAGACCTTCAAGGTCCCTCCCAATTCTGTTATTCTCGTCTATTCTAAGGAGAAATTTCCTGATAGTTAAACAATTAACCAGTGGAACAACTTGCCTCCAGAAGTTCTTATTTTCCCATTTTGGTCTTGATCTCCCAATAATAATAATAATAATAACAACAACAACAACAACAACACCCCAGACTTAACAATTGTCGATAAGAAAGACAAAAAAAGTCTGGATAGTGACATGGCAGTGCCTGGAGACAGCAGAATAGACGAGAAAGAACTGGAGAAGATAACAAAATACAAAGACCTACAAATAGAAATAGAAAGACTGTGGCAAAAGCAAGCAAGGATAGTACCAATAGTCATAGGTGCCTTGGGTGCAATCCCAAAACAACTGGAGCACCACTTGAACACCATTGGCATTGACAAATTTGCCATTAGTCAATTGCAAAAGGCGGCCTTACTAGGAACTGCTTCCATCCTGCGACGATACCTGTAATACCATCAAACATCCACATCTGCCTATGCCAGGTCCTGGGTAAGGACTCGCTAGGTAGACAAAATGCCAAATCCAGTCTGAACATCTGGCTGACTGTGCGATGATCCTTAATAATAATAATAATAATAATAATAACAACAACAACAATAACAACAACAACAATGGTGCATTGGAAGATCTGCAAAAAATATCATTTGCCCGTAAGCAAAAACTGGTGGGATCATAAAATAGAGAAAGTCATAGAAAATGATAAAATTAAACTGCTCTGGGACTTCAGAATTCAAACAGACAAGCACCTGCAACATAACACCCCAGACTTAACAATTGTCGATAAGAAAGACAAAAAAGTATGGATAGTGGACGTGGCAGTACCTGGAAATAGCAGAATAGAAGAGAAAGAACTGGAGAAGATAACAAAATACAAAGACCTACAAATAGAAATAGAAAGACTGTGGCAAAAGCAAGCAAGGATAGTACCAATAGTAATAGGCTCCTTGGGTGCAATCCCAAAACAACTGGAGCACCACTTGAACACCATGGGCATTGACAAATTTGCTATTAGTCAATTGCAAAAGGCGGCCTTATTAGGAACTGCTTCCATCCTGCGACGATATCTGTAATACCATCAAACATCCACATCTGCCTATGCCAGGTCCTGGGTAAGGACTCGATAGGTAGACAAAATGCCAAATCCAGTCTGAACATCTGGCTGACTGTGCGATGATCAATAATAATAATAACAATAACAATAATAATAATAATAATAATAATAATAAAAATAAAGTTGGAACGGATGTTGGAGGTCATCAAGTCCAACCTCCTGCTCAGGTAGGTAACCCTATACCATTTCCAGTCTCTTCTTAAAAACTTCCAGTGTTGGAGCATTTACTGCTTCTGGAGGCAGGTTGTTCCACTGGTTAATTGTTCTGTCAGGAAGTTTCTCCTTAGTTCTAGGTTGCTTCTCTCCTTGATTAGTTTCCATCCATTGCTTCTTGTCCTGCCCTCAGGTGCCTTGCTTCTGATCTTTCAGTCTTTGGACAATCAAAGAGCAGAGTTTACAGTATTTGTCAGGGAAAAACAGAAATTCCTCATGAAATTAGGAATTTGTTTTTTCCTCACGAATATACTCGTGGCAAATAAAATAGTGTGTAAGATGAAAAATAAAAAGTGGGGAAGAGTCAAAAGAACATAATGTCTCAGCCAGAGCTATAAGTAAAATCAAACCTAGGGGTTTTTTTTAGGTCTACAAGGAAACCAGCAAAATCTTGCAAATACCCAAATAACATCTGCAGCACTTTTCATTTGTGAACCATTTTTGAGATTAAGTGTGTTTCTTTTTCCTTCAAATTAGCTTATGGGCAGAAGCATGAGGATTACAAGCACCCTGGGATATTACATACGATCAATTCTGAAGAAAGGACGCTTGGAAATCAAGGCACATTTCAAACGGGCTTGAGAAGTTGCATAAGAAATGGAGGGAAGATGTCTTCTGATCACAGTGAGGTCCATAGCCTTCAAACTCAGGAAGCTCACCAAGAAGAAGAAGAAAAGGGGAAATATCTCAGGTGTGTCAAAGGAAACAAAGAAAACTCTGACTTCACTAAATATTCTACAACCGAGACCAAAGAGAAACAATATGAATATCAAGAGGATGGAGAAAGTATCAGCTCTGCCTCCTACCTTGCTTTACATTGCCCATCATATGCCAAAGAGACACCACATACATTTATAAATTGTGAGGAAAATTTCAGTTTTGGCGGTCATATAATTTCCCATAAAGAAGAGAAACCATCTGAGTGTGGGATGGATTTCAGTAAGAAACGGTTACTTGTTTTATCCCAAAAAATTCCCTCAAGGGAGAAGCTTTATAAATGTCTGAGTTGTGAAAAGACATTCACACAAAGAAGTAACCTTATCACACATGAACGGACCCACACAGGGGAGAAACCGTATGTATGCCCGGTGTGTGGAAGAAGATTCAGTCAGAGCGGTCACCTCAAAACACATCAGCGATCCCACACGGGGGAGAAACCGCACATGTGCAAAGAATGTGGGAAAAGCTTCAGTTGCAACAGCTATTTTATTTGCCATAAAAGGATTCATACAGGAGAGAAACCATATAAATGTCCAGAGTGCGGAAAGGGTTTTAATTGTAGCAGTCGTCTCGCATCTCATAAGAGAAAACACACTGGAGAGAAGCCTTATAAATGCACAGAGTGTGGAAAGAGGTTTTCATATAAGGATGTCCTTACGAGACATCAACGAACCCATACTGGGGAGAGACCGTATACGTGCCGGATGTGTGGAAAGAAGTTCAGTGGGCGTTCAGAGCATCGAAGCCACGAAAGGATACACACGGGGGAGAAACCCTACAGGTGCATAGAGTGTGGGAACAGCTTCCGTAAGTACAGTAATTTTATTCGCCACAAAATGGTCCACACGGGAGAAAAACCCTACAAATGCCAGGAGTGTGGAAAGAGCTTCACTCAGAACGCGAACCTTATCAAACACAAAAGAATTCACATGGGAGAAAAACCATATCAGTGTGCAGATAATGGGCAAAACCTCAACCAGTCAAATTATCTTTCACCACACGGATCCACACAACAGAGAAACCATAACTCGGAAGCTTTCATCTCCAGTATGTTCTTCTAAAAAAGGGACCCTCATGGGGGAAACTAGAAATATGTGGTCTGTGGAGAAATAATAGACTTATCAGACCTAAAAGAAACCACGTGGGCCAACCTTAAAAATGCCCTGAGTGAGAAAAGACTCAAATGACCCTTTGAATTTATGCCCTTGTTTCCCATAAGAGATTTTATTTTGGGAGAAACACCTCAAGTAAGTATAAACTCTTGACTACCAGGACTTTTAAATGTGACTTTACATGAGCTCCGTGGATCATAAATGTGTGGAATATAGAAAGGGCTGATCCATACAGGAAATATTGTACCAAGAGACAAAACCATTTTAATGGGACATGTCATCTTGAATCCCAGAAAAATTCCACTTGGGAGAAATATGAACATATATTGTGGAAAAGGTGTGTGTGTGTGTGTGTGTGTGTGTGTGTATGTGTGTGTGTAGGTTTTTGGTTATTCGGGTTTCCTCCCGCATCAAATTGGAAGTGTCTTGGCGACATTTCGATGAAGTCTCATTCATCATCTTCAGGCTGGTGTTTTCGGCTTCGTGCTTCCAATTTGATGCGGGAGAAAACCCAAATAACCAAAGACCTACGTACAAACACCCGCAAAAACCTCAGAAAACATAGCAGAAGCTGTATTGCAGCAGTTAGAGCGTGTAGCGATGGCCTGGTATTGTCCTAAATTCTGGGCCGGCTACGTAAATGACACATTTGTGGTCATCAAAAGGAGTCAAAAAGCTGACTTTGTGGGTATACTCAATTCAGTGTATGTGGATATACAATTTACGGAGGAGGAAGATCACCAGGGTAGGTTGGCATTTTTGGACGTTTTGGTCCATCGCCAGCCGGATGGAACCCTGAGGACTAAGGTTTATCGTAAGCCCACACACACTGATAGGATTTTACATCATGATAGTAACCATCCAGTGGCCCACAAAGTCAGCTGTATTAGAACACTTTTTAAGAGAATAGACTCCCATTGCAATACAGCCAGAGCTAGAGTGGAAGAAAGAAAGCATCTCTTCCATGTGTGCAGACGCAACGGTCACCCAACGAAGTTTATCAAGCGCCATGGCATGCCATCCAGACCCCCAAATAATTTACAGACGGAGGAGCTACCATCACAGGTAGCCCGTGTCACCCTCATATCAGTAACGTCTCGGAGGCCACAGCTAGGTTGTTGGCACCCTACAATGTGAGGGTGGCACACAAACCCAATCAGACACTATGCTCTAGTATTATGAGACCTAAGGATCCACTCCCCACTGCAGAAAAATTGGGGGTTGTATATAAGATCAGTTGTAACGATTGCTCCAGCAATTATGTGGATGAGACTCAAAAAGAGTTAAAACTAGGATCCATGCACATAGGCTGGCCATAAAAAGAAGGGAGCAGTATTCCCAAATTTGGACACACATGGCAGAATCCGGACATAAGTTCGATTTCGACAGTGTACGAGTGATTGCCAGTGATAGTACAAAAGGGGGTAGATTACTCAAAGAGGCTTGGCTCTCAGGTGGAGAGTCCATTAATCGGCATGTGGACCTGTGCCCAGCGCATTTGGCGCTGAGAGCATGGGAGCCGCGTGTTTGACCATTACGAAGTAAGCAATTTAACAACATCTTTTATCCGCCGGAGAGGGAAATCGAGGGGGGAGGAGCCCCTGATCCCAACGATTTGCCGATATCTGGGAAAGGAATGACCGACAACCTGAGAGCCCCCTGACTACGAGAATGGGTGTACGTTCACTACGAATGAGGAAGCCCGCTAACATCAGGGATTCAACCCCTAACAGTCCAGACACCCCTTCGTGCCGTATGGGGTGTTCAGAAGAGATGACACCGCGAGTACGCAGTAGGACACAGACTAATTGCCACCTAGGGGGTCGTACCATCCCCCCACCCCCACCGATATTTCCACCGTTGCCCCATTCCCGTCTACACACCGGAAGCGTATGCATACCCACGGAAAACGGGGAGAGCACTGAGGGATGACATCATATGAGTTGGGATCTCCACCGGGCCTCCCAAAATATCCGATACATCTGGGAGAAACAACATCCCCCAGAAACACGCAAGGGGAAGGTAACCATGACCGCGTCACCTTGGGGGCGATTACGCGCTCCCGAAGAGCAGCGCAGTGGACAGATGAAAAAGAAAGAACGGCCAACGGATCGAAGACCACGTCGAACCCCATGTGGGGGGAGGATGGGAGAGACCGACCGGGTGGGATGTTAAAACAGACACGCCCGAGAGTGCCCTTCATCCCGGTTACCCGGTTAGACAGCAGGAGCTACAGGCCAATCCCCATAACGTTCTAGGAATTGTCAATGTTGAGAGTGGGGGGAAGGGGATGGCAAGCGTTGGAAAAGATAGTGGTGGTGAGATCATCAGACATACGGAGGAGGGGGGGCGTTGGGTAGCGGGGGTGAAGGCAAGACAGTACGGAGTCCCATGATAAGGAGGATGACAACGATGATGACGGACATGAAAGAGGTGGAGGTGAGAAAAAGTCCACTGAGATGGAGCACCCCAGGGAAGGGGGTGAGAGGAGGAAACAACCCAGGGATGTGGAATGTGTGTCTGATCAGAGTAAGATGGAGAGTTCTCCTGGTTTACAGATACAGGAGGAGGAAGGGGGAGTAAGTAGTAATATACGCATAGGTAAGGGAAGCAAGGGTAAATTAGTTAATATCACAGAGGTTATGACTGAAGCATTGATTAGTTGGTCAGGACCCGTGACGAGGTCTAGGAGTTGGGTGCAGATGCTGTTTCATCTATAAATAGGTTCTCCCATCGACCTGTATGAACCCTGACGATGTTGGCAGTGGCCAACGAAAGCTTGGTGTTTTTATTTAATTAAAACTTTTACAGTTTTACAATTTTTCCTGGTGATCACGTCTGTTTGTTGTTTGATATGAATACACCCAAGAATCATTCTTTTATTTTTAATATGGGTGTGGGTGTGTTTTCTGAGGTTTTTGCGGGTGTATGTAGGTCTTTGGTTATTTGGGTTTTCTCCCGCGTAAAATTGGAAGTGTTTTGGCGACGTTTCGATGAAGTCCCATTCGTCATCTTCAGGCTGGTGTTTTCAGCTTCGTGCTTCGAGGAGCAATGTATGGTCTTAACTGTTTCTTCCTTAAAAGGAAGAAACGTCGAAACGTCGCCAAGACACTTCCAATTTTACGCGGGAGAAAACCCGAATAACCAAAGACCTACATACACACACACACAGACACACACACATATAAAAATAACTTAAGTCTTCACCAAAGACACATCCGCACATTGTTAGACCAACCTTGATTCCTCTGCCCAGTTTAAGAGATTCGGTCTGGGATTGTTCTAATGAAGGCTAACAAGGTTTATCAGTTTATCCCATGAAAACAAATTGAGACTGGTGGGGAATGTTTAGCCTTGCAAAAAAAAGCATCCAAGAGGGATATAAAAGTATTTGATGAGGTGTCCCACAGAAGAGAGGAAAATCTTGTTCAGGATTGTCCCACAATACAGAATAAGAATGGCAGAATCCAGACAAATGCTACAAAAATAATAACGGTGTAAAACTGATCAATACACAAATACTTCCATGTACTCCATCCAGCCTTAATAAAGACAGATATACATGTTCTTCTCTCCAAAATCTTAACTTTTAGCCAACTTTTCAAAAATTTGGCTAGAGTTCTCCCTCAATTTAGTTAATGAATTTATTTGGGCTCCCCACCCCCGCCCTTTCCAATGGAACATGCTATTTTCTGAAGGTGTATCCTTTTAAAAGTATAGATGATTTTCCTTTTTGGTATCCTGAATATCCAGGCATATGCGTGATACTTCTATGCGTGAAGTATTAATACCACTTTACAATGCCTTGGTAAGGCCACATTTGGAATACTGCATCCAGTTTTGGTCACCACGATGTGAAAAAGATGCTGAGACTCTAGAAAGAGTACAGAGAAGAGCAACAAAGATGATTAGGGGACTGGAGGCTAAAGCATATAAGGAACGGCTGCTGGAATTGGGTATGTCTAGTTTAACGAAGAGAAGGACGAGGGGGGACATGATAGCAGTGCTCCAATATCTCAGGGGCTGCCCCAAAGAAGAGGGAGTTAAGTTATTTTCCAAAGTGCCTGAAGGCAGGACAAGAAGCAATGGGTGGAAACTAATCAAGGAGAGAAGCAATCTAGAACTAAGGAGAAACTTCCTGACAGAACAATTAACCAGTGGAACAACCTGTCTCCAGAAGCGGTGAATGCTCCAACACTGGAAGTTTTTAAGAAGAGACTGGATGGCCATTTGTCTGAAATGGTATAGGGTTTCCTGCCTGAGCAGAGGATTGGACCACATGATCTCCAAGGTCCCTTCCAACTTTATTACTAATTGTTATTATTATTATTGATCATCGCACAGTCAGCCAGATGTTCAGACTAGATTTGGCATTTTGTCTACCTATCGAGTCCTTACTCAGGACCTGGGATAGGCAGATGTGGATGTTTGATGGTATTACAGTTATCGTCGCAGGATGGAAGCAGTTCCTAGTAAGGCTGCCTTTTGCAATTGACTAATAGCGAATTTGTCAATGCCAATGGTGTTCAAGTGGTGCTCCAGTTGTTTTGGGATTGCACCCAAGGAGCCTATTACTATTGGTACTACCCTTGCTTGCTTTTGCCACAGATGATGATGATGATGATGATTATCCATAACTCATTAAATGAAAGGCTTTATTTGCCATCACTTCCATTTGGTAAAAGCTATGTTGTAGACCTTTGATACAGGTGGGTTCTTGCGCAGTTGTGATTTGATACGCCTTGTCTAGTTTTGGGGGGGAAAGTCTTCTGCTTCTTTGTTTTTTGGGGGCCCTCTTGTTATGAGAAATAGGCTAGTCATTGCTCTTTGTTTCGCTGATCTCATTCTTGAAAGGTGTTCTTCACTGTTCAGACCAAGGCATTGTAAAGTGGTATTAATACTTCACGCATAGAAGCATCACGCATATGCCTGGAAATTCAGGATACCAAAAAGGAAAATCATCTATACTTTTAAAAGGATACAGCCTCAGAAAATAGCATGTTCCTTTGGAAAGGGCGGGGGTGGGGAGCCCAAATAAATTCATTAATTAAATTGAGGGAGAACTCTAGCCAAATTTTTGAAAAGTTGGCTAAAAGTTCTGATGACACTGGCATTTACAAGATGAAGGAAGGAAGCTGCATTGTTTCTCACAAGTAGGACCTTCTTAACGGGGGGGGGGGGGGTTTGAAAGAAGAGCCCCCATAATTTCTTCTTTCAAGAAGATGTTTTAATTTTTCTGTGGGAAGAGAGAGAAGCTGCTGGGGGGGGGGGGGGAGAGAGGCTGGAAAAAAACGAGATTGCTGTTTTCTCATATAGATTTCCCTACCCACAGATGCTTTTTAGTTCATGATTGTGCAGTGCTTACAGGTAGTCCTCGACTTAACAACAGTTCATTTACCGACCATTCAAAGTCACGATGGCATTGAAAAAAAGTGACTGATGCCCATTTTCCACACTTAACCACCGTTGCAACATCCCCAGAGTCCCACGCGATCCAAATTCAGCCTCCTGGCGGCCGACTCGTATTTACAACGGTCGCAGTGTCCCGAGATCCTGCGATCACTTTGTGTGACCTGCCGAAGAGCAAAATTATGAGCCCAAAATTTCTGTCGCTCAGCGAGGCAGTTAAGTGAGTTTTGCCCCATTGTGTGACTGTTCTTGCCACTGTTGTTCAGTGGATCGCTGCAACTGTTAGTAACGTGGTTGTCTCGCTTAGCAACAGAAATGTTGGGCTCCATTGTGGTCGTACGTCGAGGGGCAAAAACTCGCTTAACCAACGTCTCGCTTAGCAACAAAAATGTTGGCCTGCGTTGTGGTCGTAAGTCGAGGACTACCTGTACTTGAGGAATCTCCTTTAAAGAAAGGAGCCCAAACACTCAAACAGCATTAGCAGGAGCTTCCCTCCTTCGGAGTGGGACGGAGCATGCGCGAGAGAGCTTTGACAGCAGTGGGCTCCTTGCAGGAAAAGGGAGGGGGGAGGACATTTTAAAAGGGGGAGCAAGAGAGGGAGCGAGGCTGTCGGAAAGAGGACGCTCTAGGAAGAAGCTCGCTCGCCCGTAGGTGGAGAGCAGGCAGTGAATGGCAGACCGAAACCGGAAGGAAGTGTCATCCCGTTTAGCCGGGGAGGCTTCCCCCCCCCCACTTTCCCGGAAAGGAGGGGAGGGGGAGCGGCTGGGTGTCCGCAGTTCGGCACGCCCGATGGCCTCGCCGAGCCCGGGAGCAGCGCCGGGTCTTTCTGCCGCCGAGCCCGAGGAGGAGCCGACTCCGCCGCGGGGCTCCGGGGAGGCGGAGGGCTTCCCCCGCTGGGGCTGCCGAGCGTCGGCGGGGCACCAACCGGTCTTCTGCAGCCGCTTGCAGCAGCCGCTGCTTTGCCCCGGCTGGCTGAAGCCCGAGCGGAGCGGCCAAGCCGGGCTGGCGGACCGGGGGATCCTGGAGCGGCTCCTGGCCGCGCTGCCCCCGGAGATGGCGGGCTGGCTGCGGGGGTGCCGGGCGGAGAGCGGCGCCCAGGCGGGGACCCCGGCCGAGGGATTCCTGCTCGGCCGGGCCCGGGAAGAGCGGAGGCGGCGGCAGGTGAGGAGAGGGGAGGATCCCCTTCTCTGGAAGGGCCGCTTTCCTTGCCCGGCTGAAGCGCATCGGTAGAGAAGGAAACTTGGATTTTCCCCTCCCCTTTCAGTTCCAGAGTGGGATTATCCTCCTCCAGATTATTGCATAGGATGGAGAAGGGAATCCCAAGGGAATCTGCATCTCCAACTATGGACCCAAAACACAATCCATCTTTGGAGTCACAAATGCAGGTTGTAACAATTGAAGAGGCTTCGGTTTCCTTCCATTTTCAGTCCCAGAGTGGTGTTTCCCCCCCCCCTCCAGATTATTCTATATAGGATGGAGAAGGTAATCCAGAGGGAATTTGCATCTCCAACTATGGATATAGCACAGCCCAGCTTTGGAGACAGAAATGCAGATTGTGACAGTGGCAGAGACTTTAGTTTCTCCCCATTTTCAGTTCCAGAGTGGGATTATCCTCCTCCAGATTATTGCATGGGATGGAGAAGGGAATCCCAAGGGAATTTGCATCTCCAACTATGGACCCAAAACACAATCCAGCTTTGGAGACACAAATGCTGGTTGCAACAATAGAAGAGGCTTTGGTTTCCCTCGATTTCAACTCCCAGCGTGGCGTTTCCTCTTCCAGATTATTCCACAGGTGGAATAATCCTAAACAATCCCAAATCAATTTGCATCTCCAATTTTGGATGTAACATGGTGCATCAATAGAAGAGACTTTAGTTTCCCTCCATGTTAGTCCCAGAGTCCTGTTTTTCTCCTCTAGGTTATTCCATAGGATGGAGAAGGGAATCCCAAGGGAATTTGCATCTCTTAACTATGGACCCAAAACATAATCCAGCTTTGGAGACACAAATGCAGGTTGTAACAATTGAAGAGGCCTTGGTTTCCTTCCATTTTCAGTCCCAGAGTGTTGTTTCCCCCCCCCCTCCAGATTATTCTATATAGCAGGGCTTTTCAACCTTTTCACCCATTGTACCACTTTTAGGATATGGCAATATCTGAGTACCACCAGTCGCCCAGCAAGGTGTCAAAAACTTGATGACCAAAAAAAAAAAAAAGGCAAAGAAGTGATAAAGTACAGGTAGTCCTCGACTTACAACAGTTCGCTTAGTGACTGTTTGAAGTTACAATGGCACTGAAAAAAGTGCTCCCCAAGCCACAGCAGAGCAAGACACCTGCCTACCCGCCCGGCGGCGCTCTTCCTCCTGTCCGAGGTTTTCATTGTTGTGAGCATTTCTGTTGGGGATTGGCAGTGGGGGGGGGGTGTTTGGTTTTTATTCCCCACCATCTGCTGGGTGGTTGCAGCAGGTTTTGGTCACTTCACATGACCCTGGGACACTGTGACCATCATAAATATGAATCAGTTGCCAAGCATCTAAATGTAAATCACAAGACCCTGGAGATGCTGCAACATTCCAGCTGATCGGCGCTTCTTCTGGGCTCAGCAGAAGTGTCAGGATCAGTGCTGCTTTCCAGATGATTGGTGCTTCTTCAAGGCTCAGCAGAAGCACCAGGATCAGCGCCGAGCTCCAGCTGGAGCCTGGCACTGATCCTGGTGCTTCCACTGAGCCCTGACAGCCCTGAAGAAGCGCCGATCAGCTGGAAAGGGGCACTGATCCTGGTGCTTCCGCTCAGCCCTGACAGCCCTGCAGATTGTGACAGTGGAAGAGACTTTAGTTTCTCCCCATTTTCAGTTCCAGAGTGGGATTTCCCCACCCAGATTATTCCACAGGAAGAAGGGGAATCCCAAGGGAATTTGCATCTCCAACTATGGATATAACACAGGCCAGCTTTGCAGACAAAAAAGGAACCCCTCGTTCCAATATTCGATTGTTTTAACTGTTGTTCTTCTGTCATCCTGGCTCTTATTTCAGATTCAGGAGCCTTTGAAGCAGGCGGTCTTGGTAACTCCTGAAGGAAGAGAAACTTTTTCTAGTCCATCTATGGGGCAGCTGTTGAGAATTTCTGAGAAGGATCAAGATCCTCTTTGTGGTGGAGCAGCAACGACTCAGGTAGGGAAGCTTTGTACGAATAAGGAAGCATTTGGGGATCTGCTTCTGTCAATGAAACTCAATGCAGATCATAAGGAGATCAGATGTTGATATCAGGATTCGGTGGCATGGTCCTGCTTTCAGGCTGTTTGCTGAAGCGAAGCACATTGAGAAGTTGAATATATTCATGGAATCACTTGTATATTTGCGGGGTTTTGTGCCTGCAACTGATTAAAATGAATGCCTTGCAATGTTTGGGATGTGCAAGAAGAGGAATCAGTTCTTTTGTATGTTCACTATCATTAATAGTTGGAGTGTTCACAAAACAATCAAAGAAGTCTATAGCAAGAGAACAGCATTAACACTAAATCTTAATCAGTTTAAGTGGAATAGGTGAGATAGAAAATAATAATAATAACAACAACAACAATAAAGTTGGAAGGGACCTTGGAGGTCATCGAGTCCAACCCCCTGCTCAGGCAACAAACCCTATATCAATTCGGACAAATGGCTGTCCAGTCTCTTCTTAAAAACTTCCAGTGTTGGAGCATTCATCGCTTCTGGAGGCAGGTTGTTCCATTGGTTAATTGTTTTCACTGTCAGGAAGTTTCTACTTAGTTCTAAGTTGCTTCTCTCCTTGATCAGTTTCCATCCGTTGCTTCTCGTCCTGCCTTCAGGCGCCTTGGAGAATAGCTTGACTCCCTCTTCTTTGGGGCAGCCCCTGAGATACTGGAAGACTGCTATCATGTCCCCCCTTGTCCTTCTCTTCGTTAAACTAGACATACCCAATTCCAGCAACCGTTCCTTATATGCTTTAGCCTCCAGTCCCCTAATCATCTTTGTGGCTCTTCTCTGTACTCTTTCTAGAGTCTCAACATCTTTTTTACATCATGGTGACCAATACTGGATGCAGTATTCCAAGTGTGGCCTTACCAAGGCTTTGTAAAGTGGTATTACTACTTCACGTGATCTTGATTCTATCCCTCTGTTAATGCAGCCCAGCACTGTGTTGGCTTTTTTGGAAAGGCAGCCGTAAAACCCGGTATCACGTCAGAAAGAGGAGCATTTTCTCTCTTGCAAAACTCATTTTTAGAATGTTGGAAAATCTTGGAGGGAACATTTTGGGGTCTCTGTTAAGGAATGTTTCCTTTGACTTTCAGGATTCGGTGTCGTTTGAGGAGGTGGCTGTGTATTTCACGGAGGACGAGTGGGCACTGCTAGAACCCAGCCAGAAAGCCTTATATGGAGATGTTATGCTGGAAAATTCTATGACTGTGGCCACTCTGGGTAAGGCTCCACTTTGCTCTGGGGTTAATTGTGGAAAGTCTTTGTTAAGGTGGTGAGAAAAAAAAAAACACTTTGCTAGAAGAAGGACATTCTGGGCCTTTTTTCCCCTAAGTGCAAAATAAATATATGAAGACGTTGGTAGCACAGATGCTTCCTGAGATTCTTCCTCATCTGATCTTTTGAGGAAGTTTTTTTTAGTGAAGGTGATAGCTTCTCTCTGATCTGATTCAAGAGCAGATAGCCTAAACAGCTTCGGATGAGGAAGAGGCTGCCCTGAATATCTCTGACATCTATTTACAACCATCCAGTTTCTTAGGTTTATTTATTTATTTATTTATGAGACTTATATACCGCTTTAAGTGCGAGCACTCTCTAAGCGGTGTACACCAGTAAGCAATGTATATATATATTTACATTGCCCCCAACAATCTGGGTCCTCATTTTACCTACCCCAGAAGGATGGAAGGCTGAGTCAACCTTGAGCCGGTGAGATTTGAACCACTGACCTGCTGAACACAGTCAGCTAAAGTGGCCTGCAGTACTGCACCCTAACTGCTGCGCCACCTCGGCTGATAACCAGTGGCAGTTTTCATACTGGCTGTTACATCAAAGGATCTCTTTTGGCTCTGGGTAAATCATTTGTAAATTTCCTGCAAGGCAGAGAATAAATGGCATTTTTTTTCCCTTGAGTACTTCAGCCCAAGATAGTTGTATAGGCCAAGGCTTTTCAACTAGTGGTACGGGTACCACCTGTGGAACATTGGCAGCTGGCAGGTGGTATGCGACCATCCTAGAAAAGTGAGCTGAACCGGTGGCAGCACGGCACAAGCCTGAGCGAGAGACGGCTGGAGCTGCAGGGCTGTCAGGGCTCAGTGGAAGCACCAGGATCAGCACCAGGCTCCAGCTGGAGCTTAGCGCTGATCCTGGTGCTTCTGCTAAGCCCCGAAGAAGCACCAATCAGCTGGAAAGCAGCACTGATCCTAGTGCTTCTGCTGAGCCCAGAAGCGCCGATCAGCTGGAAAGTTGCAGCATCTAAAGGGTCTTGTGATTTACATTCAGATGCTTGGCAACTGATTCATATTTATGACAGTCACAGTGTCTCAGGGTCATGTGAAGTAACTAAAACCTGCTGCAACCACCCAGCAGACGGGGGAATAAAAACCAAACACCCCCCACCCCACCCCCGCTGACAATCTTCAACAGAAATGCTCACAACAATGAAAACCTTGGACAGGAGGAAGAGCGCCACCGGGCGGGCAGGCAGGTGTCTTGCTCGGCTGTGGCTTGGGGAGCACTTTTTTCAGTGCCATTGTAACTTCGAACAGTCACTAAGCAAACTGTTGTAAGTCGAGGACTACCTGTACTTTATCACTTTTTTCCCCTTTTTTTTTTTTTGGTCATCAAGTTTTTGACACCATGCTAGGCGACTGGTGGTACTCGGATGTTGCCATATCCTAAAAGTGCTACAATGGGTGAAAAGGTTGAAAAGCCCTGCTTTAAACAGTTACACAGCGACTAGACAAGCAGTGAAAATACGTATTTTAATATTTCTGCAGTGATTCCACAAGCACTGGCAGTTTAGCATCTTCTCCATATTCTCATGGCATTTAAAGGAAGTCATAAATTTATAGTGTTCTAGGTATACAACGACAAAACCGGTAAAATCTTGTTTAGGAGAGAAACAATGTCTGCAACACTTTTCTTTCGTGAACGATTTTTGACCTTTTTTCCCCCCTTTTTTTTGTTCCTTTTTCTTTCTTCAAATCAGCTTACGGACAAGAGCATGAGAACTACAAGGAGCAAATGATCAAGTCTGAAGAAGGCACGCTTATAGATCAAGAACCATCACAAGGAATTAAGAAAAGCCGTCAAGCGAGTGGAGGGAAGGAATCTCCCGGATACAATGAAGTCCTTTATCTCCCAAACCAGGAAGTTCACCCTCAAGAAGAAGAGGGGAAATATCTCATATGGGGCACAGGAGAAAAAGAGAACTCCAATTTTACTAAATATTCTGCAACCGAGACTGAAGAGAAACAATACGAATATCAAGAGGATGGGCAAAGTATCAGCTCTACCCCCTACCTTGCTTTACCTTGCCCATCGTACACCCAAGAGACACCCGATGCATTTATAAATTGTGGGGGAAATTTCAGTTTCAGCAGGCATATAATTTCCCATCCAGAGGGGAAACCATCTGAGCGTCGAATGGATTTCAGTAAGAAACAGCTACTTATTATACCTCCAAAAATTCCCCCACAGGAGAAACCCTATAAATGCCTTCGGTGTGAAAAGGTATTCACTCAGAGAGGTAATCTCATCATACATGAACGGACCCACACAGGGGAGAAGCCATATATATGCCTGATGTGTGGACGAGGATTCAGTCAGAGTGGTCACCTTACAAGACATCAGCGATCCCACACGGGGGAGAAACCGTATACCTGCCTGCAGTGTGGAAGGCAGTTCAGTGGGCGTTCAAACCTTGTGAAGCACGTAAGAAGCCACACTGAGGAGAAACCGTATATGTGTATGGAGTGTGGAAAGAGTTTCCGTGACAACTGCGTCCTTATTTGCCACAAGAGGATCCACACAGGAGAAAAACCATTCAAATGTCTAGAATGTGGGAAGAACTTCAGGCGAAATTGTCACCTTGTGGAACATAAAAGAATCCATACAGGAGAGAAACCCTACCGGTGTTTGGAGTGCGGGAAGAACTTCAGTCAGAAAAGCAACCTTTTGCAACATAAACGGATTCACACGGGGGAGAAGCCATACACATGCCTGGAATGTGGGAAGAGTTTCAATCAGAGCAGTCAATTTGTTTGCCACAAAAGGATCCATACGGGGGAAAAGCCCTACCAGTGCATGGAGTGTGGAAAAAGGTTCGGTCACAATGGTAGCCTTTTGCAGCATAAAAAAATTCACACGGGAGAAAATCCCTATAACTGCACCGAGTGTGGGAAATGCTTCAATCAGAACTATAAGCTTTTGCAACATAAACGGATTCACACGGGGGAGAAACCATACGTGTGCAAGGACTGTGGGAAGAATTTCAGTTGCAGCAGCGATTTTATTTGCCATAAAAGGATTCATACAGGAGAGAAACCATATAAATGTTCCGAGTGCGGAAAGGGTTTTAATAAAAGCAGTCGACTTACATCTCATAGAAGAAAACACACAGGAGAGAAACCATATCAATGCATGGAGTGTGGAAAGAGGTTTTCCTATAAGGATGGCCTTACAAGACATCAACGAACCCATACTGGGGAGAAACCATATATATGCTTGATATGTGGAAAGAAATTCAGTGGGCATTCGGGTCTTAGAGCCCATGTCAGAATCCACACGGGGGAGAAACCCTACAGGTGCCTGGAATGTGGAAAGAGCTTCTGTAAATACAGTAATTTCATTTGCCATAAAAGGATCCACACAGGAGAAAAACCCTACAAATGCCAGGAGTGTGGAAAAGGCTTCACTCAGAATGCGAACCTTATGAAACACAGAAGAATTCACACGGGAGAGAAGCCGTACAAATGCACAGACTGTGGGAAAAGCTTCAACCAGACAAATCACCTTTCACAACATGAAAGAATCCACACCAGAGAAAAATCATAAGTTGGAAGCTTTCCGCTCAAGTCTTCTCTTTTGAAAAAAAAGGACCCTCATGGGAAAATTAGAAATTTGTGTACTGCAGAGTAGTGTTCAGTTGGATGAGTAACATTATCAGACCTAAAGGAATCCACATGGGAGAACAATAAAACGCCCCGTGTGAGAAAATATTCAAATGGCCCTTGGAATTTATGCCCTTATTTTCCCAGATCTTAACTTGGGAGAAATACCTCAAACTCTGAATACCAGGACTGACGCCAAACCCACAAAATGTGTGTCTGCATGAGCTGCATGGATTAAAAATGTTATGGTAGTGAGAGGCTGACCATTACACAAATACCTCAATGGACTCCAACCTTAATAAAGGCAAATACCCATTTTCTCCTCTCCAAAAGCCCCTTCAATTCCAAAAGTTGGCTAGAGTTCTCTCTTAATTTAATTATTGAAGAATCTATTTGGAATGGTGTTTTTTTTCTCCTTTCCCTTGGAACATGCTAGTCTCGGGGGCTGTATCTTTTGTAAAAGGGTAGATAATTTTCCCTCTTTTTTTTTTTTTTTATCCTCGATCTCCAGGCACAAATGCCTGCATGCTTCTATCCATAACTCATGAAATGACAAGATTTGCCGTTGTTTCCCATCTGGTCAAAGCCAGAGACTGAAAGAAATGTCCCCACAACTCCTTATTTGGGGAGAAGGCTTTAGTTCTGGAAGTACAGGGTGTCAAAGTTCCGACTAATGAAACACTTCAAAGAACTTTCAGGCATGTTTATCCTAAAGCCTTTATTACAGTGCTATAAATTGACGGCACATCACGGACATTTTTGATCCAGAATCTGAGGACTTCTTGCTGGCATCTAACTTTTCTTGCTAAACCCCACCCTTATCTTGCAGTCACAAGTCACATTATCCAATTAGTGTGAAGGTCAAAGGTTTACTTCCTCTTTCCCTGGCTTTTTACCCCCCCCACTCTAAGCTATGTATTAACCCAATAAACACCAGACAGTTTTATATATTGTCAAAGCAAGAATATACAGTATTTGCAGCATTGACACAGGGGAGCTGCTGAGGGAAAGAGGTCAGAAAAAAGCGGGATTGTAGGTTGTCTTGCGTAGATTTCCCTCAGAGATACTTTTGAGGCCATGACTGTACACTGAGTTGTTCCTTGTATTTCTCTCTCTTGCTACTGAATACTATACCCTATACCAGGGGTAGGGAAGCTTGGCTCTTTTATGACTTCTGGACTTCAATACCCAGAATTCCTGAACCGGTCTCCCCTGCCTTATACTATACTAAAATCACTGTGAGAGGGACCTCGGAGTCCTAGTAGACAGTCACCTAAATACGAGCCAGCAGTGTGCTGCAGCTGCCAAAAAGGCCAACACAGTGCTAGGTTGCATTAACAGAGGGATGGAATCAAGATCACGTGAAATATTAATGCCACTCTACAATGCCTTGGTAAGGCCACACTTGGAATACTGCATCCAGTTTTGGTCACCACGATGTAAAAAAGATGTTGAGACTCTAGAAAGAGTGCAGAGAAGAGCAACAAAGAGGATTAGGGGACTGGAGGCTAAAACATATAAGGAACGGTTGCTAGAATTGGGTATGTCTAGTTTAACGAAGAGAAGGACAAGGGGGGACATGATAGCAGTATTCCAATATCTCAGGGGCTGCCATAAAGAAGAGGGAATTAAGCTATTTTCCAAAGCACCCGAAGGCAGGACAAGAAGCAACAGGTGGAAACTAATCAAGGAGAGAAGCAACCTAGAACTAAGGAGAAACTTCCTGACACTGAGAACAATTAATCAGTGGAACAGCCTGCCTCCTGAAGCAGTAAATGCTCCAACACTGGAAGTTTTTAAGAAGAGACTGGACAGCCACTTGTCCGAAATGGTGTAGGGTTTCCTGCCTGAGCAGGGGGTTGGACTAGATGACCTCCAAGATCCCTTCCAACTTTACTACTATTACTAATACTGACTATTCAAGTTAAAAAATAAACATTTAGTTTCAAGGGAGCTTAGAGGTCATCTAGTCCAACCCCCTGCTCAGGCAGGAACACCATTTCAGACAAATGGTTGTCCAGTCTCTTCTTAAAAAGCTTCAGTGTTGGAGCATTCACAACTTCTGGAGACAGGTTTTTCTACAGGTCAATTGTTCTAACTGTCAGTAAATTTCTCCTTAGTTCTAGGTTGCTTCTCTCCTTGATTAGTTTCCATCCATTTCTTCTTGTCCTGCCTTCAGGTGCTTTGGAGAATAGATTGATCCCCCTCTTCTCTGTGCAACCCCTGAGATATTGGAACATGGCTATCATGTCACCCCTTCTCTTCATTAAACTAGACATACCAATTCCAGCGATCGCTCCTTATATGCTTTAGCCTCCAGTCCTCTAATCATATTTGTTGCTCTTCTCTGCATTCTAGAGTCTCAACATCTTTTTTTACATCGTAGCGACCAAAACTGGATGCAGTATTCCGAGTGTGGCCTTACCAAGGCATTGTAAAGTGGTATCAAGACTTCACGTGATCTTGATTCTATCCCTCTGTTAATGCAGCCTAGCACTGTGTTGGCCTTTTTGGCAGCTGCAGCACACAGCTGGCTCATATTTAAGTGATTGTCCACTAGGACTCCCAAAATCCCTATCACAGTTGCTACTATTGAGCCAAGTACCACCTATGCTATACCTGTGCATTTGATTACATATTCAGACAAACAAAAAATACTGATGAATACGGATATAGGTAGTCATAAAATATGACCCCAGAATGGATCAGATATTCTGTTGCCAACCGAGACAGTTGTTAACTGAATGGTGACCCATTTTATGACGATCTTTGCAAATCACCGCAGTTGTTAAGTGAATCACACAGTTGTTAAGCGAATCTGGTATCCCCCTATTGACTTTGCCTGTCGGAGGGTGGCTGGGAAAGTCACAACGTGATCACATGATCCCAGAATACAACAAATGCTGTAAATACATGCCAGTTGATGGGACGCCACGAGAGTGTTAAGTGCAAGGACTGATCACAAGTCACTTCTTTCAATGCTGTTGTAACTTTGAACAGTCAGTAAACAAGGATCCAATCTGGGTCGGTCACCGGGACCAGAAGTTTTCCGAGCTTTCGGACATCGTGCTGGAGCCCATCTTCAGGGAACTTCTCTCCTGCAGAGTGTGCTGTTCCTTTTGTGGTATTTATAGTGTCTGTTGCAGTGGTTCTCAACCTTTTAATGCCGCGACCCCCAACCGGTCGTAAGTCGAGGACTACTCAACTGGTGCAGCACCGTTTGCAGAACGGGACTTTTGGCGGGCTCAGCAGGGCAGAGACAGCCTGGACCATTCCTATTGGCTTTTGAAAGCCAATAGAATTAGACTCTATTCAAGAGAGTCTATTCTATTGGCTTTCAAAAGCCAATAGAAAAAAAGGGAGTAGCACAGCTAAGGAAAAGGGGGAAAAAATGGCGGACTGCGTTGTTTGGCGACCCCCGTGAAATGGTCGTTCGACCCCAAATGGGGTCCTGGCCCACAGGTTGAGAACCACTGGTCTGTTGTAAGTGGCTTTTTAGATGTTGATTGGGGTATGTTGATGGCTGGCTTTTAAGTCATCAGCTGTCTGTTTGCTTGTGCTTGCCCAGCCCTCACCTTCTAATTACTTAAACAAATTGTAAGTTGAGGACTATAGATAAAAGAATACAGAACACACCTTGAAGAAGAAAAAAGGAATGAATCCAAATATAAGTGATAAAATACAGGTAGGTAACTAAGACGTTTTGAATAACAAGCAGATCTAGTATACCGCAGCTAATATGTAGCGTGCAGTGTTAGTGGGTTACAGCAATATTATACAGATGTCATACCCACAATTTCTAGTCATCTCCATGAAGCTGAAAATGTCTCAGATTAGCATTATAATGTTCCTACTTGGAAAAGGCTTGTTTAGGGGGCAATGGGACATTATATAATCTTGATAGTTGGGAGAGCTTAAGGCAGGGGTAGGCAACCTTGGTTCTTTTATGACTCGTGGACGTCAACTCCCAATTCCTGGCTCAGGAATTCTGGGAGTTGAAGTCCATGAGTCATAAAAGAACCAAGGTTGCCTACCCCTGCCTTAAGGGAAGGTGGCTGCAGATACCCCTTGGGTGGTCCTTGGATACAGTGGGAGAGGCAGAGGAGGCTCTGGCTATGTGGGCATCCCCATCAGTCTGAGTTTTTAAAACCAGCTTTCGATGCCATGACTGCCAAACAGCACCTACTGTGGCTTCTAGTGGTTGCTCCCCACCCCAGACACTAAATTAAACTTCAATTTCGTGATTGTTTTGAGGCCCTGTCAGGACTACGATGGGAACGGTTTGGGACCAAATACCAGAGAATGATCTTTTGAAAAAGGGCCAACTTGAAAAGTGCAACAGACCCCTTTTCCCATTGAGTGCTATTCAGTTTGGAGATTTCTTTGTGGAGCATAGAGGTAGTTCTCAACTTATGACTCTAATAGGAGCCTGGCCATTCCAAGCTAAGCATCTGAATTTTAATCATGTGATCATGGGGATGCTGCAACAGCCGTAAATGTGAAAAAAGGATCATAAATCACATTAATAAGGGAGAATATTTGTAGCTCAGGGTTGACTTGAGGAGTCCTTAGTGCTTTCTGAGCTTGCTTGTTTTCTTGGCAGACATTTCATTACCCCAACAAGGTAACAGTCCTGGCACTGATGATGTTATCTAGTATGGATAATGAAACCTCTGCAAGAAAACAAGCAAGCCCCCCTCATAAATCACATTTTTCAGTGCCCTTGTAACTTTGAAGGATTACTAAACGAACATGTTGTAAGTCAAGGACTCCCTGCACCAAAGGAGGCGGGAATTAGACAGCCCGACAATATCTCCCTCGCTTGGACTCCCTGGATCCCCCTCCCAAGGCTGCTGGAGATGCACCCTTCTCCAAAACTCTGGGCAGAGCTGCAGGAAATCAAAAAACAGCTGTTATTAGCTTGGAGCGGGACTGAGCATGCGCGAGAGAGCTTTGACAGCCGTCGCCTTTTGCAGGAAAGGGGCAGAACGCGGGGTGTGTGTGTGGGGGGGGGGGGAAAGGTGGCGGCCGCCGAAGACATTTAAAAGAGGGAGGAGGGGGAGAATGAAGGTTGACACTCTAGGAAGAAGGGCTCGCTCGCCCGTGGTCCGAGGGCTCCCGAAGGCGGGGAGCAGGGAGTGAACGGGAGCGTCGCTCTCCCAGATCGAAACCGGAAGGGAAAGAGAGCCCACCTCCCGGGGAGGCTTTTCCTCCTCCCCCCACCTTTTCCCGGGAAGGAGGAGGCGGGGAGGGAGGGGGCGACCGGAGAGGCTCCTGGGCAGAGGAAGGAGAGGAGGCTGACCCAGGCGGAGGAGCCG